TACTTTATTTTAGAATAAAATCATGGTTGTTTATCAGTTTTTTGTGGAACGAATTTTTTCAAAAAACTTTCATCACAAGTCTGAACATTCCATTACTTAATATATTCCAAAGATATTATCATATTCATTATATCCATTAATTTATTAAAATAAATTAATTCATTCTCGAAACCAATATGGTAGAAATGCATTAATTATCACACAATTATTTACTCTAATTGATTTTATTGATTTATTTTCATTCATAAATTGCTAAAAGATAAAGCAGCATCATTTAACATTTGATGAAGATCACCAAATCATTTGAAAAAATAAATTTATTAAATCAAAACTGAAATTTCCTTTTTTGATTTTACTTTTCAATCAATAAATTATAAATGATAAAAGAGGAATTTTTTCTTGATAAAATTCCATTTATTATCATATCCAAAAAAAAAAAAAAAGGATTAAATAAAATGGGTCATGCTAAAAATATTATTAATGAATTGGAAGAAGAAGAATAGAGCATATTTCATCCTAATTGTTTATTTTTAAGTATAGATATATATATATATATATATATATATATATGTATTGAGATGTGAAGATGATGTCGTCAGACAGAAGCTCGAAGCGGGCAATTATCGGGCCAGTAAGAGCCTGACGCGCATACATTAAACTCTTTTTGCTGGATTCAATTCATCCGCCCTCACCTCTTTCGTCTCTCTTTTTCTCCATCAGAACACGGCATGGACACACGAGATTTCGTATCGGGTAGTCTGGGACACCTCTCGCTCACCTTCCTGCTGCATTCGGACTTGAATGTCGTTTGCTCACCAGATCTTTATCGAAGAGAGCAATCCTCTATACTACCAGCTCCTCTACCTCATCTCCCCTATCCTCTTCACGTCTCTCCCCTTCTCTACTTGTTACTCCTGATACACCTCTTATACTTTTCTTTCTTATTATTTCAACCGAATGAATAATTATTCAACCATTCTATCGATCTTTACTTGCATCACTATACAGCTAAATTAATTACCTTTGTTTTTATTTTTATTTGCCAAATCAAATAAATTTTTTTCAAGTACTTCATCCTAAGAAAAATCATTAATATCATTTTTTCAATGAAAAATGATTAATGTTATAAATATATTAATCCAACTGGAAATTAATATTCTTTAACTGTCAATTTTTTATTTCTTATTAAAATGATTGACAGTGATTTTTATAAATAATTAGTAAAAATTAGAAACCGTTGAAAGGTTGTTTCTCTTTATAAAAAGTAAAAGGTAGTCTATGACTTTTACAAAATAATTTATTAATTATTTATTTATTAATTTATTTATTTACTTTAAAGGAAATAGATAATCTAAAATATATTGAAGCTAAAAATCAATAAAGAAGATCATTCAACTTAGGCTGATTTTTTTTTTATACACTCATGTAAATAATTCACAATCAATTATAAAATTATAATAATTCACAAATAAGTCGTTGGATAGAAAATAAATAATGTATTTACTGAGAGAAAAAAAAGATAAAGAATGAAATGGAAAAAACATGTTTAAAGTAACAAGAGTAAAAATTTCAATTTTGTCAGGAAAATTTAGATCTAAAAAATAAGTTGAAAGAAAGCTAAAGATTAGATATATAGGTACCTGTGTATGTAGGTATAGTAGATATAGTAATACATGTAGGTATCAGGAGTCTGCAGCAGCAGATCCGATCAGATAACAAAGGACGACTAGCCTTGGTAAGATTCTCGAGATAGAGTAGAATTTAATAACCTGCTAGGGGTGACATGGGAGTGAAGGCGCGTAACAGGGACCGAAAAAAGGAGAGGGAGGTGAGGAGAAGCGCAATAATATCGAGAGATATTGATCTTTAATTAGGCACGCAGCGCGGGAATATGTGAATAGATTAGATCGCTAGACCAGACCGAGTTTAAGCTGAGTAGATTTGTTTCTTTTTTTTTTTTGTTCTCTTCACTTTCACGGTTTCTCTCTTCTTTACTGACGTATCTTTTTGCCTTTAATTTATTTCTCTTTCTCCCTCTCACTTCTTCTCTCTTTTATCAATTTTATTCACTTTTTTACTTTAAAATAATATAGACTCATTCTTTCATCTAAAATTCAATCAATTTTTAGCTTTATACTCAAATGAGATATATTATTAAGATAATATATAAATAAGTAGTGATATGTATTTGAATACAATCATCATTTTAGAACAAATAATTAAAAAATTTCTTAAGAAAAAAATCCATAAGAATAATAATGATGAAAAATATTTAGCTAGCAAGCTGATAAATGAGCCATGATTCGCAGATTAAGTTGACTAGCTTGGCCATGACGAACAAGAGTCAGGAATGGAAGGATCAACTGGCAGAAGAGAGCTTTACCTGTAGCATAGACAACTATCGAGAGTATCCCAGCGGTGTCAACGCGCGTTATCTCTTAATGACTACCCCATCTCAAGGCTTAATCGACAACACGTATAAACCATCGTCTGCTTCTGCATATTCAATGTGCACCACCACTACTTTAATCATCTATCTTTCCCAGCTTTTTTTTTTATCCTTTTTTATGCTTAACACTGTACAACTTTACATCATTTGTACACTTATAGAGACGTATATAAAACCACTTGAAATCAGATTTACATTAATTTGAAAAATTTATTCAATATCTAACACTAGAAAATCATATTTAAACTACCATTTTATTTTAATTAAAATACTAGAATAAATTGCAGAAAGTGCTCGTTGATGATTGGATGACAATTTGAATTTTCTAACCAATAACGAAAAAGTCACTCACTTTTCGATATATATCGATTATTGGCCAACTTCATATGTCCATGTATATCTATAAATAAATTTTTGTTATTTAATTAAAATGATGGAATATAAAAATATTTATAGAATATAAATAAATAATTCATTTAGATCACAAAATCTTAAAATAGAAAACAAAAAAGAAATAAATCCATAAAAAAACAATTAATTTCCATCATAAAATTTAAAACATTCAAATATATTAAAATATTGCATATGAATTGAAACATGAATGCTAATGAATCTTTTATCACTATCTGATACGAAGAAACAGGAGAATAAATGTTCAAGATTGTTAAGATTAATGAGGAATGCAATTTTACATTAAAACTATTTAAATAATATTGATTGAAAGGTCACAAAGGTTAATTTAATACATTTTATACTAGTAGATTATAATACTTCCATGTTTCATTTATTATATGCCAACAAATGGTCATAAATTAACACTTTACTTCAAATATATAACATTCAAATAATGTGATAAAGCTTCAATGAAAAGCCCACAAACAACATGGAATCAGTTGATAGATGACTAAGATGATTGGAATAAGGATAGATAATAATGAATAAGTGTTATAAATAAAATAAACAAAAGTATATCAGAGAAGAAACTTGGACTTGAGCTCTTACTTAGCTGCAGCAATGGTGTCACGATCATGGGACACGGTACATTAGCATATCTTGAGCGCGTGTAGAGCACAAGCTCAAACCAAGTAAGGGGATTGGAGTAGTAAGGTATACATGGTAAAGACAGCACAGGTCGTGCCATGAAAGAAGAGACTGCCGAGAATAAAGAGAATCGAGAATTTACTTGGTCCGTCGCGTGTTAGCTTATATGTCACGATCAGGATTTTATTTGCATATTGTATTAAAGCTTATTGTATTTTCAAAATAGCTTTTTCATGTTAATTGATTGTTTCAATATGATTTACTATATTAGTGATATTTACTTTCTACTAGATACATTCTTATTCAAATATTCACCTAATTTATATATTTCACTGATTATTATGTCAAGTAAATATATATCTAACCTCTAACAATAAGTTTATTTTCTAAATCATGATTCTAAACATTTAACACAAATTTTAGGTTATAAAAATTCAATTTCAATCACACTTATTAACTCACTTTATACTTGAATTTGTTTATCTCAAATCAATTGAAGGAATTTTTTATTTAATTTGCTAGAGGTTAGATAAAAGAGTGTGTAAATTCAAGCGAACAAATGGAGAAAAATTTGATAAAATATTCGACTACTACATAAGCTGTTAAGGTTAAGGCGGCACGGTGTCGGTGCAATTCTAAGAAGTAGGCTTATCAGAGTTTGGATATGTTAATAGCGACCATGTTGCTCCCCCTCCTAGTCTCTTTGAGTTTATAATGTCGAAATGTATCACCAAGTTAACCATATTGTTCGTGGCTAGCTTACAAGGAATAGAAATACATTAAGTATCATATTATGTATAGGTATATATATCTACATCTTCAATACATATATAAAAAAAAAGGAATACGTAGTGATGTCGCTGTTTTGTTGCTTTTTTCTTCTTTTTTCCAACTCAGTCATTCAACCCCATAAAGATCAGTTGCATGCACGCGCAATTAAGAACAGCATAACAGACGATTGGCCCTGAAAGAAAGACAGAAAGAACTGCCAGTACTCTCAACAGATCCATCGATGACTGCTTATTTACAGAACCAAGAACTGCACACCGGTGCCACGTGAGATGTGAACGAAGGATAGCCTGCCTAGAGGCGAGCTCAGAGGGCACAGAAACAGAGACAGAAAATGAATGAGTAAGAGATAAAGAGGAGGGTGTACACGAAGAGAACGAGAATCGAAAATCAGACCGTGAATCTTATATATGTACCTATTGAGATATATATAAGTACATACATATACATAACATACACTTTGAAAGGTTATATTCGCCCAAAGAGGCAATTAAAATATACGAGTAATTCGATTACATATTATATTTTACACAAGATATGTAATCTCAAATGTTTTTATTGTCTATATATCATATTATGCCATTATTTACTAACTATTAATTTACAATAATTTTGTGTGATATGTAATGAATAATTATCACACTATATAAACTCTTATTATTTAATTAAATCAATTTATTTAATTTGAATATTTTAATAAAATGAATCATTTTGATTTTAGGAGATGATGAGGAGTGGAGTGATTCAGAAAAAACACCATCAGTGAGCAGTGGCATAGATGGTGGATCAACAGTGTCAAGTCCCATACCACAAAATGCCGAAGAAGAATCGGCAAGTCTTCCTGCGCCTCCATCAAGACTGAATACTGGATTTCCTGTGATTTTAGGCAGTATAAGCAATTCTACCGTTGAAGATTTTCAGCTAAAATTAAATACAATACCATCTCTATCAGATGATGTGATCACTAAAAAACGATTCAATCATCTCAATGATGAGATAGAAGTTGTTAAGGGGCTTAAGAAAAAATATACACCAAAAGCGATAACATTAGAAGCCAGTCCAGAATTAACTAAGACAGAAAATGAAGATGAAAATATTTCACCAGCTAAAGAGACTGAATTATTATTATTCAAGTCGACTGGATCGAGTAAACGTGAAAGTCGAAAATACTCAGATGAATTACGTTGTTCGGATGAATCAACAACTGGTAGTAATGCTAAAAAAATGCGGCTACAAGAGGAAGATATTGCACCAAAACTCAGACTGAATGCTAGTCTTGCTACAGATCCTGCTTTGCGACCTGCAACAGTAGCTGCTCTCACTATTAAACCTGTTGACAGTGTTTCACCACCACCATCACTACCACCGCCACCTCCACCACCACCATTAGCATCTAATTCTAATGCTACACTTCCAGTTGATCTTGAAAATGCCATTGCATCAGGTCGTTTATTTGTTTTACCAACAGAAAATAAAGAACCATCGATATCAGTTGATACATCAAGACCAGCACCACTTATTTGTCCACCTTGTGGTATTAGATTTTCTTCAGCAAGTACATTAGAAGCACATAGAACTTTTTATTGCGCACACAGGCCAAGATTGGAAGAAGAAAATACTAATGATGATGACGATGATAAATGTACCAAGTACGAGGTTCGTAAAGCCTACGCATGTCCGCATTGTTCTTACAGTGCTGATAAAAAAGTTTCTCTCAATCGACATATGAGAATGCATGCGTCTTCACCAGCGCCTGCTGCATCAACCAATGTGCCACCGCCACCTCCAGTGACTATATCACCATCTAATGCAACAACTAATAATTCCATAATAATAACGAGTAACAGTAATAATAGTAACAATAATAATAACAATAACAATAATAGTAGTAACAATACTCCAACAAATGGTTCTTTAAATGAAGAAGCTGAACGTTACTGTCGTAACTGCGACATTAGATTTAATTCACTCAAGACTTATCGCGCTCACAAGACTCACTACTGCAGCACTAGACACGTCGTAAAAGATGCTCCAACAGGTGGTAATATTGCAGCAAAAGCGTCTCCGCCAGCGAGTTCCAGTCCAGGAGATTCACCGCCACCTCAACCTTGTCTTGCTTTACCTACTAATCCTATATTAATTGTCCCTTGTTCGCTCTTTAGAGGTGCTAGTGTACTAGCAGCACCGTCCCTTCCGGTTCCGGATACAGCGTGCTTCCTTCTTCCTAATGGTTCACTTCAACCAATGACTCGAGGTTTAGCGTCTACGCAAAATAATTCTTCCACTGAATCATCCTCCTCGTCATCATCATCATCATCGTCCCAAGTTCTCAGGGTAGCCAATAAATTGACTGCTACATCACCGACAATACAACAAGTGCTACCGACATCAATCACTTCATCGACTTCACCTTCTCTAACTGTTTTGTCAACAACACCATTGGATTTAAGTATACGAAGATCTCCACCTACACATCAAGATGAGAAAGAAAATCGTGTCTCACCAATGTCTCTATCACTTGCTCTTCCTCAATCTAATAGTAGCAGTAACAGTGGCAGTGGTGCAAATGCTGTCATAGGTAGCCCTAGATCTTCTAGAAGAAGTGCAAGTCCAAGAGCAACAAGATCTTTAAATTCATGTTTATCTACTAGTGGATCTCATCAGTCTACAACTTCACTATCACAACAGCCTTCTTCCGTACCACCACCTACTGAACTTGCTCTACGACTCGCTGAGTTACCACCACCGCCCACAGTACCTGGTGTACTTGTTAAACAAGGTGTTTCCAGATGCAAAGAATGTAACATTGTATTTTGCCGTCATGAAAATTTTGTAGCACACAAAAAACACTACTGTCAAGCAAGAGAAAATACCGTATGTAGTCCACCACCTACCACTCCAGGAACACCTTCCCCACCTCTGGTTCAATTAATTTGTGCAGCTTGTGGAATTAAGTTTGCTTCTATGGATAATCTTGTTGCTCATCAAGCTTTTTATTGTCCTAAAAGGCCTGAAACTCAAGAACATCATAATCGTTGTCCCAAATGCAAGGTTTGTCCCACAAAACATATCAATATTATTTACAATAAATTTCTTCATTTAATATATCAACTATTTATAGTATAATATATGATAGAATTAACTTTTTTTTGTTTTTTTAGGTAATTATAGAATCAACTTCAACAACGCATACATGTTCAAGTGGACCAACAGGTGGATGGCGATGTCCGGTTTGTGGTGCCGTCAGTCCAACTGCGGGAGCTGCACAACGGCATATGGATGCCCATCAAGGAGTTAAAGCATTTCGGTGTACAATATGTCGATATAAAGGAAATACTTTACGGGGTATGAGGACACATATTAGAATGCATTTCGAAAAACGTGGAGCTGACTTACAGGTTTATTTTATTTCCTTTATATTCATTATTTCAATACTCAATTATCAACAATAATTTTTTAACACATTTTTCATTCATTATTATAGGAAGAAAATTACATTACCTGTGTGTTAGATGATGATGTATCAACAGTATCAATATCAGAACCTCCACCAGCAACTACACCTGAAGAAATTCCATCTGAAATTCAAATAAATGGAAAAACTGAAACATCAAAAAGCCCTCAACCATCTGCAATATCAACTCCAACATCAGTACCGTCAGTGATTACAAACAAAGTAAAACAAGAACGTCGAGATACACCATCACCTGAAGAAAGTCTTGATCCAAATAAACCAGGCCCACGATATTGTCGTTCTTGCGACATTAGTTTTAACTATTTAAGCACTTTTATAGCACATAAAAAATATTACTGTTCAAGTCATGCCGGAGAAGCGAGTAGTAATAATAATAATAATAATAATAATAATAATAATAATAATAGTACTAGTAGTAGTAATAGTAATAATAATCGAGAAGATAACGATAATCACAATGATGATAATGATGGTGATAATAACAATGATAATAATAACAATAATAATATTAGTAATGATAATAATTCAAATAATGATTTGACAAACCCCATAAATTCTACGAGTGCGGCCTCACTCTAGATAATACAAGTTTTAAATAATATGATGAATTTTTATCTTCTATTTGAATATTGTAGAAATAATTCGGACTAATGAATCCGATCGAAAACCATACGACTGTTAATTGTTGCCAGTTTTTAATATTAATTAAAATATCAAAGTATAATAATATAATAATGAATAAATTTAGTTGCCTATGTTATGTGATTTTTTTTTTGTTTATCCAGGGAATTGTTCGTACTTATTAAGTCGACTATTTTAATATGTAAATAAAAAAATATTAAGACAAGAAAATTGATAAATAATTTTGAGGTTGTCAGAATCATGTAATTCAATGATGATTCAGTTAAGTCATTATTATGTAAATAAAAATAAAAAAGGTACTGACAAGTTAATAACTTTATATCGTAACCAATTTGTATTAGTTACACTATCAGTGATATTGGATCATTACGTAAAGCAGTGCTTAATAAACAAAAAAAAAAAATGTCAATATCAATTCTTTAAATTAATTAAATATTTCAACTGATAATAATCGATAAATCTATACAGAATCAATTTTGGAGGTAAAGTCTCATTTTTTTGTTAAATTTTAAGAAAAAATTATTAAATTGTAATAATTTTATATTTCATATTATTTTGTTATTGGTGAGTGGGTTATGATTTTGATTTTTTCTCACTAAAATAAATATGTATTTAATTAAAAAAAAAAAATCATGCAAAAATTACAAATAATTAATTATATAATTGAAAGTAGCTAAAAAAAATATAAATTATATTTATATTAAATTTAATTATTCATTAATAGATTTAATATCTTTATTAATCTGATATTTATTTATTTTATCCAATAATTATTATTATTATTATTATTATTATTCGATTTACATAATTTTTATTTATATAAGATTATAAATTGGTAATTTTTATCATTATTAAATCAAAACTCCATTACATTTTCATAATAAAGAGGCCGTATAAATGTATTGAAATTAGAGATAAATAATATTCATTATTGTAAAAGTAATAATAATTAATAACAATGATAATCATAATAATCGGTAATACACAGATAATGCTGCTACCCCTATGAATTACTAGAAAAAATGATATTCCAGTTGAATAATATAATATTGAACATGCAATCTCATGACTTTTCGAATAATTTTTAGGTATTAGAAATTATAATTACCATTGACAAAAAAAAAAGGATCCTAAAAGATACTGATAAAATGCAGTAAGTGTAAAATGTTGTACAGTAGAGAACAGTAGAGTATTATGTATTATTACGGCACGTATATTATATAGTATGTAAACAATTATGCTAAAAAAATACCAATCTCAAATTTGTGAATCTGACTATTTACGTTGCAATATTATAACATTTAATATTATCATATTAATAAATGCTCGTAAAAAATTTTGAAAAAAAAAAAAATAGTAATAAATAAAATAACAAATGATATTATTGTGTTAACAAAGTTAAATTGCATATTGAATTTACAGATATGAATTATTTATCGTATAATTTTATTGAATTTAATGCGAAAATAAATCTTTGTTAACATAATTGTGAATTTCATGCAAGAAAACATATAATCAAAATCATCACGACATTTAAGAAAAAAAAAAAAACAAATGTTTATTAGAAAACATGCTATTCTTCAGTGCAAGTGCACAATTGTATAAATTAGAATTAAGGCCAGTGTAACATGTATACGCAGTGTACTCATATTGTATGATAAAATCATTGAATGACACCATAACCATGATAGTGTGATAATTTGAATTAAAAATGAGTTTGATTAATATGATTAACGAGATTTTAATAATTCTCGTTATATGATGAAAAATTAAAAACCATAACAATTTGATAGTTAAATAATTTTTTTAATATAAAATAATTATAATAATATTTTATATTTTATAATTTTTTCATTTTTCCCCACAGATCCAAATAGACTGTATTTAAATATTTTTTTTATTCTTTCAATTATTCTAAATACACTCTGTGATGAAAAAATATCAAAAAAAAAAAAAAATAAATGAAAGCATGGCATAATAATTCCACTTCTGTGTCTATCATTAAATTGAAAAATTTATTCAAAATAGTCAGCTACTTTTCAAGTAGAACATTGCTTCGAAACACTATTATAAATATAATCAATACAGTTTATGTTTAAAGTTTGAAAAATTTTTTTAAATATTATACGAGTATTGCCTCTTAAACTCTTCGTTCAAATATTTACAACAAACGTGTCATTAATGTACTTTTTGATTGAAACGAAAGTCATGTATCAAACAAATGAACCAGAAATTATAAAAATTTAATCTTCTTCCTCAATATCGCTCTCTTCATCTTCAGGGACATCATTAATTTCTGATATGTACACCCCACTATGATCGCTCATCTCACTATCACTGAATGATTCATCTATCATCTTAGCCTTATAATAAGCATATGCATAGCCGTAGTTTTCAACATCAGCCTCATCAACAGTATATACAAACTCACCATCATTATGATCATCTTCATCAGAGAGATCACTCCCTTCACCTTCAATTTTAACTCTCATTACAGCTTCCCTCATATCATCTTCATCAATAGAACCATTTGAATAATCTGAATCTGGATATTCATTACGCCAATTCGATTCTGAATTCGAATCTTCTGATGCAAATATATCTGAATTATTTGGTGACTCCCTGTGATGATCAAATACTAAATCTTCACCAGGCGTATAAACTGAAATAAAATTTTCTGGTTCTATTCCTTCTTCTGTTTTAGTATAGTATAAATCATACACGTAATCATTGTCCTAAAGAAGAAATAAAAATGAGAAAAATTATTTAATCATTTTAAGTAATAAAATATAAATTGTTATAATTACTTGGTCACTTGATGATTTCGTAGCTGTACAGGAAACAGAATCTTCAACATCAATAACAGTCATGCCTTTCTCATCGAGTTGCTGTAAATCAGAATTAAGAGAACGAAAACAACTTATTACTTTGTAACGTTGTTGTTTCGAATTTTCTCTTGCTTGTATACGATTTTTAGCTGTAATGTTAGTAATATTTTGTTTGTAATTTTCCTTTAATTGATCTTTACTCAAAGTTTTAGCTATTTGTTTGACCACATCATCCTAAAACATTTTTGTATAAAAAATTAATTATTTATTATAATTAATACATAATAAGAATTTCATAAATAAATATTAAATTTATGCTTTATGTACCTGAGTTTGCACGGTACCAGCCAGCTTAAGTACAGTTGTTACATCTTCAGAGTCAGATGTTTCAGCACATTTATCGTCGCTGATTTTTTGTTTTTTACAAGCAATTACTAAAGTATTTAATGGTTCGAATGAATTACGACGTTTTACACGTAAAACTGTTGCCATTTTTTAAGAATCTAAATAACTATTCTGAACGTAAAACAACCAACCCTCGCCACTTTATTATGCCGTATATGTAGCGATAGCGGTATGTTCGAGAAAATGCGGAAATTACAGAGTACTATCAAGACACGTGATTGGTTAATTGTAAAATGTTTTCATATTATAGTAAATATTTATGTACTTGCTTATTCCAGAGAAAAATAAAAGAACGTGAGTATGATACAGATATACTGGTAGTGAATTGCAAAAAGGTTAAGTTCACACATTTCACTATAGTATATGCGAAATACATCGCGGGAATTTTCAAGAAAGTTTTCATATTAGGAAAAAAATAAAGAAATTATGAAAAATTATCAATAAATTAATTAAAAATAAAGTTTTTAATAGATGCTTTGAATTTAATGATTTATCGAGTATGGAAAAAGCTATTGTTTTTAATTTTTGAAAAAACTTTGCGCATGTGCGTTGAGGTTATCTATAGTAAATGCCATTTCCGCTTGTCGGTCGCCATTTTGCTTACGAGCGCTTCCTAGCGCTTTTTTCTGCCAAACACACTGTGTTTACGAAACAAAAATTCTTTATGTGAATTCCATGAAATTAATCCAATTATATCAGTTACACATTTTGCATCTAGACATTGTCAGATTTATTTGGAATTTGGTTTTTGTTCATTTATTAGATTTTAACCTAACAAAATATTTCGATGATTGTTGCTGCGCCAATCAGCCCATACTGCATAATGGAAAGAAGCCGAAAAAGTTCAGAGTGCAATGAAACGAAACCTTTACATTCAGAACTGTAAAGTGCATTTATTATATAATATACAATATAAACAGTGCAATATATGCCTAAATAAATATTATCGTGTACTTGTGTAGATACATATTTAACTGATGTGTACCTGTTATTATTACTATTTTTTCATAACCATAAATTCATATGATGATGTATTTTAATTGGTTGAGTATAGTTTGTCTATTGGCAGATACTTATCAGCTGTCAAATATCATCAAATTGTAATTAATTAGAACGGTGCAAAAACATATGAGAATTTTATAGAGTGCTATAAAAAAATAACGAATAATTGTTCTGAATTTGAGCATGTAAAAGCTAATTTTATTGATAATTTTTTGATTGTATATTATTGGTAAGTGGTATTTATTGTTAGAGTAATACCACATAAATGGCACAATCAATTTTCGACGCTTTATCAGGTACAAAAATTATAATTCAATTTTAAAAAATATTGTTGTATTTATTTATTAATGCAGGTTATTTCCTTATTGTAGGCGTCTCCTTTGATAGCTCTACTGTCCAATCTTTACTTGAATCTCAACATCTCATTCCTGAGATCGAACAAACAAGTAAATCATTTAAAATTACTGTTATTCTTTTTACCGCAAACAATATTATTGATTTTGTTTTTTTTTTGATAGCAATTGATCAAGATGAAGAAGATATTTTCCAATGTGGCAAATGCAAATGTCAATTTAATTTATTACATTCATTTTTGCATCATAAAAAAAGTCATTTAAAAAAACCGCAAACGGTTGATTTAAGTCAGTATTTAATGAATGATAATAATCAAGTACAAGTCGATGCTGAAATGCCGTGTCAAAATATCACACAATTTAATTCCGATCATCCTTCGGAATCTGAATTTATCCAAACTGATCAACTCAATGAACCAATTATTCTGCAAGAAACTGAAATGTTATTCAGGTTTGTAATTAATAATATGTGTCAGATGATATTCGTTTTCTAATAATCATTAACTCTATTATTAATAATATATTTATAGCATGGATCAAGAAAGTGCAAATTATCTATCAGCAGAAACGAATTTTGGTGTTCCAATGATACTTAGCTCAGAAAATCTTGATAGTTTTGCTCCTCCTTCAAATATTTCTGATAATAATAATCTATTAAAAGACGATGCTCAAGAACCATGTAACCAATCTATCGATCCTAGTGAATCTTTATTAGATAATACAACTTTTAATAAAATTTCTTCATCTGATGATAATCTTTCGCCAGAGAGAAATATAACTAAAGTATTGGAAGAACAAGTAGATGATAATGCAACCAGTATTACTCCAAATTTGAAGGTAATATTTTATTTATAATTTGTTTAATTTTATTATTTATCTTGAAATGACAAAGTTCATATTTTTTTCAGTATAAGTGCAATTATTGCCATAAGCAATTCTCAAAAAAATTTTACTGGCAACAACATGAACGATCTCACACAGGTGAAAAACCTTATCAATGTGTTGTTTGTGGACGTGCATTCGCACAAAAATCTAATGTTAAGAAACACATGTCGTCACATAAAGTATGGCCTGGTACAGCTATTCATTCTTTACCACCAGAGGTAATTTATTATATTATTACTTTTATACATTGTATTTTTATGTATATTAGAAAATTAAAATAAAAAAAAATTCAATAATGAATAATTTCAGGCTCCGCCGGACGGGAATATTGATCGAACGTATCATTGTCAATTTTGTAAGGAAATATTTGATTCTTACAAAGCTCTCAAGGGTCACCTAATAGTCTCTCATATGACGTTAAAAGTATATAAATGTGTGCAAAGCAGCTGTAGCATGATGTTTGCTGATTTAGATGATTTTCTTGAGCATACACGTAATCATAAACGATCAGAGTATCGTTGTCATGTATGTGGTGAAATGTTTCACACCTTATCTGACCTAGGTCTTCATCAATATGTTCACTCCGTCCGAAAACAAAAAACAACTGAAAAATATTATTGTTGTACAACTTGTAAATCATCATTTTCTAATCTCGAAGCTTTACAACATCATACAGAAACAACAACTCATGATTATGCATGTCCTCATTGTGGTAAAAGTTTTCTCATAGAAAGATTTCTTCGGAGGCACTTGAAAACTCATGTTTCTGCGGCTAGATTTACATGTGAAGATTGTGGAAAAGCTTTTAAAACAGAACAATATCTGGCTAATCATAAATTAATTCATAGTGAAGAAACTCCATATCTTTGTACACAATGCCCAGCTAAGTTTAAAAGAAAAGATCGGCTTGGGCGTCATATGTTAATACATGATTTTACTAAGAGATTAAAATGCCCCTTCCGAGGATACCTTGGATGTATGAGTGAATTCTCTAGACCTGATAAATTAAAAAGACATCTCCTCACACATAGTAATATCAAGAGATATCATTGTACTTATTGTAATCGTGATTTTAATCGTGCTCAAGCTTTAAAACATCAAGAAAGTAATAAACACATTCTTAAATGTGAACTTTGTTTACAGGTATAAAATATTTATAACTATTATTATTTAGACATATTATTTATATCTTTGATATAATAATTAATGCTGCATTAAAAAATTTCAGATATTTAAAAATAAGGATCAGCTCGTAACTCACGGTGACTGTGTTCAACCGAATGAATCAAATAAGAAACATTCAAGTCCGCAGTTACCAAGAAAGGCAATTGGAACTTTTAAATCACGTAAACCAACTCCAAAGAGACAAACTAAAGTTATTGGACCAACTGAAAAAGAAAAAATTAAATCGGATGAAATCGACAAACGATTGTTGGTACGATATATGATTTATTTAGATTATTAATACATTACTTTTGAATTAGATTCATCAGTTAGTCATCTTCTTTTAGTTGTCATCTTCAGAGAATGTAAAACTAAATGATCCAATTGAAGAATTAGATAATAATTTAACGAAAACAAACTCCAAAGAATTTATTCACTTATCTATTGATACTTTAGTGAGATCTGATTTTATAGAAGAAAAAGAAGAAGAAGAAGAAGAAGAAAAAATACAACAAGAAAAAGAGACATTTAAAAATCAAATGATTGATTTATAAATAATTTTTATTCATTCAACGATGCTTCACAACTATTTATTACTGTTTTTTAATCTTTAATATTAATTTTTTTTTAATTTCCCTAAAATTTTTTATTACTAAGAAATATTATTTTTATTGTTATGAATTATTGGCAGAATGTGTACGCAATGCCTACAAGTCATATTAAAATATAACTTTTTCCTTAAATATCTGTGATAATTGTATTATAAATATTTTAATATAAGTGAATAACATATACATGTACATATCATTTAACCGTATTTAGATTATTAGACATTTATCCGTCAGGAAGTTGATAGCAAAGCCACATCTACTACCTCATTTACGATTCTATGCATTTCTTAGTGAACTCATAATTAATTAGCTTCTTTTCTCACGCAATAAAATCCATTTTAACAATAATTATTGACTAAAGAAGACTAAAAAAATTAAACATGCAAAGTAAAAAATATCGTGTGTCAGAAAGAAGACGAAGTAGTAGTGTTAGTGAAGAAAATAATGGAAAATTTAACAAAACTTTCAAGATTACAATGTTAGTTATTTTTTTATTATGTTTAATCATTATTATAGGTAGTTGTACTAGTTGGAAAGCGAACTCTTATAAATCCAACTCAGTAAGTATCAATTTCAAATCATGTCTGATAATTTATGCAACAATAAAATCAGTAGTTTTAATAATTTTTTTTAGGAAACAAATGATACATTTCGTTCAGAAAAATATAAAGAAGGAGTAAAAGAAGAAGAAGAATATTTAAATGAGGAAGACAATTTCGATATGTATGTTACTACTACCCAAAAATCTGATTTAATCTCATTCACTACTCATCAATCATTGAAAACTAGTCAGCTTGACACAAACCGATTAACTAGTACTCCAAAGACTAATGATCTTGATACAATCAAAACTAGTAATACTGATATCACTCAGACTGCAACTAGTTTTAATGAGACGTCTTTCACAACAGATTATAATAATTACACTAGTGATGAAAGTAATGATATGGGTGATAACAATACAGTGACACCTCATTATGAGTTTATGACTGCTTATGCAAATACCTATCCTGACAGTACACATAATTACAGTCATGATGATCAATCAACAACAATATTAAATGTAATAACTACCTATGATTGGCTTTTAATTATATCAAATAGCACAACATACAGCTCTAATGAAATATCCTATGATTATGAATCTACTACTACGCCAACATTCGTAGAAAGAACTGAAAATAATTATGTGTCAACTCCTGAAGATGATAGTTCCTTAACAACTGAGAATAAAAGTTACGAAACAACTTCTACTATAAATATTAACTTATTAATTACTGAAAATTCGGATCATTCTACAACTGATTCTGCTACAAGTATTGATGTATCAACAATAGAAAATGATAACTATGAAACAACTTCTTCGGAGTATGACGTATCAATAACTCAAGACAATTATGATTATACAACTCCTTTTGATACAACTTATTCTACAAATAATGTTAAATTAATTACTGAAAATAATGGGTATGATGAAATGACAACAGAAAATGTTGACAATGAATTCAAAGTAACTTCAACAGAAACAAATGAACGATTGATATCTGATGATGTAACTGAAGGAATTGATCGAAATAAGGATAACAAAGTACATATTTGTGAATCTGGTAGCTGTAAACGTTTAGCAAGTAAAATGTTGTCGTATATGAATCATTCAGTAGATCCATGTGAGGATCTGTATGAATATGCTTGCGGTGGTCTGGAAGCAGATCCTCAGATAATAAGCCAAGATTTATCAAAACAAGTATTTGATCAAATCAAAAGTGAGTTAATATATGTTTGATATATTAATATTTAAAATTGAATGTTAAACTAGAAATTTTTTTATTACGTAGGATCTTTAAAAATGCATGTGAATAATACATGGTATCAACCCTTTGTAAAATACTTAGATAGCTGTATCAAATATGATGAATATTTAATAGATGATGAAAAACTTAAAGAAGGTATTTTTTATTATTTTATCGTCAAAGAATGAAAATGTTATTTCTCATGAATATTTTCATCAATTTTTCATTTCTTTTAGTAAAAAAAATCGTCGAAAATATTGGATTTTTTTATACACGAGAAACATGGCCTAAAAATAGAAATTATTCTGATATTCTTTCACAGCTTATTGCTGATACGATTTTAAATAATAAGTATGTAATCTAAGTGACTTTGTATCGATTTATTTTTATAAAATTGTCAAATAATTATTTTATAACATTTTAACAGCCCACTAATGTTTGATATTGTACCTGAAGTTCATGAAACTAATTCAAAAACATTTATTTTACAAATAATTCCAACAATTGGTAATTCAAGATATTTTCAAGACTCTATAAAACAAAAATTCTATGCTCAGAGCATTAATGATAATGTTACTCAATGGTTGAATGAAGTGGAGAGTTTGTTTAAAAAAATTAAAAAATTCATTATTGATCAAGATATTGATATAAATTTTCAAACTCTTCACCAATATTTCATGGTAATTAAGGACTTATCTCTAATTTATTATACTTGATAAAAATATTAATACATTATCAAGGAAATATTATTTATTTATTTATAGAGTTATCCATCTTCAACAAGTCACATAAATGAAATATTTGAAGAGAAAGATTATATAATTTTAACTATTAAAGAATTACATAGTCAAGCAAGCTTAGTAAGTATTAATAAGATTGAAAGTATTCTTTGGCATTAACTATTCTTTGGAATTTATTTAGATTGAATGGACATCAATAATTTATAAACTTACTGGAATAATATTGGAACCAGATGCTCAGATTCAAATTTATTTCCATCATCAAATATTTGATGCTTTAAAGAAATTCGAGCACAGTGATGAATCTCAGCAAATTCAATTTTATAATGCACTTGTTGGACTTTATACTACAAATCTTTACAAACAAGTATATTATCTCTGTCATTATCAAACCTTAAACTTTCAAATTTTTATGTTAATATAATTCCTAATTAATATTTACTATTACAGATGGTTTTCAATAGAATACATTCATATGAACAATGCTTAACTATCTCCATGAAATTTTTACCAAGTCAAAGTTCCTCATTATATATGTCTGCACTTTCCAAAATTCAACTATACTACTTTGAACAATTTGTAAATTTTATATTTCATTTCCACATAATAATTTTATAATAATAAATATTAATAAATATCTTTTGATAGATAGATGATATTTTTATGGAATTGAAGGAAACACTTAAGTTGAAATTTAGAAAATTACAATGGGCAAGTATTGAAGGTCAAGAATATCTTTTAAAAAAATTGGCTGATATTAAATTATCTTTACCAGATACTTTAATTTACAATGGTTCACCAGAACAATTAACTGATAATTTTTTCACCAATACATTAGTTTTGATGAAAAAATATAGAGAATCAATGTATAGTGTTTTAAAGAGTGATCCAAATGATCCTAAAGAATTGTAAGTATTTAGTTATTTTAACAATATTATTATAACTATGATTATCATTATTATTTATTTTAGATGGACATATTTCGCAAGTCCTTTTCAAACTTCTCCTCAAACCATTCATAGTCTGAGTGTCATTCTTATACCTTTTGGAGCCATTGACTGGTTTAGTTTTCAATATAATCAAAAATTTGATTATTTTATTTTCGCAAGTATTGGAAATCTACTAGCTCGTGAAATAGCACATTTTTTTGATACTAATGGTAAATAAAATTATTTTTACATATTTTTCATTAATATTATTATTCAAGTAATTAAAAAAATTTTTTTTTTTATAAATACTAGGAATTAACACAAAATTATAAAAATTAAATAATTACATTATAAATAAATAATCGATAGAATAAATATCACAAATTCGTAATTAATATCTATAATTAAGCTAAATAAAAATAAAAATGATTTATATTAGGTATGAAATATTGGAACAGAACGCGAATTGGTTCTCCATTTGCGTCTATTAACGATGATTGGACTAAAGCTGCTTATCATGAGTTTATTAATTGCCAACGGAATATTTTATTTCATGAGCCAATTGAAATTACTGTTCCATTAGATAATCAACGAATTCAATATCAGGTATGTAATGTTATATAAAGTATTAATTACATTAATTAAATTTACAATATTTATTTCAACAATTATTCAACTATGGATGCTTTTAATAAATAATTCTTTAAAGGTACCTCCATCAACACTAAATGAAAGATTAGCTGATGTTGTAGGCATAAAACTAGCTCAGGAAACTTTGAATAGAATACATACATCACATGTTACAAAATTACTTCCTTGGCTACCTTTGAACACTCATCAACTTTTTTTTCTTGCATACACTCAGGTAATAGTCATTTACAATTATAATATTTATAATTTATCAATTTATATACATAGTATAACGTTTTATATTTACAGACATATTGTACTAAATCTCGACTTGAAGATTTTAACATTTTTTCGTATGAAATATCTACATTACCTAATCGTGTCCGCATATTTGCAGTAGCAGTAAATAATAAAAATATCGGCGAAGCCTGGAATTGTCCGGAAGGGTCACTAACGCTTCCAATATCTCTTTGTGATGTTTTCCCAGATCTTAATTATGATAGAGATATAATGGAAAACGTACAAATTTCTATTAATTAAAAATATTTTTACCCATGGTAATTATTTTATTATTTTTTTTTTTTCTTTACTTAGTAGTCATGTTCATCAATTATATTTTATTCTATGATTATGATAATTATTATGATTATTATTATCAATAATAATAATTATGAAATAAAAAGAAACTTTATGACTAGATAGTTATTGTGTTAAATTACATTTGCTTTTATTGTAATTTATTTTGGCTTTTTTTTTTTTTATAGATTTTTATTATTCTCCATAATCAATGGATCCGTACATTCTTTCTTAGCACTTTCCAATTTTTCTAGAATGTTGAAAAATTAATTACATCTTAGCGAAATAACAAACCAACATATAAAAACGGTAAATTTTAAATATTTTTAAGTTTATTTAATTAGAATAAATTGTTAGTAAGTGATTTAATAATAAAAAAACATACCATTATCACGCAAGGATGATTTTATTGGGCCCTCGTCTTGAAGAGTTAATCGAGTTTGATTGCCCGTCTAGAAAAAAAACATAGCACACGTTCACACCACACATTAATATATTTTTTAAAAAAATTGAATAATGTAATAATACCTCAAAATATTTGTGCCAAAGTACACATCCGTAGACACATAGAACAGATATTAATGACTGACACAAAAGCCAGATTATAATATTCAAAGCTTGAGTACGTTCAAAGAGCTCAGCACCATGTCGAATACATAGCAAGGACTCAGTTACCATAATTGCGTTATATACCCAACATTGAGTTCCAACTCGACTACAAGTTGGATCAGTAGCATACATGTAGTATTGCCTGAATGATAATAATAATATAAATAATAATACAATTAGTATAATTAATTTAATTATCAATAAAGGTAATTACCGGACAGAGGGTGCAACAATAACGCCAATTAATATCAATCGTCCTGCTACAAATGGATGTGACGGTGGAAACTCATAAATGTGTTTCAGGAAAAAAGTATTTAGTTCAGATATTTGCCAAAAAATGACTAGTTGGCAAAGAGCAACGAAGCGCATATAAGTACAAGTTGGGTCTAACCATCTGACTGCAGTCCAACTTTCTGGTGTGAATTGGAGAACTACTCTTTTAAGTTTACCTGTAGTACTTTCAATATCACGTATACTGGCCCATTTATATTCACGCATTTCTAACATGGCACAAATTTTTAAACCAACCCATATTCCTAAAGCATTACATATTAATACATCTAATAAAACAGCATCCCACCAGCATTCAGCAAAATTGGGTAACAAATGAGCAAAGGCCATTTCAGTCAATTCCCACATAATGCTAGTTGCCCATAATAATCCAAAATGACGAATTAAAACAGCCTTAAATACCCAACCAAGGAAGTGAGCAGCAGCATATATGTCCATAGAATTCCATAATTTCTCAATGGTTAAATCTGAGCAATTAACAGCATATTCTTTATCCATGTCAATATGAAATGATTCTAATTCTGGATCTATCCAAACAAATATCTTTCTGACTGTTTCATGGTTTTGGAATAATAAAAATAGTAAAAACATGAGGTAAAGAACACTACAGCCAAAAACAATTTTCCAAACAGCAGGATGAGGTCTCGTAAATGGTCCATTTGGAAACGTTAGTACTGATATTATTAGGAAGAAAAAAATAACACATATAATACCAGCCCATATATTATCATCTAGATCATTATTATCCCTGTGAAAAATGAGAAATAATTATACTTATCAACGTAAAAAATTGATTCTAACAATTTCGATGATTAATAATAATACAACGATTAAATATTCATTGATTATTTTACCTGACAAAGGCAAAATAGATTACAGCACCAATTGAAATAAGAAGTAGTGTAATTGTGTGTGGTTTATAAAAAAATTCGATTGAAATATCTTCAACGGGTCTTTCATTAATACTTGGAAAACTATCTTCTGTTTCACCCCGTAGTCGATGTTTATCTTCATTAAACTCTGATTTTTCAATATTATTCGTAATTTTATCACCTTTTCTATCATCATTTATTCTAATTGTTTTTCTATTTCTTAAAAATAATGTTTGTTCATTCGGTATTTCCTCACTACTCGCCATTTTTCTAACTACTGTGAATTTTTTTTATACTTTCTAATTTTAATGTCAATTTCCACTGTAAATTATATAAAAAGTTATTTATAAATTTAAAAAAAAAAAACAAACAAATCATCACTGACTAATTCTTAGCATAATCTAGTTACACTAATATTGTAAGTAATAAAAAAGTAATGATGAAAAAATATGACTTTTGTGTACACTACCATGTGCTGCTATAAGAGCCTGTTATTGATGTTATTACTTATGTATCCAATCAAGTATCCAAAAGTAAAGAGGAAGTGAGCCAAAATAAGTGTATTTGATGATTGGTTCTATTTTGTACATCTTTCTTGAACACAAAAGAGCTGTGAATTTAAACACTACTTAGTATGCAAGTGACCAATAAGCCGTTCAAGGCTAAATATTATTTCAAAAGTCAGCGCCTCTATTCTAGATGCTTTGATATCAGTAACTACGTTTTGATGAAGCCAACAAAAAATTTTTTTTTTTTGGTTATGAAAATTATTTATAATTTCTGATATGCATAGAAAAGATTAATTAAATATATTCGAATTTAATTGATATAATAATTCATTCATAACTTTAATTAAAAAACTTTTTATTATCATTATTGTCATTATTAATCAATTAGATAAAATTATAACCTATTCTAAAATTACTCTGTCGATAACCTCTAATGTTTATGGCGCTAACTGTATCGTATGTGTTTAAATTTTTTTTTCAATATCTGATTACTATGTTTACATTAAAAGAAAACAATAACAAATTTCTAATATCACTTTCTAAGTATTGTAATTCCACGTATCACGAAATATCTAACGTAATAAAGATAACAATAATATTACAAATTTATCATATACCAAAAAGAAGTGATAAATCTAAGTTAAAAAAATTAAAAAAAGTAATTACACTAACCAATACAGTATGAAGTGTAAGCATTTGTGTAAATGTGTATCAGTTAACAAAGAAATGTTATGTTGATGTGAGTACTATCAGAGTATGGCTATGCGTTGTTTCTTATATATATATATATATATATATATATTATAACCGTTTTCACATACATGTATACGTGTGGATATAAGAAATATAAACTGAACGACGCCAGCAAGCAACAGAATAAAAGGCAACTGCAACTTAACAACACAAGATCAAGCTTGTTCAAGTTGTTACCAGTACTTTTTTGAATTATTTTATTTTATAAAGTTAATATATAAAAGAAAATTAATTTTATGTATATTTCAATTGATTATTTTTGGTTATTTTGTGCAATAAATCGACAATTTTGAAATTATCAAGAGTTCGTTACCCGGGGTAAGTAATTGTTTATTTGTTTATTTATTTATTACTTACATATAAAACGTAACTTTAAAGAAAATATTTGTGTCTTTTATTTATTAAATTATTGAAAAAAGATTTATATAATATTTTCACCTGTAATGGTGAGTGTACTACACATTGACAATGCCTGTCGCATTTTCCTTTGTCCTTTGTTGTCAAAAGCAGTGAAATGCAGTAGTTGGATACAGATGAAAGTTTGCGTCAATTTTAACGAATATATATGTATGTAATAAATAATTTTGAGTGCATATACACTTAATTTTATCAAATTATTTTCATATATCTATTAACAATTGTGAATTTTTCCTTTTGAAGTGAGTCCTAAATGACTGTAATGAAATTAATTGGAATGATTTTTTTGCAGGAACACAAAGATGACTTCTGCTGCAACAGAATTGGGAGGGAACGTTGCTGATGAAGGTAAGTAATATTGATAATTCAAATATTTTTGCTATTTATTGCAACTGTGATATTTATTGACAAATTGAACGAGCAATGATATTGACAATGCATTTATAATGCTAATGATTGTAATAAGAATATTTTAATATATATATAATGTTATTGTAAATTAACTTTTATTTTATAACATGGTCACTGAACTCATTATGTGAATCAATAGACCGAGTAAGTGGAATAATGATTGACCGTAGGACCAAACTTTGTTAAATGATGTATATTATCTATCTGAGATATTTTTAGCAATTCTATCAATACAAATTGCTATTATAAAAAAAAATACTTCAATTGTGTCATCAATAATAGCTGATATATTATTTGATTTACCAATAGCAATCCACGGAAAAATGTAATATGACTTTTACAGCAATTTTTTTGTTAATCATGAATAGAGAGCGAAAAAATCTATGCATTATTTAAAATGAAAGTCAATGGTCCAACGGCTGTTGTTACCAAGCTGAAGAACCGAGCAGCTCATTCAAATGGATAAAATGCGTGGGGTAACTTGATTTGAACCACAAGCCATATAAAAATTTGCTCAACGTGTGTGTATTGTTCTTTGTTGCTTTATTATTTACAGTTTATTAATTAATAATAATTAATTGAATATCTATTATTTAATATACTAAACAATAATATTTATTTTTCATATAATCATTAAAAAATTATTAAAACTGTTTTTCAAAACAAAAATGATCGTCAAAAAGGAATTTTGTTAATTTAAAAAATTATTATAATTATTTTATCAGAAGTATCTTTAAATATATTTTGTTTTATTGATTTAAACAATAATTTTTAATTGAGATATTAATAATTATTACATTTGAATTCAAATTAATTAAAATTTGCGAAAAAATATAGGCATATTTTTAAATGTTATATATATTCTAATTGTTAATGAAAATAATAGATAATTATTTTGATGATACTTTTAGTGAAACACGGCAATATCCTAAAGTGCTTTACCCAAAAGTGTCTCTTGTTCTCTGCAGTATATTAGACATTGAAACAAATTGAGTACAGTACTCTAGTTGAGTCATGTTTGTTAATTAATTTTCTATTGATTAGTATGAAAATTTTTAGTAAATAAAAAAAATAGCAAATATTATGCAACAAACAATTAATACAATGAATTTTAATATTTATTTAATTTTCAGTAGACCAGAATAGCTGCAATGAACTGAATATTTAGGGTTTTTTTTCAACGCTAAACTTCTTTTGAGTCATTCGCAAAAATTATACCGGCTATTCCTCGAGAATTTATTATAGAGAGAGTACAGAGCAGGGTAGTGCGGAAGAACGGCAACGAGGTAGATATTGAGCGACGCCAGACGTCGTAGCGCACCACCGGCACCAGTGGTGCGATTGCTTGCGATCAGTCACCTTTTAGCCACCGCCCCAGATACTCAAAGATTTCTTTGCCATTGCCGGGTTATTCTTTCATCGATTCTACTAAAGTTCCTTTTATTTCGAGTCCTTTCTCCAATTAATTACACCTTTTTTTGTAACATTTTATTCATCATGATCATTGATCTTGTACGTAATTCTGTCTTGCAGTGCTTTTGCCACAGTTGCAAAGCTCCTTTGAGTGTTCTAGGTAAGTTGTAATTCTTCTTCCTCATTTCTATTTTATTCATCGAAATTTATATCTAATCCAATTTATCACCCTAATCATTATATTATATTTCCTAAATTATTTTTGCAAATAGTTAGAATTCATTATTTCCTCCCTTCTTCAGTTTTTTCGAGAGAAGCTTTCAGCTTTATTTCCTCTTTATTTCCGGGTCGAACATTCTTTAATAATCCTTTAAAGTTTTGCAATTATTGAAGAGATTTATTACTCTTCTTTTTGTCTTAAAATTATTCAACTAGAATCGAATCGATATATAAATAAGTAATAGTACATCATTATATCCTGACGCCACCTGCAATTCGATCAATTTCATCAAGGTGCAGGAGCCGAATACAGGTCTTTTTTTATCGCGACAATGAAAAGTTTAATCCATCAATAAAAAAACTTTTCTATAAATTCTGGAAATTAATTATTTAAATTACTTTATATTTAGTTTAATTTTTTAATCAACAAAATAAATTATTTCCGTATTTGAAATTTATTTTTATTAAACAAATTTTAGTATCATATTTATACAATTAATAATTAAATTAATATTCTGCTATGATTTGTAGCATTGTTGAAATTTTTTTAATAATTAATACAGCCATAAAAAAAAATTATTTCTTCTCAACATTACATTTAGCTAGAGTTCCAAGTTTATTATAAATTAAATACAAATTCAAAGTCATTATTTTTTTATATAAAAAGAAATTAACTTCCGGCAATTTTATGGCAAGGGTGCGGTCCAAGATGGCTACACATTCATGATTTTTTGATTAACAACTCCCTCGAAAAAAAAGAAAAAAATATCTAATTCCCAATTGTAAAATTTTTTTTTAAATTTACAACGTATTAATTTCGCAATAAAAGCTGGACAGAAGAAAGAAGGAAGCACAGCACCAATGAAGAAGCCAAGTGGAAAAGGAAAAGCTCGTACTAAACAACCAAAAAAAGTTAAATTTATTAGTAAGTAATAAATCATTCCAACCCAAATTGGTTTGCAAATTGTAAAAAAATAATCATTAATGCTTCTCTTGGTTCAATATCATAGCTCGTTCAATTTCATTATCAATGTATATGAGCAAATAACATTCATGAACTTTAATAGCATACGTCATTGGCGAACTTTGAAGTGCATCATTCACTTTTATACTTAATCAATCAATAGCATCGGACTTGTCGGTAGAAAAATAATCATAAAATAAAATAAAACATAAGTGTAAGCAATGATGATGTATGGTATGAATGTATATGTTTAATTTTGCAGACTATTCTTCATTTAGGGGTGCGTGTAATGTAGTATTTGCTTCTAGACGTCGCGGCGCCTACAGACAATTGTATTCCATACTGCTGTCAAATCGATCTTTCTTTACAAAGCATTTTTATATTACTGAGTCATTTGCTCATGAAAAAACAATTCACTTTTATGTAGGATATATGTATCTGATAGTTGATCATCTTGAAGGATGATTCTTAATTGCTTTATGTATCAAGATACTTTGAAAGCTATCAAATTTATTGAATTCAATTAATTTTTTTTAGCAAGTTTAGATCTAAGGAAGAATAAAAATTTAAAATACTGATTTACAAAAAATATTTGATAATTAAAAGAAAGAATTTGAGATAAAATATAAAAATTTATTAAATTGAAATTTTTTAAATAATTTTCATAACAATAACAGTGATTGCGCAATTGTAGTCTGGCATGATGATTCATCAAGTTCAGGAGTAGTGTATTGAGCATGTTCAGTATTGAACAGAAGATGAGACGTCTAGACAATTATTTGCTTTGAACACTATTGTTATTCTTTATCTTTTTGATCAAATATATTTTGTACTTATTTATAAAAGAAAAAACATTAATTAAAATTAATCTTACATATTTAGCTACTGAGATCCGGTGTCAAGAGAAATCCAAAGGTGGATTATGCTATGAAGTGATTTTGGCTGAGCCAACAGGTGCTAAACGCGCTCCATCACCAGGTCGTCAACAACAACAATTATCATCTCAACAATCAACAATTGAAGATAAATTGAAAGCTGCTGAAGAAAGAAGACTTTCTCTAGAAGCTCATAAATTAGCTTCCTTAGCTGCACAATTAAGTAAAATAGAAGAAACTGCCCGCAAGAAGGATGAACTTACATCTGCTTTTATAATTGCTACTCGTGAATCGCTTGATGCGAAAATGAATAATTCTGAAGAGAAACGAGAAGCCCATATTACTGAGCTTAAAAATAAATTAAAAGAGCACGTAAGTTTCTCTTTAAATTTTTATATTATTTCTATCTAACTATCAACGAAAAAGTTATTAAAAATTTTATATTTTTGTTATTTCAGTTGGAAAGTGTAGAGAAAACTCGTTTAAATCTTGAACAACAAACTCAAGAAGTACGTACTGCCGTTGAGGAAAAGCTTAAGACTGCAGCAGCTCAACGAGATGAGAATATGAAAAAAATGTTGGATCGTCTAAAGGAACATGTTAGTATATAAAATATTTATTTTTATTTCTTTTTAGTTTTAAATGATAACTAAAAAAATAAACAAAAATTATTTTATTTGTAGGAAGAACAAGTTAATCGAGTTCGTCAAGGAATGACAGAACGTGTTCAACAACTAGAGTCACAAATTCAAGGAAAATTGGATCAAGCACGAGAACGTCGTGAAATTATGGAACGTGAACAAAAAGAAAAATTACGTAATCATGTAAGATTCAAATATTATTGTAATTTTTATGAAATATCTTTATATTAATTCTACTAGAATTAATTACTTATATAAAATAACAAAAAAAAACTTGATAGAATACAGTGAAGATAGCAAGAGTTCGTGAAACAGCTGATGTTAGTGCTATGAGGGAGCTAGAGGCAAAAAAACGTGAAATTGATTTGAAAGTTTCAATCGCGGAAGAAAATCGACAACGCGAAATTCAACGACGTCTACAAGTCATTCGTCAACATGTAAAATTCATCAATAATAAAATTTATGTTTGATTTGTTATCACTCATTTTACTTTAATGAATCATTTTTATATTCAATTTTTATTTCAGTGATTTTTCTAATTATTTTGCTACAAATTTTTTTAGAGTTATCAATGTTATTTATTTTAGTTATGCTTATTTAACAATTGTATTATTGTTTAATAATTATTAAATCACATCATTCTAACTTTTATTATTATTTTTTTTTAAGGAGAGACGTGCAGAAATGGTCAGACAAAATAAAGCAGCCCTAACTGGACAAGATACTAGGGGAGATGAGAGTGCCTTAGCCATGAAAATCGAAACTGCCAGCTCTGGTTAAATAAAATATCTACAAGAACAACAAGAATATTGAAACAACAGTTATTGGGCAGACCATATTATATAAAATGGCCATTTCTTAACTCTGTGATCAAGCCTATCAACACTCAAATTAACAACAAAAATTTTTAACTATTCTAGGACTGCCCAATTACTTTTCTCTCTTGTTGCATATAATAATACATGTGCTATTAATGATTTTTTTTGTGCCTATAACAAATGTGCTAAGATCATATGCTATATAAATGGTTGGCTATAATTAATATTAATTAACATTGAAAAGTAAGTAAAAAATAACAACATTTTTTTAAATGCACTATGCGCATTGGGAAAAATAGTATTTAAGAAATACGTATTCAATGCTTATAATTTTTTTTTTTCTATTCTTATTATACATGTATCGTATAAATCACACTATTTATGATACGTTGATATGTCGGCTTTAATAGTAAATTTTAAATCTAAATATTAAAAATTCGAATTGGCTTATAATGTTATTCATAATAAGAAAGCTGACTATAATTATTGAAAAATTTTACTTATTTGTGTAATGACACATAATAACTTCTGTAAATCACTTATTTTCAATATAATTAAATACCTAGTCATCGCTGAAATAACTAAGAAAAAAAAAAAAACTACTCAAAAAAGTATTTAAGCAGGAAAAAAGTGAGTGAAATGCGAGAAAACTACTGCTAAAATCAATTATAAAGTGATAACAAAGTGTGTCTGCGTATGATATAATGTTAATCCAATTTAAATAAGTAATTAATGTAATTAAATGCTTTATACAATTTATACTAAGCTTTAAAAAGTTATAAAATCATTTTTTACTGTAATAATTTTGACATTAACTTGCGGCATTAACGGAAATAAATAAAAAACAAAAAAATTTAATAATTGTTAAAAAAAAACACAAATTAGTATTTCTTTTACATCAATTATATTTGTGGTATTGAATACTTGTATCCTAATTATATTCAGTCCTATGCTATATAAAATTAACTCCTTAATATGAAATAATTAAACAAATAGTTTTAAATTATTAACAGTATAATTATAACTATTAAATTCACATTATCTCTGATGAAATAATTTAATAACAAGTCTACTCTAATTATTTACAATGATATTATATAAAATTTAATGATGAAATGGGTATTAAATACACGTTTAACCTAAAAAAACTAAACAACATAGACTTAAAAATATCTACTTTCAATTGCGATTTATAAAATACACTACTATTAGAAAATTTAAAACCACTTGTAATTTTATGTTTCAAATTTTTTTTTTTTTATATTCTATAAATATTACAATTTAAAAAGATGCTCCAAAACTTTCTGACGGTAGTGTATGTAATAATTTTTATAAAATATTAAATATAAAATAATTGCTAAAAATTATACTGCTATAGACTGTCACTTAAAATAAAAAATAAAACTTAGGATGACAAAAAATTATAAAACACTTTAATGGTTTTATATTATCGATATACTAAACAATTAAACTTTTTTATGATTGACAATGATTGCATCTTTCAATAAATTACTCATCGTAATAATTGGATTACGAATTTGAAAAAAAAAAAAAAATTATACAATGAAAATAAGAAAAGTACAATCTACTATACCAGTAAAAAGAATTGTTTATCATTCCACTGAGAACAAAATAACACTGACGCAATTAAATACATATATATGGACAATAATAATAATTTTCAAATAAACCATGCGCAATAGATACATTTGATCCACACTGAGATGGCTCAATGAATGCATCTCAAAAGAAGATCTAAGACTGATCAGTAGCGCCATAATCAAAATAATTATCAATATTTTTTTTTATAAAAAAGCATGATTTAATGAGACACAAATAATTGCGTAGAATAATCGAAGAATCGTAGAATAACAAGTGCATCCACATAAGTCGGAATAAAATAATAACTTAAATATTTTTATCAACATTTAATGTACTTTTAAAATTTTCAAGTTTTTTCTGTTATTTAATAATTCACTTTATAAAGGAGTAATTAGAAAATTAAAGTTCGAGTGATAAATTCATAACAAATAGTACTTAAACATAGGGTCTTAATTTCAGTTACTACATCCCTGTTTTGTTATAAAATTTAATGATGACGTCGTTGGAACGATAGTACAGTTCAGTATGTATGCACAGGCAGGCCAGTATAGTTGCAGATAGTTACAGTACAGCTAGTGTAGCTGATTAGTAAGCTAAGTACTTATACTAACTTATACAAGAGTTAGAAAAAACCTATACCATTACTTCCAATTAATAGGTTGGCCAGACTAAATAAATACATACAAAGAAAACAATAGTGAGACAATACATAAGGCTGGAGAATGGCAAATGGCTGCCATGTACTAACATACGTGAAAAGAATTGAAAATTATAATGCGTAGTCTGAGTGTGGTATATTATAAGGATTACAATCGTTTTGAAATTGATCAGAAATGTTGCTGAAAGTTCGTCATTTAGATAAAAAAAATCGTAGACATGGAAAAAATTACAAGGTCATCACAGCCGGTAAGTTAAAGAGCTTTTGCTAAATTTTTAGTATTACTGTACTTTTCACCCAATACACCGACATCAAGTATTAATCATACATATATGCACTATATTATATATGTTAAAAAACCTGTTAATCATCACATCAGTGGTCAATATAAAAGTTTAACTATTCAAATAATGTAAAAAATAATAAGTCTAGAGATTTATAAAATTAAATGCCTTTGTCTTAATAATTGTATTAATATAATGCTGAATACAATCAATATCTATCAATACAGATTATTGAACTTTGTGCATTAATTATAAAAGCATTGTTTGGCATTGAAGAAGACTGCTATAGATTTTTCTTGCTAAGAATGAGTTTATAATCAATAACATAGATAAAAAATATATCTCAAGTCTGTTATTTTAGTTTTTCAATCATGTTAATGTAAACAAATATATCTGAATAATTCTTCTAAGTTGCTAATCTATTTTATGATATGTTGGCTTGATATGCTCTTAAACTACATTATTGCTATTAATAATGAATTTTAAAATACACTTTATGTGTACATGTAACATGTTTATCAACAAAATATGAATTTAATTGCTCTTCTGCACACATATCTGCTTTCATGATTGTTCAATCAAAAATGAGTATCATTTTTTTCCTTTTTTCATTATTTTAAAATTGATTTATATCTACAATACTAATGTTTATTACCAATATTTATTTGTTATATTATAATTCAAGTATGTAATAATAATTTCTGTCTCTTTTTTATATAAATTTTTACCTATTTAAATTAATATAAACAAATAAGAATAATTAAAGGTTAGGTTATAATAATATCTTTATTAATATTGAGAAATAATTATTAATTATTTTTAAAAATTAATAACAATAGATGGATGTCACATTAAATATTAACTATTTTTTGATAGATATAAATTACATTTCTGATTAATATTTTTTTATTTTATACCAATTGAAAAAAAATTCTATTAGCAGTAAGCTTAACATTAAATCATTTGCTTATATAATGAAATTGAAATTTAAACAAAAAAAAAGTATTCATAAAAAATTAATGTACTTTAAAGTACACAGTGTTCTATCATTTTAACTTCATATTTATCATTTGAGTTGAATTAAAAAATTTACATTAAACTTATTATAGTATTTACAATAATAATAACAATCGGCTGGGTCATCGTCCAGTCGAAGAAGCGATTTATGTTAAATGATCCGTGCGACGTCCGACTTACTTGACACTTATATTATTGGCCTATTGCTTTGTTGTTCTGTATTTGATGCTGTACTGTTTTGTGCCAATTAATTGATTGTAAAAGAGACGAAGAGAGAAATAATATAAAATTTTTAAAGATTTATTACTTTTAATATTCATAATTGACCTACTAGAGACACTTAAATATTATGTAAATTTATTTATTATTTATTGTAAATCTTTAAAAACTGTTTCCGTATTTTTCTAGTATTTTTAAATAATAAATTAATGATATCTCTTTTTGATTTAAAATATGAATAATAAAATAAGCTAAAATAATGGCAATATAAATGGAAAGTTCAAGATATTTAACCGAATTTCGAAGTTACTTTCAAATTAACATTCACAATAAATTATCTTATTTAAAAAAAAAAAAATTGTGATGTTATTTAAATTTTAAATATTTTACTTTATATTGTATTAGACAATTTAATGAATAAGATTGTAAGAATTTATTATTATGGTTATGATGATGATTATTATTATAATTGATAATATTAGTAATAATAATAATAATAATAATCAAAAAATATACTGAGAAATATATATATATATATATATATAAATAAGACTGTTCTTTCTTGACGTCATTGGCAAACTGAACCGGTTATATTCTGCAATAAATACAACTTTCGATCTTGATGGCTCCTACTTCAAGAAGGACTGGGATATACGTATCATTATTTAAATGTAACCTTACTATTATATTGGATCTTCACAATGACCTTATATTTGAGTCAGAGTGCTCGAATTTAACTTATTGATTGCACGATGATATTTTAAATACATTTATTGCAATTGTTCTTTAAATATTAAATAAAAAAAAAAAAACAAACAAACAAAAACATTTCTTAAACAATTGAATATAATTCTAGAATACGTTTATTCAAGAAAAAAATTATGCTACTTAATATAATTAACTCGTTCTCGTTAATAATAAATAAGACTATATTCTGTAAAAACTTGTTGTAATTAATTGAGATGAAATACTAAGAAAGTAAATCTGCAATAGTAATAGTTATTATTGTATTATACATTGTATAAACTTGATTCACTTGCATTGACGTCAGAATTTCAGAAACGACCACTGTAAGAATAAAGCTATGTAATAATTATCTAATTGTAAGACTGATTGATCATGATAAAACATATCTAGATAATTTATAATACATCTAAAAAATAGGAATCCACTGTGTAAACGTATAAGTTGTAAATTATTATTATACCACTTGTGTTATACTACTGCATTTTTTTTTTCACAAGCGTACTAGGTGTATATTTATAATTATTCTATCCCTTTTTTTGTTGTGCATATTTAAGTTGAAAAATAAAAAAATAATTATATTTAGTATAACTTTTATATTGTATCTTTAAGTTATCAGTTAAAGTGATTTTATTATTCATAAAAAATTTTTATATAATTTAAGGACAATAATTAATCTAAATATGAGAATAAGTTCAACGTTCTTTTATCACTAATGAAATATAATGATAACGAAATTGAAATCTATTCTCATTGGTGATATACATAATAAAAGGTGTGCACTTTGATTATATCTGTAACAATAAAATAAGAATAATTATCACCATAATATTCACAATTGTATATTTGCTACGGTAATAAAATTTAATTCATTATGAATTATTTCATAATATGAGTCTAATGACTCATTTTGTATTTGTGTATTTATTAATATCTAAGAACTTATTGTAATGTGTTATTACTTAATCTAGAATATATCAATTATTAAAAGATAATATTAATAATTTTGTTGTAGCAAGTTGAAATTAGAAATGATAAGTAATTATCATTTCACGCTTTATTTCTAATATTATTATTCTACATATTTTTATCGAAATTTCTCATTAAATATATTTTCTTTGGAGATGAGATAACTCCAGAAGTTTATTTATTTTAGCAGAAAATGAAATCATTCAGGTCATTGACATTCATGGTCTGGTTTTATTAAATCTTTTAATATTTGATAATTTAGAATAAGATTTTCCATCTATTTATATCTAAAATTAAGTTTGAATTATGATGTGATGTTTAATTATAATAAATTAAATGAAAATAATTTTTCTGTATTTGTTTTTTAGGTAATAATGTAGCTGATAGTTCCACTTCATCTAGAACTTCTTACAACGCAATAAGTTCGTTGGCAAGTAATAACAATTTATGTCAAATTTCAACAAGATTTAACCAGCAACAACAAGTCAAACCATCCCAATATCGATCATCTGTTAAATTACCATTGACACCAATTGGTGGTGTAGTTATCAAAAATTCGGATGAATTCGAAGCCAATGCAGCAACTGAAATTTGTGATAATTCAAGTGATTCTGGATTAGGTTTCGAAGAAAGACAACATCATCATCACCACCACCATCATCACCATCATCATCATCATCTTCCCAATCAACAACAACAACAAAAACAACAACAGCAGCATCATTTTCTTGATAACTCTACGGTAATAATGATTGTTTTTTTTTTTTTATTATTTATTAGTTAGTTTAAAGGAATATTAATGTTATTGCGTTCTTATTTTAGACTTGGAATACTGAACTTGGTGGGGAAGAAGATTCCAAGAGACGAAAAATGGATATTAAACTTGAATCAGAGGACGCTAATTTTCCATTCTCTGAAGTTCCAATATCCGCTGGTACAGCAACTGGAGATATGAAGATTGCTACCAAAAATTCTGGAATTACCTTTTCACGTGTCTCTAACAATAGTACAACTATTAACAAAGTTATTGGAGTTACGAGATCACGTTCAACTCTTGGTGTTTATGGAAAAAGATCCTCACCAGTAGTTCATCAAGGTCCTGTTACTCTCACATCACAATTGAGTATGTATTAAAATTTTAAATAAACAGTCAATATTTCATTAAATAATTATAAAGAAAAATACTTTTTCGTCATGCCTGCGCGGAAAGTTCACTTTTCCATTGGAGAGGGGTTGAACTTTCCACTCAGGTATGACGAAAAATTATGTTCAGCCCTAAGGAGGACAATTAGACAAGCTTAAACCACGTGTTTACCCCCCTCGCCTTCGGCTCGGGTTGTAATTTTACACGTGGTTTGAGCTAGTCTACTTTTCCTCCCTAGGTGTGAAATATACTATTATGTTTATCTAATAAATTAAATACATTTAGAGACTTTCTCTTGATATTTTAAGTATAGTTAATGATAATAATAATTATTATTATTATTATAATGTATAAATTTTTTATGATTAGGTAATGTGTCGAGAAATGGTAAAGTCCAGTTACAAATAATATGCCAACCAGAGCAACAGCATAGAGCGCGTTATCAAACTGAAGGGTCACGAGGTGCTGTCAAGGATCGTACTGGAAATGGGTTTCCAGTAGTGCGTCTTATTGGATATGATAAGCCTACAACCCTACACATTTTTATTGGTACAGATCTTGGACGTGTTACACCTCACATGTTCTATCAAGCTTGTCGAGTGAGTGGTAAAAATTCAACACCATGTATTGAAACAAAAATTGATGGTACAATAGTTGTTGAGGTGGACATGGATCCTGCTAAAGATATGGTTGTTACTTGCGACTGTGTTGGTATCCTGAAAGAACGTAACGTCGACGTAGAACATCGTTTTCCTCATGCTGCCGGAATGCTCCAAGGACGTAGCAAGAAAAAGTCAACACGATGTCGAATGGTATTTCGAACCACCATTACACTACCAGATGGAAGCAACGAGACATTACAAGTCTGTTCGCAGCCAATTGTGTGCAGTGAGTTGTGCTCTCTTCCTCTTCAAGCATCTTTTTGCAAGCTGAAGATTTTGCGGATATGAAAAGTAAATGGTAAACTGAAATAAACTGATTTTTTCAGCCCAACCACCTGGTATACCAGAAATCTGTAAGAAATCTTTGACTTCATGTCCATGTACGGGAGGTGTAGAACTCTTTATTATAGGAAAGAATCTTCTTAAAGATACTCGCATCGTTTTTCAAGTTGACAATCAGGATATTAATTGCCTTAATGAGCCTCATTGGGAGTGTTCGGTTATTCCGGACAAAGAATTTCTTCAACAAACGCATTTGGTCTGTGTGGTACCGGCATACCAGAGGCAAGATCTTCGATCTGATGAAAGTATTACTGTAAAGCTTTTTGCCATTTCATCTGGGAAAACCAGTGAGCCTCATACTTTTATATATACAGCAACATCTACACCTCCGGTGCCATCTGTAGGTAAGGTTGAATCTTCATCATCACTCATCGTTTCCACGTCGACGAATGAAATGCTTTCAACGTCGCCAACAATACCACCACCACCGCCTCTACCACCACCACTCTCATCACCAACACCAACACCTCCTTCATCATCATCATCTCCATCATCATCATCAATTGCGGCAACAGTACCTACTACTGGTAAGATTTAAACCTTTTTATTGGTCATTTTTTTTTTTTTTCTAAGTAATATTAATTCAAATTTTATTCTTTTTCAGTACTAATCCCTGAGAGTGACGTTACTGGCTCAGTGACATCTAATTTTTTAACTAATATTTCACAGAATAATGTGACTCAACAACACTCGTCAGCATATCATGATTTATTGCAATCAGATATGTTGAAAACTGATCCGACTTCATCATCTGTATCCATATCTAATTCATCTATGATACTTTGGCCTCCTCAAACATCAACTTCTTGTCGTAATTCTTCAGTAGATGATATGTTACCCCTATCACAGCAAAATAGAGTTGACAATTCTCTTCTTAATGCTCGATCTTCTTCATCAAGTCATCATCAATTGATAATTCCTGATGTGTTGAAGTCTGAAGTTTTAGAGGAAAAATGTACAACTAATATAATGAATGAAAATAGTCTTCAAAGTATGTCAACTTCTACTGCAGGTGCTACTACAAAAACTTCTACTAGTCCATTACACCATCAGCTTCACATTGATGAGAATGTGATTGATACAGTTTCAGAAACAACTTCAACGTCTTCACCATCATCAACAGTGCCACAAGAAACTGTTAATCTTTTAGGTGTTGTTGATTTAATACATAATCAGCAGCATCCACTGACACTTGTTACTCAAGATCATCAAAATTCATTAACTGGAATACATGAACAATCAGTAATTGATAATGTACTTAGTTCTCACCATATAAACAAAGATACCAGTTCTATGTTATCGAATGAATCAGTGTTAAGTGAAAGTAATCTCTCGGGTGTTGGTGTAGCTGTTGATCTCCGTATGAAACATCATGAATTTCAAAACCTTAATAATTCTGCGGCAACACTTTCAGCAGGTCATCATTCAGCTTTAGCCACACAAATGAAAAATAAATCTATAGAACAACATTTAAATCATATTGAATCTAATGTTACTTCAATTATTGAAACTACGGATGCGACACAACAAAATTTTGTTGATTCTACTCAACAATCTGCTCTCATAGGAAGTAGTCCGAACAATGCTCGAGAACAAGGACAAGATAATTTATCAAAAAATATTCTTACATCAACATCAGTAGCGGTTGCTACAAAATTGGATGCTCTTGTTAATTCAACCATTGAGTCTCATTCGATTGATCGAATGATTACACCAATATCAAGTGTAACGATGCACAATGCAGCATTAATGAATCAAATTGACATTGATACAATGTCAAATCTTCAATCTCAAGAGTCAGTTTCTCAAAATAATTCTACTACTTTATCTAATACAGTAAAAACAATGTTACTGGAATCTGTAATGTCATCATCTGTGGTAGATGCTGTTGTTGATAGTGTAACTGCCACTACACCATCGACAACAACAGCATTAAATGAACAACAAACTAGTATAAATACAATGGGTGACAATATTATTATCTCAGAATCATCATCGCCATCATCATCACCACATTCAGAATTGTCTTGTTCATCTGACAAATCTTTATTAACAACTATGAATCCAGTAATGCTATCATCTATGACAGAATCAGTCAATGTTGATCCCACAATATCTAATCCATCTGTAAATATGTCTGTTCATAATTCTTATTTACAAACACCAAATGAATCGATACCAAGACAAATTCAAGTGCTCAGTCAGCGAGATGTTGTAATACAAGAACAAGTAGAAAAGGTAGTCGCCCAAGCACAACAGCAAGTGGAGCAAGTAGTAGCTCAGGTACAACAACAAGCTGTACAAACAGTTCAACAAGCTCAAGAACAAGTGCAAAAAGTCGTACAAAAAAACGTACAAGTAGTCCAACAAGCAGTACAAAGAGAAGAGGCTGTTCGTCAAGTTCAAGCAGTACCAGAAGTCCAACAAGCTGTTCAACAAGCTACTCAAGAAGTTGTACAGCAATCTGTACAAAAAGTTACTCAAGAGGTAGTTCAACAAATGCAAGCCGTTCAACAAGCTGTTCAACATGCCCAAGCAGCTCAAGCTGTACAACAAGTTGTTCAACAAGACATTGGTTCAATGTTAAATCAACCTGCTGATTTTGTAGCTGAAGCTAGTTCTGTATTAGCCAATAGTGCTGCTCAAGAACCAAATCAACAAAGGTTGACAAATGCCGCAGAAAAAGCTATTACTAATGTTATCACTAATGCAACACAAGATATTATGAATAATCGTCCAATTTCTACAACTACTGCACATGCTATTATTGCTACGAAAAATATTTTAAATAGCGTTGTCACTCAAAGCGCCCAACTTATGAATAGTGCAATGGAAGGTATCTTACCTAAAACTCCATCAAATGGAATTCCAGCTGCGGCTGCTGTTGTTGAACAAATTGCTTCACAAGTTTCACAAAAATCAGCACAAAATGTTCAACAATTACCAGTTATACAACAGCAACATAATCGTCCATGTGTCACTTGCAATGGAATTAATAGTAATACTATTCCAACTGTTAATGGTCAAGTTTCTGTCTTAAGAAAAGCTGAAGATTCAAATAACATGTTACCACAAGAACTTACTTCTATGTCGGATCATGATTTACTTAGTTACATTAATCCAAGCTGTTTTGATCAAGAGGCCTTTCTCATATAATCATAAAAAAATATTTCTAAATCTACAAAATTTTATAGAAAAAATATTTTTCATTTGAACCGATAATAATCAAATATTTCAAGAGAGATTAATTTTTCATAAATATCAATAAATAAATCAATAGCTATGAGAATTATCAATAATACATGAAATAATATCCATGATTTTATGTTATTATTTACTAGATTCATAATGTTTGTTATTTTTTATAGTTATTCAATAATTTATTTGTCTTACATTTAAGTAAGATTTTTTTTGGACTATGTTCAATTGTTTAAACGTGCAAAATTTGTATAATAATTGTTGATTTTAAAATTAATTGCCTAATGAGAGAATTGTTGTTTTATCAATTAATTGATATAATTTTCCAAAAAAAAACGAAAAAAAAAATACATGTTAATAAAATCTCTTTGTTTTTTTCATTTTTAATCAAATTTACGTAAATTTATAACATTTACCGTGATATTATATTATACTCATCAAAATAATAATGTACGTATAAATTATTAGGTGCCTTTCTACTTTAAAGAAGACTATATAAAACACTGCATAGTATAATTTTTCAATTGAAGTGGTTTTCATTTTTCTTACTTTTTTAAAAGTTTTATATTATATAAACATCAATTCGATAATAACGTATGATTATGAGAAGTTTATTTATTATTAATAGGCAAAATGAATATTATAGTATTATATTATAAAATTTGATAAAATTCATTTTATACTATGTGATAAATTTATAAAATTAATCATGAGAAATTTTTTGAGGTAATACTGTAGAAAAAATTTATTTTAAATACTGTTATATTAATTTAATAATTCAAGTATACGTTAAATGTTATTCATTTTATTTCAATTACATAATCAATTTTGTTTTATATTATCACTAAAAATATTTATTGATATCTTTATATTATCAATGATTGTTGATTTATTTTTATAGGTAATCAATATTGTACCCAGTTTTTTTTTTTTTAATTATATTTTGCCTTCATTTTTAATAACTAATAAAAATATCGAATGATAAATAATATAAACTATTATTAATTAAGAGATTATTTTTTAGAAATAGAATATCTATAATTTGTTAATCATTTGATGATTATATTAATAACTAAATATATATTATATACATTTTAATCCGTTATATAGATATTAATTATATAATGAAGTTGAAGGAAAAAATTATTTAAATGAAATACCGATGTTTTAAGCATTGTTAGATAAAAGAAAGAATTGAAAAATTGATAAGAAAGAAGAAAAATAATGAAAATATTTATTGTTTATACAAATATATACATATATATATATATTTGTTTATCTATTTTACTATACAAATAAATGAGTGTATTAAACAGGACAGTTGTTAGTTAATTATTAATTTTAAAAATCTATCCTATCAGTAATAATTATCTCTTAAAATGAAAAATTCCATCAACTTAAATACCAAATGTTATTATCAATAACTTTTACCTTTTGTTCTTTCAATAGTTTTTGAAGATGATGAGAAATATTGATTGAAGCTGCTGGCCACAAATTTTCTGGTGTATTCTAATATTAATTAAAGATATATTATTAATCACTATTTATTTATATTATAAAATAATTATTACCTTATAAATAATTTTAACAATGTCTGTAACAGATAGGCCAGTAGGATGATCAGTCAAAGTTTCTAGAATTTGCATTTCACGTTGATTTCTATGATTGATATAATGTGTAATTCTAATTACAGGATCTTCAACAACCGGACCATGTCCAGGATAAATAGTTTTAGGTTTTAACAATAATATTTTCTTCAATGATGCCATGTAATCGCTTAAATTTTCAAAAACAGCAGTAGTTTCTCCAAGAATACAATCTCCACTGAAGAGAATATTATCATTTGATTCTTGATTGAACATTAAACAAGCGTGATCTTCAGTATGACCTGGTGTATATTTAACAATAATTTCAGCACCTACTACATTGATAACTTGATCATCAATCAATTTTTTCCAGTTATTTTGAAAGATATTTTTATCTTTATTTCCTGGTAATGGTAACTTCCAAATTGTTGGGATTTCCCCAGAGCTTGATTGGATCAATTGTTCAACAGCTTTTACACCTCCAATATGATCATGATGCCAGTGAGTAATAATTAAATGTTCAACTGTAGCATTTTCATCTTTCAGAACATTTTGTAGTGCTTGAATATACTGCGGAGCAGTATCTTCATCTCCAGAATCGATCAATATACGTCTGGAAAACGAAAGCTGCTAATAAATGGTTGACAAGTGAATTTGACAACTATCTTATACCTCTCTCCAGTTCCAACCAAATATGTATTAGTACCTTGAAGTGTCATTACACCGGGATTACATCCTAATATTCGTATCACTTGCTTGGATAATTTAGAAATAAGTGGTAACGGAGTAAGAGACATTGTTTATCAAATTGAAAGGTTATATCTTCTATTATTAATTCTTATCTATTATATTATCATCAAATATTTTTATTTAAATTTGTCCTCGAGATTTATCATTTTTAAATCAATTTGTGTTATTCAGATTTATGTGAATCTTTAATTGTGTTATTAACTAATATTTTATTTATTTAGAGTAGATTTTCACACAAACATTCCTAACATCATATGTGTATTCATTTATTTTCATTAGTATGTTGCATATTTGTATGCATCTGATGTTTATGTAATATAAAACATTTAGATGGAGATAATTTGAAAAATTGTTATAAATAAAGACAAATAAAGTTAAAAGCAATATTATTTTTCATAATTATAAATTTATTTTCATAAAAAATAATGTTATAAATATGTACGTAAATAAAAAAAATTTGCCATAATATTATTAATAAATTTTTGTGTAAATTTACATTAATATATTTTCTCTCATTCTTTTGGCCTTTATCATTCTATTTTCAAAAGCAAATAAATTTATCTATAAATATATAAAATACGGGTTTACGTGATAATAGAAAATCTCAAAATTATTTTGTCTTAATAGCTGATCGTGATCTTAAATTTTTTTTCGTCGCTTGATCAACTTCTGGAAGGTCATCGTCTTCAGAGGTCATTGATTTTTTATTTTCTTTTTTCTTTAATTTTTGTTGTTTAGATTTAGCTTTCACCGCTGTAACAGAACTCGTACTACTGTCTTTAGTTCGTAGAGACTGCCGTTTCATAAAGTCATAAAGTAAATATGCTTGGAATAATAAAACTAATCCAAAAGCCGAGAATCGTACGACTGGAGCGTTGAAGTTTCCAATAGAGTAATCTAATAATGATTGCACTTTGCTTAATCCATAAATATAAAACGTAGCAGCACCAATCACAGTCAAAACTCTAACTAGTACGTAGATGAAATTGGCAATTAAGAAAGCCACTAAAAATATTAAAAATAATTTCATTTATTATCGTATTTAATATTTATATTTATTCATAAAAAATATTAATTATTACTTACCTCGTGTAATATGTTCTTTACGATAAACAATGTGCATTAACCGTGCACCATGTTGGAAAAGATCTCCAATATAATGGCACACTAATAGCATCACAGTTATATGTTGGAAGCTAAAAGAATACATTTCTAGATTAATATCCTATAATTAAAAATATTAATGAAAGAAATGATTAAAAAAATACTGTACTTGAAGAAGTATGCAGTAAGAGTGAAAAACAATCCAACAGTAGCTTGGAAAACTTTAGCACCAATTTCTTCTTTCTTAATTTTTTGGAAGTAAAGTTCAGGATAACAATGAAGCCAGTAGGCAAGTTGGATGATGAAAAATAACTTCATAGAAAATGACATAAATAATGGATAAGATTCCCACAGTGAGTGTACTCCTAATACCAAATTATCTCTTATAATAATATCAATCCCCCAAATAGCTGATAAGGTAAAAAATACTGCTAATTGGCTCGACTCGTTGAATTTTGATAACTTGACTTTACTCAAGTGTAATCTCTTCGAAATTTTCTGAAATATTTTAATAATTAATTAACTATTATTTATACAGTATTTAACAGAAAATGTAGTTCATTTTTATTAAACTTACGTCTAGAATATACTCTTGAATGACTGCATGCATAACAATTACGATCAAAAAATAGAAAAACACAGCACAATAATCCTTCCAACCGGTAGCAAATTGCCAGTGAACATCTGTTTCTTGTTGTTGATCTATCGCAGAAATATTATGTTGAAGAGCAATAAAAATATATGCCCATGGAGAAGTCACCTACGATCAGTAGGAAATATTATTAATAGAGAGACTTTAGATGATAAAAAATCAGTAAATGTGTAACATATGGTGAAAGTGGAGCTTGACAGTACATTAGAATATTCGAAAAGTTTATACAAATTTATTACGATTTTATGTATCTACATTATTTATGTTGATCATTAATGATATTACAATGACAAAGTGTTGTAAATAAAAAATTTTTAAGCCTAAAAATTTATTTCTTTTCAATCTAACTGTTAAACTTCTGAAAAAAATGTTTAACCTTAAGAAACATTAAATATTTATTTATATTTATTTTAGCTTGAGGTTTAATTGGTTTAAATATGTCATTAATTATGCTGCATATGTTAAGAAAAGTCATTTATACCTGAATCATAAGTCCAATAACGAAAACCATAGCTATACAAGATACAATATCAGCATGGTTTTGTATAATAAAATCATGACTAAAAATTGGCGGATTTTTGTTTGAACTTTTTCGTCCCTTTACGGTAACCATTTTTATTTGATAAAAAGTTCACCCACTATTATTTCAAGCACTTATTAAGAATAAAAATTTAAACATTCGACGATTAGTAAGGCGACAGTTTGGATTGGAGCAACTCGCGTTTTGTCGTGTTGTAAGTGTACCGTTGTAGTGGTAATTAAATGATGTGTGACAGGTTATATGGTGACGTTAGGAAAAACATTAAGTTGATTGAACATAGAGAGGAAAATCGTAAAATTCTGTAGAAAAAAAGTGTCTAGTACGTGGATCAACTGTGTGGAGCGCTTTATTGCCATTAAAGATACTTTGCACGCATGCGTAGTGCGGTGAAAGGCCGAAGCTTAATTTCAATTAAAATTGAATAAGTAACAGGAGAATTGTTTAAATAATAATAATTTACAGGGATTTTATCAAGCCAAAATTAGCTTTGAATTATGATCCGAGCATAGTTTATACTCAAATTCGATCAAGTTCTGGTTGTTTCCCTGTTTTGAAAGTCGAGAAATCGATTTTCGGAATTTCTGATCTGATACCCCATTTCTTGGCATCAAAACTTAAAAAAAAGCAAATACTTGTTTTTATGCTTGGATCATAAAATCATGGATGTCATTGGGAAGATCTTGATGAGACGATTCCAAAACACTGGTTGTTGACTGTGTTTGGTCAGAAAAATCGCAAGATATTCGTGAAGAACTGTAATACATAAAAATATGCATAACTCCTATGCTAATGATGCTACGGGGTTGATCGAGGGCTCATATGAAAGATCTGGACCTAAGTAAAAAATTCGATCCCCCCTATAGGATATCCCCGTCAAAAATGCCGTATCTCGCATAGTTTCCGAGTTATGAGCGTTTAAAGGTTTTCTTATGTTTCGATGCAGCATAACTTTGTTTTCTGCTTATAACTCACGAACCATTGGACATACATAGACTATAAGCATATCAATGGATTCGTGAGATCAAGAGCTTTCTAATGCACCAGTCAAAATTATGATTTGAGCATAATTTATGCTGAAAATCGAGCCATTTCCGGTTTGATAGAATTTTCGGATTTCTGACTTAATATTACATTACTCAACATCGTGACGAAGCCTCAGAAATGGTAGGAATATCATTTTCTAACCCGTCATTTTTTTTGCCGGAAATGAAGTCAGAAATCCAATATTAATTTACTAACTCTTAAAATTCTATCAAACCGGAAATGGCTCGATTTTCAGCATAAATTATGCTCAAATCATAATTCTGACTAGTGCATTAGAAAGCTCTTGATCTCACGAATCCATTGACATGCTCATAGTCTATGTATGTCTAATGGTTCGTGAGTTATAAGCAGAAAACAAAGTTATGCTGCATCGAAACATAAGAAAACCTTTAAACGCTCATAACTCGGAAACTATGCGAGATACGGCATTTTTGACGGGGATATCCTATAGGGGGGGTCGAATTTTTTACTTAGGTCCAGATCTTTCATATGAGCCCTCGATCAACCCCGTAGCATCATTAGCATAGGAGTTATGCATATTTTTATGTATTACAGTTCTTCACGAATATCTTGCGATTTTTCTGACCAAACACAGTCAACAACCAGTGTTTTGGAATCGTCTCATCAAGATCTTCCCAATGACATCCATGATTTTATGATCCAAGCATAAAAACAAGTATTTGCTTTTTTTTTAGGTCAAATAACAAAATTCTCCAATCTTGATGATCGGGGGCCCATTTTCTTCGTTGTACTACTTGGAAATTGAGAATCCGGTCACCACCTCCGAAAATTAGTTTTACAACCCTTAAAAACGAGCAAGACTTTGAGCCTCTATAACTCCGAAACGGTTTGTCTAAAAAAGCTTTTTAGGGACGTTTTGGAAACCTCAGAATCTAAGCTAAAGATATATATCCATAAAAATCGTTTAAAAAATTTCTTTCACCCTTAAAATCGCAGAAATACATGGAAAGTCACACTTTTCAATAGAGTTTGCAAAGTATTTCGGTGATTTTAAGGGTGAAAGAAATGTTGTAAACGTTTTTTATAGATATGTATTTGTAGCTCAGATTCTGAAGTTTCAAAGTAGCTCCTCATAATTAGTATTAGCCCATTTGTACGAGAGTTATAGCCGTCCAAAGTCAAAGGGGTGGTTTTTTTATACCCTTACTCTGACTTTTGACCTCCGTAACTCTTCGTAAAATCGTCTTATCATCATTTTCGGGCAGTATTTTGAAACTTCAGAATCTGAGCTACAAATACATATCTATAAAAAACGTTTACAACATTTCTTTCACCCTTAAAAGAACCGAAATACTTTGCAAACTCTATTGAAAAGTGTGACTTTCCATGTATTTCTGCGATTTTAAGGGTGAAAGAAATTTTCTAAACGTTTTTTATGGATATATATCTTTAGCTTAGATTCTGAGGTTTCTAAAACGTCCCTTAAAAGCTTTTTTAGACAAACCGTTTCGGAGTTATAGAGGCTCAAAGCCTTTCCAAGTAGTACAACGAAGAAAATGGGCCCCCGATCATCAAGATTGGAGAATTTTGTTGTTTGACCTCAAAAAAAAGCAAATACTTGTTTTTATGCTTGGATCATAAAATCATGAATGTCATTAGGAAGATCTTGATGAGACGATTCCAAAACACTAGCTGTTGACTGTGTTTGGTCAGAAAAATCGCAAGATATTTGTGAAGAACTGTAATACATAAAAATATGCATAACTCCTATGCTAATGATGCTACGGGGTTGATCGAGGGCTCATATGAAAGATCGGGACCTAAGTAAAAAATTCGATCCCCCCTATAGGATATCCCCGTCAAAAATGCCGTATCTCGCATAGTTTCCGAGTTATGAGCGTTTAAAGGTTTTCTTATGTTTCGATGCAGCATAACTTTGTTTTCTGCTTATAACTCACGAACCATTGGACCTACATAGACTATGAGCATGTCAATGGATTCGTGAGAGCAAGGGCTTTCTAATGCACCAGTCAAAATTATGATTCGAGCATAATTTATGCTAAAAATCGAGCCATTACCGGTTTGATAGAATTTTAAGAGTTAGGAAATTAATTTTCAGTATTCTATTTTCGGAATTCTATATGTCCTGAATAAGTGATAATCAGAATTTGTATCTCATATACACTGCATTATAAAATAAGCTTCAATTTGAGACTAAGTTTTTCAAATAAAACCATGAACTTGCGGAGAAATTAGAAACATACGTTCCAATGTATTTAGATAGGGGGAATCAAAATGGCTCCATGACTTGAACCCTGCCTTAACGACTGTTGGTCTCTCTGTTTTATAACATTTGATAATTTATAACAAGATAAAAATATTTATTTACTTTTATTTACAGATCTTGAAGTTTTTTTTTTAAATATAATAATTTGATAAATTTATTTATACAAAAAAAATTTACATTCACATTATGTAATTAAAAAATGTAATTATTTTCAACAATATATATATTTTATTTAATGTAAGTTTTTTACTTAGACATATTATTTTCATAAATGTTAATTATTTTTATAAATCAATTATTTTTAATTTTTTTTAACATTCAAATGTATAAGAAATATACAAATTAGTTAAGATGATCATGCGCACATGATATTTAGTCTGGTTCAAGTATCTTTACACAAAGGAGTACACGTGTTTATCACAATTGTATATATTATTTGTTATTAGTTAATTTATAAATATATGTGTAATGATAATAATGATATCTTAAAAATGGATGACTTTGGTAGAAATCAATTACTCAAATATGGTTGGTCTGAAGGTAAAAACAATATATTTTATTAAAATGTTTTGTTATAGGTTACATTAGAATTTGAAACTAAACAATACATATTTTAATTTGTCTTTAGGAAAAGGATTAGGAAAAAATGAAAATGGAATGATAGAAGCTATAAGACCAAAGCTAAAATTTGATACAACTGGAATTGGCCATAAAGAATCAAATGATTATGAATGGTGGAAAATTGTTTTCGACAAAGCTGCTAGCAATGTAGATATTGCCTCTGATTCACGTGATATTTCATTTAAAACAAATAATAAAAACGTGGAAATACGTACAAGTAAATTATCTACCAATATTTCCAAAGATAAATTAGTTTATGGCAATTTTATAAATACATGTAAATTAGAAGAAGGTAAAATAATTAAAAATAAAGTTAGTGAAACAATTATTTCTCAAACAAGTAGTTTAAAACTGAATGAGAATCTATTAATACCCGATGATGAAGAATTATTTAAAGCATGTGGAGGCAGAACAGCACATAAAGGTGCAAGACATGGAATTAAACAAAGTGGAAAATTAGCAAGAATAGAAAAACAAGAACAAGAACTTATTGAAAAAATTGATTCTTTGGAGATTCTAGATAATTCTTGGATTAAAGTTAAAAAAAAGAAAAAGAAAAAAAATCGAGAAAAAGAGTTTAATGAGGATGAAGTTGATAATACAACAATTACAAATATCCCAAGTAGATTGTCTGATTCACCAGAAGTATTCACTAATGAATTAACGAGTCCGATTAGAACTCTATCAAAAAAAACAAAAAAAAAATTGAAACGTCGTTTAGAAAATTTAACAAATGATTTAGACAGAGTGCTGGATTTAATTGAAGTTTCACCTGGTTCGGAAAAAGGTGAAAAACGTAAACGTAAATCTAAAAATAAAGATAGTGACAGTGATGTAGATATGATGGATAAAAAACAAAAAAAGAAAAGAAGTTTTTCAGATAGCGATATTAATAGCTGTAATAAAACAAATCATTCATTGGTAGAAGTTGATAATTCAATGTTTGATGATAGCAAACCAGTGGTAAAATCTAAAAATAAAAAATCTAAAAAAAAAGACATTCTATCCTCTACTGTTTTAAATAAAAAAATAGAAAAGAAAAAGAAACAAAAAGCGAAAAAAAAAGATGGACAAAAGATCAATTTCCTTGCTAAAAGTCTTAATGAACTTGCCTTAGAGAACAATGTCGAAGTTGTTGAAAAAGATGATGTAATGAAAAAGACTAATAAGAAAAAAACAAAATAAAAATTGATAATCATTATATAATCATGAAAATTTTTTAAATGATTCTCAACTTTGTTATACTCAACCTTTTTTTATATGGAATTGGAAAATATTTACAATCTTGTCAATCAATAAATAAATAAATATTCATAATACTATTTCGATGATTTTGTTAATGAATCTAAAAAATATATTTATGTAGTGATAAATAATTTCAAAAAATTTATTTACAATAATATGAAAACAGTCAATTCAAATACATTTATTATTATTACGTTTCTTCGAAAAAGTAAAACTTATATGTTTTCTATACCTTTTTAAAATCTTAAATAAATTATCATTAGAAGTAGAAGCACATGGAGTATTGGAGTTTGATAATTTATCCCAAATGGCATACATAGTAGAAGAGTTTACTTTGTGCGCTGTAATTGTATTTTTAAGTACACAGGAATCTAATTTACGAGGTATATAACTAAAACCTGGATGATTGGCAGGGCGTAACTTAGCCTTCCTTGCACACAATCCGGTAATAAAAACATCCTCTAAATGTAACAGAGGTATTTGAAGAGCTGCTTCATATAATTTAAATGCTACATCCGAACTCATTACATATCCCGTTCCAGAAAGGTAATTTGGATATGTCTTTTCGTAAAACATGTATTTTGGAGAATACCTAAAATCAATTGTTTTATTAATTATCATTTTAATTGATAAAATTCATTCAATAAATCCAATAAATACTATACCATTTATTTTTAGGATTTGTTATTGGTGGAGCATTACATATGAGTGAACCTATAAGCGTTCCTTCACTCTTTGACCTAGACATTAACTCTTTTACTAAAGTAGGAATATTTATATACATATCATCATCAGTTTTCATGACATATGTCGTTTTTGGACAGACTTTAGTGACCCATTTAAGCATCATGACGGATTTTAACGTTAAATTATTATAAGTATCCAAAAATTTTTCTTGAATAATATCTTCATATTCATAATTTTCATCCAATATCATCGTATTTAATGTATCATTATTACTCTCCCCAAGTAAAAATACTACTTTAATCGTAATATTCATCGATTGGTAATTTGAACTTGGCTCATTAGCCCAGGTGTTTCTAATCGCCATCCTAGCTTTCTGATTAGCTACAGCGGAACAAACAACAATTAAAAGATATGGCGGTGAAGTACATACTTCGTCTGGACTTAAAATAGAGGTATTTTCGTCTGGAGAAATATATATATTTAAATCTCTGGAAGTATTTACAGACCATCCTGATAATTGTACTGAAAAAAAAAAACAATATATTATATTGAATAAAATTATTATAATAATAGGTACATTAAATAATGGAAAAATCAATAGACATTTAATACATTCAACAGTTAATGAGCTTGAACACGGTATTTTATATCAAATATCTTTTTAACCATCACAGTTAATATTGATTGTACAACTAGGAGTGTTTTATGTGGACATAAATTTTTTTAAAAGTTAATTGGATCAATTGGAATTGGCTATTCTGCATACCTACTGAAGTTAGGAAGTGGGAATCTGTCAAAACTCCGGCAGAGGATGGTGTCTCACCTATTCCAAAAAGTGGATCTTGAGTTGAATGAAATGCAGGAAAATAAAAAAGACCTAAAATTGCAAGGACAATGCATCCTAAGCCTAATCGGCGAATAAATGACGTTCGTCTTTTATTGTTGCTATTTAAATTGACATTGTTTCCAAGGTATGGTAGTTCCATTGGCACCAAGCGTACTCGTTCCATCTAAATTGATCATTTTATATTAATTATTTTATCTACAAAAAAGGTCATTATTATTCTTAAAATTTTATAAATTAATATTTACCTTCTATATGAAAAATATAATTTAAATTTGGATAAATTGATTCCCAACATCTATTTAAATTTTTTGATACATAAAAATTTCGTTTAGAAGAGAACATTCGACAGAAATGATATTCCAAACTGTATTGAATGATGATAAATATAACAAAATTTTTCAGGTAGATAATAATGAGTATAAGTTATTTGTATTTTTTTATCTCTTTTTTAATTTAATGAATAAATATTGTTAGTAAAAATTCTTGTGTGTATCATTATTAATGACATTACACAGCACGTTTAATTTATATTCCTCCTATCTCAGTATACAATCAATTTAAAAGTTAATTTATCACTTCAAGAATTCTAAACCGATTAGTACTTCCATGTATATGTGCAATTGAACCAATAATACTTATTGAAGTCTATTGCTTTGTATTTTTATTTTATACTTTACTCACGTGTTTTTGATAGTGATAAACTGATAAATCTCATTTACCGATATTAACATATTGTACATAATAATCCATTTTGACAATTTGTTCATGCAATTTTTACACATTTTTAGAAACATTTAGTAACAATAAATTCTTCATTATTATCTAAGTAAATTAATATAATACTAATATTAAAAACAAATCGTCTCTAGTAACTTATTGATTTTTAATAAACAATAATAATTTGTTGTTAAAATGTTAAACGAACAATGCCGAATGGAAAAAAATACTTGAAAAATTTTTTTATTTTCACGCCATCTGTTCAATATTATTGGACGATATTATAGTAATTATATATCACACTATCGCAATCTACATACAATACACGAGAAATATCCAAAATGGCGCGTGTTATGTATGCACAGCTGTTGTTTACCGACAAATGCATGTCAAAGAAGTGTTATTGTGAGGATTGGAGCATAGTTTTAAGTTACTTAACACTGTAAATTATTTTATTTAAGACTTATGAACGATGATTGTCCCTTCTTATCATAATGGATAATCAATGGATTATAAAACAAGTGAAAATTTGTGAAAATTAACGTATTCGATAAGTTTCCAAGCCACTAAATAAGATAAATTCATGGGGAAAGTTATTAAAAGCAGGTCAACAATGATAAAAGTTAAAAACTGATCTGAGTTTCTTTTCAAGAGATTCAGAAAAATAACTTGGAATATGGTATTCGATTACGTGCTTACAATAAGGTTATTTCATTAGAAAAAAAAAGTGTCATTGATGCTATAATAAGGTAAGATAGCAATAATTTATTTATTTAATATTAATAATAATATATGATTTATTGACAAATATTATATAATCATAAAAAGTTTCAAATAATAATAAAAATTAATTTATTATTAAAATTATTTTTATATGAATATAAAATAAATATTTTGGTTATGATTATTGTTTTTGAAAAATCTATAAAACAATAGCATCAATTTATAATTAATAATAATTAGACGAATGACTATTTACAGTAGAGTTTAAAATTCAATGATATACAATGACGTAAAATAGACGTAGACGAGATATTTTAAAGTTAAATGTGAGGAAATTATTTAAAGAGATATGCAATGAATAAGCAAAGTCAATGTGTTACCAATTGATATATTTATATATTTACTCAAAAGTATCTTTGATGTATAATTAAGTAAATATTTGTGATTTGTTATAGGAGTGAAAAATGAATGCAAGAACACAGCTGTTTGAGTTGAGTATGGAAGGACGTCAAGTTGATGAAGCTGTGGCAAGTATCTTTCATAGTGTCTTATTCCATAGAAGTCTTGGTAAATTTAAATACAAACAAGAAGGAAGTTATTCGGTTGGAACAGTTGGTTACCAAGATGTTGATTGTGATTTTATTGATTTTACATATGTATGTTGTTCATCAGTACATTTAGATCGAACCTTAAAAAAAGAAATTTCAGATTTTTCTGAAGCTTTAAGATCAACAGATAGTCCTGGTTCTGGACAAATTTCATTGGAATTTTTCCAAAAGAAAAAAAATCGATGGCCTTTTCAACCAGAGTGTATACCTTGGGAAGTTTGGACTGTTAGATTGGAGCTCATAAAACTTGCTACTGAACATGAAAGACAAATATGTCGTGAGAAAGTTGGTGATTTGTTAACAGATAAGATATTATATATAACTGAAGTGATGAATCGACATGATTACTTGCCTAAAATGCCCAATCAAGCTGAATTAGATCTTATTTTCGATACTTCGTATCCAGATATTCAGCCATATTTATTCAAGTTGTCTTTTACAACTTCTGGTCCACCATCTACTACGATGGGTAATACTATGAAAAAATTGATTAAAGAAACATTGGCCATTTAATTAGTTATATTAGCCATTTTTTAAATCAATTAAATAATTATTGTAATACATGGACATTTGTGCTAAAAATATTCGGCACATGTAAGCAAAAATCAAATGCACTTTTTACTTCATGTTAATGTTGATTAGTCAACTACGCATGATTGTCAGTAAAACGCAGCTATTTATACTGCTAACATGTATATCTATCAACTGATTAGTACAAATAATTATATTTTGCTTTCTTGTACTTTATTTAATGTTTTTAAATATATTATAATATTTAGATTTCACTATATGAATATTGAACTTATTAGATATATTTAGTTGTTTAATTACTGTGTTATTAATTCTCATTCATATGTATCGAGATGTTATATTATTTAGATAACTTGAAAAAATTTTTTATTCTTAATTTATACGATTAAAATTAATTCGATTTTTAATTGTTTTATCGATTGAAAATTTTACTAAATGTCAGTAAAGAATTCTAATTCGATAATAAATGTAAGTTAGTTTAATATAAAAAAACAAGATTAATACGAAAGATTTATAAATGTAAATAAATTTAAAATTAATATATCTATATTAGAGTAAAATACGTATCAATGAAAACATATTTATGTATTAATATAAGAATGATAAGAAAGATAATTATAATAGTGTAATTATTAGAGTAATTAAATATTAAAACGTTTCAGTAAATTATTAATGATAGACAAGAGTGAGTGTTAAATAATTATTAGTGTAGATCTATGATAAATGTTCTTACTTTATCAATGAATAAGTCGAACAATAGAATGATTCGAAATTTTATTTTAAACACTTTAAATAATGGTCGAATCAATAAATAATGCATATTCATTTTCTTTAATGTATTGAATCATGTAAATACATTAAATTTTAATGAAAACCAATTTCGCATGCAATATGAAATAATATGTTTGATAATAAATATTTAATTGATAAAATGGATAAATAATCGTCAAATATAAATCGAAACTATCTTTTTCACTGTTTTAGAAGATAAGGTTTCACATTTAATTGTAAAAATAATTGTAATTATATGTATTTAAAATTATAACTCATTTTATTTTATTAGATTTAAAAATTGAATGAAAATAATATAAATATTTTATTGTTTAAAGATTAAATCAAAGCATAAATGAATAATATTGAATAAAAATGACTTGATAAATTAATTAAGATGTTATTTTTTTAGCAATACGTTTTTTTTTTAACATATTTCATTTAAATAAATTTTGTTTTACGTGGTCTTGAATAAGGTCTTAGTGATAAATTTTATCAGCCAGTAAATTCCCACGTTGCAATCTTTTTACGTTGAAACTACCACTTAAATTTAATTAAACCATTGACTTTTCATATTTTTTAAGTTCTATTATATATTAGATATTCTTATTTTTTTATTTGTATTACATATTTTAATTTTTGTATGAATTATATTACTTTTAATTGTTTTTTTAAATTAAAATTTCTACTTAGCACGATAAAAAAAAGCATGCGTTAATCAGTTGTAGCTGTGATCACTATAAAAAAAGGCATCTCTTTTTACGCTTGCGCTACACTTTGCGAGCCCACGAGATTCGACGTTTAGAAATTTTATGAAGTCAGTCGTTGGCCAAAATCTGTCCTATTTACATCTCATGAGTTAGTGAAATTAAAGGATTTTTAAACAATTTATTCAAAATAAACTATAAAGTAGAAAAAAAGAACAATAGTTAATAAAAGTTTTTAATTTTAAAATAAACTGAATTTTTATAAAAAATACTTTGTTAAAAACTACTTTACTTTACTAAAACATAATCGAAAATTTTAATTACACTAAATAATAAAGTTTATTATAAGTTTATAATTAATTAGAAATGTGAAATAAATAAAGTACATAACAGTTTATGTTGCGTGTAAAATAAATGATGGATTATTTTATAATTTATCAAGTGAATTTAATTCTAAAAATTTCACATATAAAATATAATATAAATTATTTTTATTTACTCTATATTAATTTATATTCAATGGAATACAACAAGGATTCTTGAATATTAAATTTACCTTCAAAAAGGACAAAAGGACATTAGAAAGCATAATAGAAGGTTGGCTTCAACAGGTGGTTGCAATTCATATGATGATTAAATTTAATATATTTTATTATAAACATTATTGAATAATTCTTCATTATATAGTTTTATATTTAAAAATTGTTTCTTTTTAAAAAGTCAACGATCAAAATGCTGTAATAAAATATAATACTCCAATAACTGTGACCAATATTGGTAGATATGAAAAACTATCATCTTTTAATGAGAAATAAGATAAGAAATTGATAAACATTTAAAATAAAAATAATAATTATCAACAAAAACTAACAATATTGAAGTAATTTAAGTAAAATAATAAATAAAAATGAGCATCAATAACTCTAAAACATTATTAAATTCAACGGACGATAATGATTTCGCTCTCGTCTCAGACGATGAATTTACATCAAACATATTTGTGCAATTTATCATTTGTTTATTTTATTTAACATTTTTTGTGCTCGGTATATTCGGTAATGTTCTAGTGTGTTTTGTGGTAGCAAGAAATTCACAGATGCACACAGTTACGAATCTTTTTATAACAAACTTAGCAGTGAGTGATATTTTATTGTGTATTTTGGCAGTTCCATTTACACCCTTGTATACTTTTCTCGGGCGTTGGGTGTTTGGCGAGAGTTTGTGTCATCTAGTCCCCTATGCTCAGGGTGTTAGTATCTACATTAGTACTTTGACATTAACCAGTATAGCAGTTGATCGATTTCTAGTGATTATTTATCCATTTCATCCACGTATGAAAATTAAATGTTGCCTATCAGTGATAATTGGTATATGGATAGTGGCATTATTTTTAACACTTCCGTATGGTATATACATGACTTTAGAAGAACCGAATTTTTATTGTGAAGAACACTGGCCAAGTCAACGATTCCGAGTGATCTTCAGTTTAGTGACGTCAATTCTTCAGTTCGTTGTACCTTTTTTTGTGATAACTTTCTGCTACATTTGTGTGTCCATTAGGTTAAATGATCGTGCTAAATCAAAACCGGGAAGCAAAACAAGTAGACGTGAAGAAGCTGATCGTGAAAGAAAAAGAAGAACAAATTTTATGTTGATAGCTATGGTGACTATTTTTGGTGTGTGTTGGTTACCACTTAATATAGTCAATATTGTTGATGACTCTTATGCATCATTAATTCATTGGTCATATTACCGACTCTGTTTCTTTATTACTCACTGTCTGGCAATGAGTAGTACGTGCTATAATCCACTTTTATATGCCTGGCTTAATGAAAATTTTCGTAAAGAATTTAAACAGGTAAGAAAATTAATCCCTTATTGACTTATTCTTTTTCATCTTAATTGAGTTTTATAAAAAAAAAAAAAACCTCTTAGCTAACCTACACTCTTGGATCTTTTGTATTTAGGTTTTGCCCTGCTTTTCAAGATTCTCTGCAAGCTTCACTCCACGAACTACTGAAGCTTTTAGAAGTGAGAAACTTTACAATGACAATGACGCAACACAAGGGAACCTACCTAGTCTAACTGTTAAATCAAATCCTGATCTATTAGGTGAATGTATTCCACTTGAATTGAAGCCTGGATCAACATTCCAAGCAACAAGCCATGTAATTAATGAATCTACTGACGTTGAAGATGTTCTTCTATAAAAACTACATCAAGTAAGTAAATCAGTATTTTTCATAAAACATTTTTCATTTATTTTTTATACATGTGCTTTATTGTTAAAACTCTAGATTGAGTTGAACTGACGTTCGATCTATTTATTGAAAATTTTTACTTGAAAACTTTATCAAACTTGATGTATATATATATATAAGAAAATAATAGCGTAGGTATAAAAGTCAAGTGACTTTGAACAGGCAAAAGACGAATAAAGAAAAGGGATGTAATTTTTTTAGAGTTTATTCAAAAGACCTGAAATAGATTCTACTAGTTTTATTACTATATTACTATATTATATGCAGTTCCTTTTTATTTAGCTTCTTTGACAAAAATAAAGTGAAGAGATGAGACACGTGCTCACATGATAATAATCTACCAATTCAAAGATTATATTTGACATAATATTTCTTATTATATAATTCACATCGAAAAGACCCTTTTTTATGAAATGAGATAAAAACTATCGTATAAATTGCTTTGATGTTCGCATTATATTAAATTAACTTAAACCTCATTATTATATGACGTAAATAACGCATAATCATAAAAATAAAAACAATTCAACTGTCTGTCTGATGAGTTTTTTTTTTTAAATGTTTATTTGTCTTCATATTCTTCGTCAAACATCTAATTTCAATACAATGCTTATTCATTAAATTATTCATGCACAATTTCTATAACTTGTGCCTTTTTTTTATTTGCTATTGCTTCCATTTGCATTCGACTAGAAGCGAAACTTTTTAATAACATTGATCCTCCATAAGTTATATATTTTAGAAACATCATTTATGCGATTGTGATATTACTGAAAATGAATCAGAACTCAAATTTAAGTTGACCTGTCAGTGATAACAAGATATATTATTGAGAAAAGGTTGTGGATTATATAAAAAAGAAAAAGACGAGGGTAAAAGCACCCTGGGGTAAAAAAAAACTGATGCAGTATGGGTGTGTATTTGAGTGGCAGTCGTTACCCAACTTTACGACACGCTTGGGAAGTAGTAAAACCTTAATACACTCCGACATTCACATTAAATCAGTACATGTATACGATAAATTTGGGCACAGTTTCATGATCAAAAATCAATGTATTCAATTACTCATTTTTTCTTTGATTCAATGGTATAATTTAATGGTGAAAGTTATTATATTAAATAGCAATAATTATTTATATATAAATCACCATTAGGGTATTACGATTGCTCCAGGTCGTATAAAAAAAAAGACCCAGGATCCTTTGAAATGATATTAATATTTTTTTTTTAACTAAATATATACATCAACTTCCTGCATATCGATTAATTTGTCTTCTATTATTTCGAAAAGTATCAAAAGATTAATAAATGAAGGTTGATTCCTATTTTGTAAGAGAGTTTAAGGTTAAGATTATTATTAACCCTTTATCACTAGCACTATTTTTTTAAACTAATTTACTCGCCGTGTTGAATCACGTTTAACATTGCTGATTACTACAATTAAATTTACAGTAAAATAGTTATCATTTTTACTATACAACAGACCTAGCATGATGGTCCTGGTTTTCTCCATTTAATCCTGAAATAGGGTTAAATGGAGAAAACAGTGGATTTTGATTTCGAATAAATTGAGTTCTAAAGAATCAACAATCAATTGACTTTATTTTTATTAAAACAAATGTTTCATGTTCTAATAATCTTTAATTCTAACCTAGTAAAAAAAATCTTAAGAAAAAATTAACCTCAATGCAAGTACTTTAATAAAGGGTTTATTATAAGTCTGTTTTCTTATTTATATATGTGATCAAAGTCATGACTACATAATTGAATAAAATTATTAAGAGACTAAAAGTCTATGTAATATATATTACATATCTCATATGACATAAAAAATAGAGAACAATTTCTTACCAGTTTTGTAATGAAATTTCTAGAATATCTTATATTATTTTCAACCTATTATAAACGATCTTAATTATTTAATTTACTTGAAAATTTATTTTCAAAGGTAAACTTTAATGTTTGACATATACTGATATGTTTTTCGATAAAATACTAACTCTATTTTAACTATCTCAATTAACATTCAATTTATGTTAATTCTACCGTTAATGAGAAACTATCAAACAGTATAGAGTTCATGCACATTACTGGACAGTTGAGAGTAACCATGCAGAATTCAAATGTTCTCATGTACGTGCTATAGAAGGTTTGAATTCCGTAAATTTCACTAGCAATTAACCTCAAAATATTATGTCTATAAGATAACCTTTTTTATTGCTTATTCACATAATTATGCATACGTTTGATTTATTATCAATAAGATAACGTGAATTTTGGATCGTTAGCTATAAATTGGCAACAAGAAATTCAAATACTCTAGTGATTAAATATAAAGAATTTCTCAGTAACACAATGACTTGTTTAATCTTGATACTGACATTCAATTAAAATACAGCAAAGGAATAAAAGTCTTTTATCACTGTGAAAAGAGGAAAGATATGCCGTCAACAATTTAAGACATTTCAAGTGATTAAAACAATTATATTTTACGATAAATTTTTTTCTATATACAATAAAGTATGATTAAAAAATTACTTAAAACAAAAAAAAAAAAAAAAAATTACTTGTTATATTTCATTGTTAAAATGATTATTAATGATAAACATCTTACTTAAATTACCCAAGGGGGTTTTCTTTCTTGATTATAGAGTAAAAATGATGATTAAAAGCAAACTTTCAATTTATTTTAATTTAGTAAAACAGAATTACAATTTTCAATCTCGTGAATAAGAGATTTTAAAATGGAATTATTTGTTAATGTGTATGTGACATTAACACATAAAAATGAAATATTATTAAAATGAAATTACATTATATACACATTATGGATAATTAATTCATATTAAACATTAAAATAAAATATTATAACATCTTTAAATCGATCATATGATAGAATATAATGCTTTTGCTGTTCCTATCTTTCATTCCCTTGTGGTCGATACTCATCGTCTCGTTTCTCTTACACTATTATATTCCGATAACCGTATCTCAATGTTCGTCATTTTTGTTCCCAACCTTTTGACACAATCGTTTTCTCCGATAAATTCCAATTTGTAAAGCAAAAAGTAACATCAAATGCCAGTAAATCGAAGTAATAATTTATGATAAAAATTGATTTCTCTATTTCAAGCTTTGAATAAAAAAGAATTGCCAATTATGCTTCTTTCAGTTTTTTTTTTCTAGTAAATTGAAAACAATAACAGATTTAATAAAAGTTTCATTTACAGAGGTTAAATTTTACATATTACACAAAGCTTTATAGAAAAAAGTAAAAAATAAAACTTCAGTTATTTTCATTGTATGAATCAAGAAAATATTCAATCAAAAAATAATTTAATTATATTAAAAAAATGATTTTCAAATAATTACAATGACTTGGCTACTTATTTTGCATGTTAATATGATCTTTAACATCACTACATATATTTATATTGAAAATATCAGTACTATGTGTTAATAACAGTTAATGAATAATTATTTTTACATTTATCGCAAAACATTTAATCTTTAGAAAAAACGTATAAAGATCACGCAATAATGATAAATAATCAATCATGATGAGGCATTACTGACTTTTATAAGCATGCACAATAATCTGCACTGCTATCTAACATAGTATTTGATTGGCAAAGTAATTGAAAGGAGTTCCTGATTTATAAAATAATTAAATTGTGAAGTTTAAATAATAATGGAATTAATTACTCAAGTACTGATTGGATTTATTATCATAATCTTAGGAGTTTATTATTATTTAATATCAAGTTGGAAGTTTTGGGAATCAAAGAATGTACCTGGACCTAAACCAACATTGCCTTTTGGCACAGTAGGAGATATAGTGTCTGGTAAACATCATATTGCAACTTACATGAAGGAAATTTATGAAACATACCCAGATGAAGCTATTGTTGGAGTCTACAATGTTTTTGAGCCCATTGCTGTGATAAATAATCTGGATCTCATCAAGGATATATTGATAAAAGATTTCAGTAAATTCGTAGATCGAGGACAGGAATTCAATGACTATCATGAACCACTTTCAGCACATTTATTTAATTTGGAACCAAAAAGATGGCGACCATTGAGAAATAAATTGACTCCAATTTTTACTTCAGGAAAATTAAAAGATATGTTTCATATATTGGTAGAATGTGCTGATCAAATGGAAAGGAATTTAGAGAAATATGATGGAAAAATAGTGGATATGAGAGAAATTCCTGCAAGGTATGCAACTGATGTAATTGGAGTATGTGTATTTGGATTACAAGCTAATGCAATCCAAGATGATAACAGTTTATTTCGTCAAATGGGTAGAAGAATCTTTGATATGAATTTCAAAACAGCATCAAGAATATTGATAGGATCATTTTTCCCTAATGTGTATAAAATTATGGGATATTTTTTGCAAGATAGAGTATTGGAAAATTTTATCTTTGGTATAACAAAGGAAACGATGGATTATAGAAAGATGAATAATATTGTAAAGCATGACTTTGTTGATTTACTGATGAATTTGAAGAATGAGACTGGTAAACTTGATAATATAGGTATGAAAGTTGAAGATACCAAAAAAAATGAAACATAGTTTGGTAATAAATATAATTACTTACAGAATTATCTGATAAATTGTTGGCTGCTCAACTATTTGTCTTTTTTGCTGCTGGATTTGAAACTTCATCATCTACCATAGGTAATGCACTGTATGAACTAGCAATAAATCAGTCAATTCAATCAGAGTTGCAACAAGAAATAATAGAAGCGTTGAATAAATCTGATGGCAAATTAACCTACGATGGAATAAAAGACATGAAGTATTTGGAGAAAGTTTATAAAGGTAAGAACATCTAAAACCCTTTTTTTTATTTCAATCTAAATTGAATAAATAAACTTTTAGAAACTTTGAGAAAATATCCACCACTTCCATTTCTAACAAGACGTACAGTAGTACCTTATGAATTTGCGGGCACTGGAATAAAAGTTCCAGCAAATACAAGAGTGTGGCTACCAATTTATGGAATACAGAGAGATGAAAAATATTATCCAAATCCAGATTTATTTGATCCAGAGAGGTTTAGTGATGAAAATGTAAAACAGCGACATGATATGGCATTCCTATCTTTTGGAAATGGTCCAAGGAATTGTATTGGTGCTCGTTTTGGTACAATACAAACTAAAGTGGGGCTAATTACAATTTTGAAGAATTATCAAGTTGAAGTATGTGAGAAAACTGATAAATCCTATGATATCAAAACAAGAGGAATTCTCCTTGCACCTAAAAGTGGTATATTTTTGAAGCTTAAAAAAGTTAATTACTAAGTTATCCTAGAAGTGGACAAAAATAAAGCAATACTTTATATGAATGTGTGAGTAATAAGGTCGTCCTTGGACTAAACTTATTAGTCTTATTACTCTGTAAATACAAGACCTAATAGTTAACCAAGAATTGTCTATTTGTTACTATTAACAAATCATTTTTTTCTTCAATATATTCTACTTGTTTTCTGTTACGCGCCTGTTCTTCATTTATTCTGTTCCTCTCTACACTAGATCTCCATGATAAATGTCACAATAAACTCTCTTGAAATAAATTAATAAAATATGACTGCATGTGATAAACTTAATTGATGATCAGTTTCGATAAATAAGTATTGATTTTCAATAATTATTGCTCGTTCATTTAAAGATAAAATCTTTTTATGATCAAAAACGCTGGCTATACATTAGCTTCCAATTATCTAAAATTAATGAATAACATCGATTATTTTTCAGCAAAGATTATAAATTTCCTATATGAACATCAGATAGTTTTATTTATTTTCTATGATATTAATAATACAAAATCAATATTAAATAATTATTTATGAGAAACGTAAATTATTGTATTGTTGTTTTTTTTTTTTTCAGTATGTAATAATTCAAGAAAATAATCAAGAATAGATAAATTTTTACAAACAGTAATGAATAATGTATTAAAATTATTAAATTCATGAAAAATTCATACATAAGGCGGTATCGGAACCATTTATTGATTATATTTTTTTTTATTTAAGTAAACACTAAAAAAATTTTTGCAAAATTTTCCTTACTTACATTGTAAGTTTTATCAATTATTCATTACCATCAACATCAAGATATATATGTATAAATTGTAACTAAAAAATTTATTGATTACTACGTTATTGAATAAGATTATTAGGACAGTAAATAAAACCAATTTCGATTTTTTTTAATTTGAAAATGTACAAGAGTTAGATTGAACAAAAAATAATCAGGTAATTAAACGTTCTAATCTAGGGGAAGGCGGACCTACAGTGGATCCCTGGGGCAAATCAAATCCTAAAGTTTTTTGTTGTTTAGTATAACAACAGAGAGTTTCTTATTTTTTTTTATTTTACTTTTTATTACCAATCTTTTATTTTTGAATTACTTTTTACTGATATCAACTCACAAATAAGTAAACAAAAAATTAAAAAATATAAGCAATTCTAATCAACATAAAAAACTCAAAAAATAACTTCTAGTAATAATCATTAACCTTAATTTTTAAATATTATCACCATACATTTTTAACTCTGCTTAAGATACATTTCATAATTATTTAGAGAAATTAATGTACAAACAGACATTAAACAATTTTTTAATTAATTAAAAAAAAAATATATTAATACTTGATATAAATTTTTTATTTTACAAGTGAAAGAAAATTTTATTTAAATGAAACATCATCCTCAATTTACGTATACCTGTCAAAAAGTTTATTCATGCAATTACTCATTCAAATTTTTCTTTACTTACAGTATAATATAATACAATATTCAAATCAAAAATGCAAATTAATGAGAAAAAACAAATCCTTCTAGGAAATTCCACAAAAGAAACACTTTAATTTATCACTCAGAATTATGTTATTAACTTGTAATTAACTTAAAGCTCGTCTTCCTAATAAATATTCCATCTAATATAAAGTAAGTATTATGTATAACTTTTTATAAACATTATCAGCAAAAATTCGAAATATTATACATGACTATTTTATCCAACAATATTTAGAGTATGGTTTAAGTGATTTCATTCATTAGACATTCAATCAATACTTGGTGATGTTTTTTCCTGTTTTGTTTTCAGGAAGGTTTAATAATTTTATTTTACCAAGAAGAAAGGTGAAAATAATAAAGATAGGATGGAGAAACAAATTTCTATTGATTTTTAAAGAAATATTATCATATCATATTAAAACAAAAGGCGTATATTCTCGTAGTATTTTTCATCAGCAAAGTATTTGTAGAGCGAGTGAACATGTATAAAAAAGAAAAAAGTATAAAAAAAATATTTCAGAGAAAAATATTAATTAAAATTCAGTAAGATAGTATAGGTAAACTGAATTGTACTTTTGTGGGGCTTTCACGATCAGCAAACAAACACGTCATTATCAGGCCAAAGCAAGATATACATATACTTATCAACTATATGCTTCTCTTTAACATCTCTATATTGATGATCTATCGATACGTCTATACATTGATGCATTTTTTTATCTTCTATATACATACATATATATTATGCTAGTGTTGTATAAAGAGAAATTTTAATCTTGTCGCATATGTGATAAGCAAAAGTGATGCATCATGCGCTTAATAATAGAAGTAGAATAAAACTAGAAAAATCAAACGATAAAAAAAATGAAAATTCGTCAAAAACATTCATCAGTAAAAATTTATTATTCTTTTAGAATACTTCAAAGAAATATAAATCACTTTTGTACTTTAAAAGCATATTTTATATGTTTGAATAAATTAATTTTTTGTTATGAATTCATTCATAAGAGTGAAAAAATAATGCAATTAATTATTAAGGTATTTGTTTAATTAAAAAAATACTATACATATATAAAATAATTAAAATTTTGTTTCTATTACATATTTTTATATTTTTAAATTCATTCTATTTATTAGCTATCAAATTATATTAATTTGATAATCGTAACATTTATTTAGTATAACACAATAATGTTATTGGAAAAAAATTGAATGAATTAATTAATTATTAATAACTTGATATCAACAAAAAGATATATTCTAAATGATAAAAAAGCTATTAGCTATTTAGCTTAAAGTAGTATAAAATTGAATAAATAATTTTATTTTTACTTAAAATGTATTACTTTTAGATTAAAAAATAAGAAGAATGAAACTTTACTCTTATTCTTAGTAGATTACAGAAAAACAAACTTGTTTAAGACGAAATCCTACAAATGGAAAAATTTGCTAATACTGTTTAGATACTTTTTGTATTTTTGTGAATGCATTAAAGTGATGTCATGATAAGTTAGCAAACTCTTGTCTTTTCAAGACTTTTTTTTTTCAAGGGGAAAACGATTACATAAAATACGACTTTGAAGAAATAATCAAGTAAGATGAGGGATTGAAGCACAAACTCAATAATGGTGCTCTTGATCAAGTAAATGAATTATTCAGTAAGTCTGTTTGAATAAAGAAACGCGTGAAAGGACGAGAAATAATTTTGATCGAAAAAGTTATATCGATTTATCCTTCTTACTTTTCCCTCGTTACAACATACAAATTAATATAGCACACCCTTAGAGATGTTATCCTTCTCATCAGAATCTTCTCCAATATACATTTTTCGTTTCAACCTCAAAATGTATCACATCCCAATAAAAAACTTTATGAATAATTCACATAACTTTATCTCTTTCCCTATGTAGACATTAAAAATCTAGAAACAGAGTGCTACTACTACCATTTTTCAACATGTTGATGCACGTCACATCTCACTCAATTGCCTCACGAACTCCAAAATGTCCTACTATACAAATTGGACAGATTGAATTGTGATTTGTGACATTGCTAGAAAGCAAACTAATCAATAACTATCCGTCCAATAAATTAATTACTATTAGCCAACCTTTTCTAAAGATTCTTTTCTTATCACATAATCTCATTTTCTAGGATTTTTCACTTTCAAACTTTCTGCAAATATTTTTTTAGTAAGTTTCTAAATTACATCATTTATTTAACTCAATTAACAACTTTAATTGAATAAAATTTTTTAATTTACATTGTTTTATTTATTTTTTATATCAGTACGCAAGAAAGTTTAGGAATTCAGTTGTAAATTGAAAATACAACTTTGAACTGAAGTTGTAGGAAATAAAAATTGCAAAAAGATTTAGTTCTATTGTTACAAAAAGAGAAAAATAATTTGTCTAGATGCTTTTAAAAGAAACATTTTTTTTATTATTATTTTAATCTTCAAAACTTTTGTAATAATTTTCTCAATAGACGATTATAATTATTAACTAAAAGTTTTATTATTTTATTATTTTATGGATAAACTTCTTAGAGATACACTAACAAATCGATAAACTATGTGTACGTATAATATAACGGAAATTCATATACTCAAGTGCTCTCAACGTCATCATGGTAACTTGTATGCTACATTTTAGAGAGGAATTACACAAGTTACCATTAACAATTCAAGCTATTAATTTAAAAGTATCCAAGTAATTTCTTTAATATTAATCCTCCACTAAATTGCAGGATCTTTTAAATTTATTTCTTTCTTCATTCTTTTACTTCATAAAGAACAAAGTGACTTTCATTTATTTAAAATATTGTACTTTTAATCATAAATATGCAGTCATTCCTTTTATCTAAGTTGTTTATAGCAAATACTCCAAATGCTATTAAATAGATTTCTCATAATGTTAGTATTAGTTTGATAATATACAGAATATTATAGATAAAGAGTTAAACTTAAGAGCTGTTGATATATATATTATAACTCGCAGAAACATTTTATCGTTGGTTATACCAGTTAGTGCATGGAAATTTACTTATTTACTAACTTTCGCTTCGTTCGCTTTAAAGCAAACTGTTTTAGTATATTTGTTAAGATATACATTACTTACCTAGAATACACATCTGGAATGAAATCCATTTATCACATGCCATTGATTTTGCATCATGGTTTAAATACTCTGAAAAACAAAAACAGTCTCAGTTATTCATCGTATACTTGGAAAAATTTAATTTGTTTTGGTAATAAATTATTTCTTTAAATAATGTTAATAGATTTTTTATTACTCCTAACGATTTATCATTAAAAAAATAAATTTCGATTTTTTGTGAATGTCATTATTTATTTAAATATTATAGATATGAATAATAAATGAGAATAAATTTTTTCTTAATGGCTTTTCGATATTTGTGACACATTTTTTTTCAAATATTTTGTTTCAGAGGAAAATTGTTCATGTCATAGAATTATTATTAGAATATCTTTTAAAAATATCGAATAATTTGTGTCTTTTTTTTTTATAAGAGAAGTTTGAATTTTTTATATTTACGAATTAGTTTGTTTATTAAAACGTCATATTATGGAATCATTTGAATATTTTATTTTATCAATATTGATTTATGATTAAGTCGTATAAAATATTTATTAATTTTTATTATTAACTTCTATATTGTATGAGCTTAATTGTTTTTTTCAATTAAACGTACTTTTAGGTCTAATAAAAATTCCCAATATTTTGATTCAAAGCCTAAATTCCAATCATACCATATTTATGTTTATATCATTTTTAGAATTTTTTCCACTTGTTTAATATCACTCAAATAATTATATATTAATGATAATTTTATATAAATAAAATTAACTGTTAGACAACAAGGGGTTCTTATTCAAAATATCTTTAATTAAGAAGAACATTTAAATGAAATGACTAGTAATGACTTTTGATGTCAAACATAATTAGAATGATTGATAAATTTCAATTACCAGTTGACTTTCCGTTTTCGGTATTCTTATAAAATAGATGTGTAGAAGCATTCCAGTGACGGAAGTTACTCAGCTGTCAATTTCGATGGAATAAGCAGAAAATATTCATCTATGTGAAGGATATATGTAGATCAAATACTAAATGTCTATCATACTGAATTATCATGATCAAGATCTGCTTTAAATGACACACTATATTTGTTCATTGATCTAAAAAAAAATCATTATTTCAATTAATTTTCTCTTTTATTTTTTTTTTAATGAATATTATCGTAAAAGGTGAAAATAATATAATGAATCTCAAAATCTACTCTGCTCTTAATAAAAAATTGCAGTTGTAAATTTTTGCTTTTTTATCACAATTTGTTTTCATGGCTCAGAGGTGAAATTAAATTTTCAGTTTAAAACTAGAAAAACTTGGTTTAAAAAAAAGTAATATAACATAAAATATATAAAACCTTCAAGTACAATTTATTAAATTTAGTCAGAAATATAAGCGCAGTTTTTAAAAGATACTGAAAAAATGAGAGAAATAATTTTTTATGGTATTTCATTTTTACTAAGTGAGAATATTAACTTGATGAAAAAGGGTTATTAATTCCAAAGTAATTACTTTAGCTGTTTAAAATATTTTTTTCGAATAAAATTATTGATGAACAAATTATTCAATATTTGATTATTAATCCTGATTGAACATGATTAATCGTTTAATACCTATATGAATAAACTGTTTAATTAGCAAATTAAACCACAGTATTTGTATTGCAACTCATATGGGATGCCGTCTAATGCACCAAATAATTTATTTAAACTTCTATTTTATACGAAAGTTGTTACTTTCATTTGATGTATATAGTTTACTGTAAAGTAACTCAATTGTCCGATTTCACGTCACACTCCATTTGCATATAATTATCTTCATCCTATTGTATATAATTGATTTTTAAAAATCCCTTTTTCAAATAAATTTATCATCCAAATTTAATTGCCACAAATAATTTCATAGGATTATTTTTTTCTTTTTTTTCAGATGAAAAGCTGTCCGAATATTATGAATGGTAGGGGCATTTTTCAAATTAACTTTCATCATCAAAGTAAAGAAGAAACAGAATGAATAATTCAAATTGTAAATGTTGGATTTTGTAATTATAAACTGCCAACCTAGAAAGTAATAAAATGAGCATTTATTCACAAGATGGAATTAAAAGAAAAAAAAAAAATTAGTGTTGAAGTGAAATCGAAATTATTATAGCTAAGTTATAAAAATAATGATATAATAATATAAAAGAATAATTTATCTAATTAATAAAAAAAATTTGAAATAAAATATATCATGTCAATTCCAAAGAAATATTTTATTGTGAAAAAATTAATGATCAATTATTGGATTAAGTAGATGATAAAAATATTTATTATATTTTTAAAAATATCCAATACTTTATTATAATATTAATTGGATTGCAATGAAGTGGATGAGAAATAAAGTGGTATAAAAAACGACATTTTTCTTGAATTATTTCAAGAAATTACGGAAATAATAGATAATAATGCTTGTCACGTATTACTAAAAATGGCAGTTCAATAAAAACACGCTTATTTTTTCCTTTCTATTTAATTCCCAATCTGTTTTTTTTTATGTTAGTAAGCTCAGAAGATGATATAATACAATCCTTAAAGAATTATGATCACACAATAGGTATTATCAATTGAAGAATTATACTCACAGGGCGTTACTTAGATCCAAATTACCAATAATTACAGCTTTAGTGTCTCAATTTATACAATAATTTAACGTTACGATAATTGGAGAAAACTACCGTTATGTCTTTCGGTAATTATATATTATAGTAAACTTGATAAATAGTAAATTGTAGATAACTACAGAAAAATAATTATAATAATGATAATATGACTATTTAAATAATTTTCATTGTTAATTAACAATATAGTGTTAAAAATTTTTTGCTTGTATAAAGAAATGTTTTTGATTTAATAATTATAAGTATGATGATTGAAATAAGCTGTTAAATTATTACTATAAAATATTTTTTCTTCCTTAAAGATTTGTTTTGTATAGTTTATGATAAATATAAATAAATATTTAATATTGTATCGTTGTATATGTAATAGAAAGAAAAACAATTTAAACTGTTTCTTGTAAAATATATAAGAAAATGAAATTTTTATAAAGAAAAAGTCTGTTCTTCAAATTGTAAATGAATCTATAAAATAAATAATATTATAATATGAAGTTGCAAAATGAAGAAGAAAAAAATATAAGTATAATGTATATTATATGATAAATACAATAAAGTATCTAAAGAAATAATCCAGTAAAAAATATTATGTTGCATATCTAGATCTAAATTTAAAGAAACTGAATTTCAAATGGTACGAATATACATAATATGTATATTCACTTTTATGAACAAGAAAAAAAAAGGCCGAAAGCCCAAAGACAAATTTCGATCTTAATCTGACTTTTAGAAACCATCATACATATAGATTCAACTTTATCCTAAGGCTCATGTCCTTTGTATCTCAAGAGATTTAGTAGGGTGACAAATGTTCGGATAAAATAAATAACTCAAACATTCTAAAAAAAAAATATCTCTTTTCTCTTTTATCCTTGTGTTGTTGTAATACTTACATGGGTATGTATATTTACATATATCTTGGATCCAAAGGCTGGCTCATGATCTACTTAATTTCCGCTGTTACAATTAATTATGATAAAAGTGTTTTCAATCATAGTGACAATTGACAAATGTGTAGGAATAAACTTTTCCGTTTTCTAAATTTTTTATTATTAAAATAAAATGTAACAACACTTTGATGAAACCTGTAAAATTTTGTAAACAAAATAAAAATATTAAAACACTGTGTTGTTAATTTGTTAAATTCGTAAATATTAGTTATAAAATTAGAAAAAAATATTAATTATATCGGAATATCAACTGTACGAAAATTCGATTGCTTCAAACAAAAAATATCTAAAATGTTTTTTGTATTTCGCACATTACGTAGCTGTTCTAACAGTTGTTGATTTTTTGTGTTGAAAGATAATTTTTTATTCTATAATTAATTATTCTTTATTTATTCTAAGTACTTTGTTTCACTTTTCAAATAAAACTAAAATTTCTTTGTTTATTACGTAAACAAAATTTAAATAATTAAATTGTATTTCTTAAGACTTACTATTTTGGCGGTTCTACATAAGTATTTTCAGGTTTTTTCATTGGTTTATTTGATCAGCAGAGCTTTTTCCTGTGCAAAAATTTAGAACGCACGTTGAAATTAGTGAGAAGCTACTCAATTAGTCGCCATCTTGGATTTATATCAGAAAGCAAAGACTGGCACTTGCGCACGTCGATAACACAGAAATTCTTCATTATCGATTGAAATAGAAAATACGCCATCTATCAATGATATCAGTAAATCCACCTGTTATAAACATTATTTACAAATAAAAAAAATATATACACTTGATACGTGTCAATAAAATGTAATTTGTTTAAATATTAGACTTAAATAAATAATTTCAACTATTTTATTGTCAAACAGTGAGACAATAACGTATTCGATTGTGAAAAAATAATTATAACCTAATGATATACATCGTACAAACTCTTATAACCTCTACATAATTTTCGGACTGTGAAACAATTTATTTGATCATTTGTTTGTTATTCAGTCATTATAATTAATTAGAAACTACAATTATTTAATAGAAAAATGAATATACTTCCAAAGAAAAGGTTTGTATACTATTTGTATTTACATGCAGAATTCACTAATATTAATCAATGACATTTCTTTCAGTACTTATTGTTTTTATTTATATATAAATCATCTATTAATTTATTTGTTTATAGATGGCACGTAAGGACACGAGAAAATATTGCTCGAGTAAGAAGAGATGAGGCTAAAGCTGCTGAAGAAGAAAGAACAAAGAAAGCTCGAGCTCAAAAAGCGGTAAAAAAAATTCATATGAATACTGCTATTTTTTAATTAATTATTATTGTTCTGAAAATACGATAATTAATGTTTTTTAGGAAACTGAAGCTCGAATTGAACATCTTAGACAACAGAGGAGAGAAAAATACGATGGTCGAGATCATGATGTACCTACGACTAGTCAGCTAACAGAAACACATGAGCATATTAATTTTTTTAAAGATCTAGAAGAAGGCAAAATTGATAATCACCGGCCAAACGCTGATCATGAAGCAGAAATAAAAGCTGAGAAAGAAAAATATGAAAAAAAAATAGGATATTTAACATACCTTGGACAAGATACAAATGAAGCTACAGGTGCTAAGAATTGGTATGATGAAATACCAAAAAGATTAAATGATCCAGAGCCAGAAAAGGAAGTTCAAGAGAAGAAAAAAATGGTCAATGATCCGATAAATGATATCAAACGATATTTACATATAATGCATTCATCATCCTCTTCAAAAGCTCCAGAAAATTTCGAGAAAACATCTAAGAAGAGGAAATTAGAATCTGACAGTGATAATGACAGTCGAAGATCATCTAAACGACACAAAAAAGACAAGAAAAAAGCAAAGAAAAATAAAAAAGATGAAAGAGAGTATGTAGAAAGTGATAAACCTAATGTAAACATTGAAAAATTACGAGCAGAAAGATTATTGAGAGAACAAAAAGAAAAGCTGAGAACAGAAGCATTGTTAGCTAAACTGAGAGGCGATCCAATACCTATAGTTGAAAAAGAAGAACCTAAACCTGCTATAAGACAAAAATATAATTCTCAATTTTGTCCTGACATTGCTAGACAGAATATTGAGAGAACGCCAAAGCGGTGATTTCAATTTGAACTAATCATATGCAATACTAACTAATAATACACGTACATGAATTTTATTCTGTAAATAATATATGTTAATTAAATAATAGTACTCAATCAATAATTCCCAACTCAATATATACACCATATATTCAATTCAAATTGACCACAAAAACAAGGTGGCACTACAGTCAACATCTCCTAACAAAGTAGAATGAATAATTATTCAATTAATAAACATTGATAATTTACTATTCATTTATACACTTTTTTAATATGTTTATCAAAAAAATCATCCATTCTTTAATCAATAAAAGTAGCTAGTATTATTTATTATTACAAGTGAACAGAGAATACAGTGTATAAATTGATATCTATTGTTTACAAGTAACTAAAATTATTAATCAATGTCATATTAATTATAAACAAATACAAGAAAATTATGTCGAAGATCGATATTTCTAAAGATGATGAAGATTATTGGAACAGCAGTGAACGACATTCATTTAGCTTCGATCAGAATTACGAGGTTAGGAGTTAATCGTCCATAGTAAAATGTAAATAAACAATATTCGTTTTAATTAAATGATTTTCCATAGGCTGATAATTTATTTGGAATTTCTAAAAATGGTACAGCTCAACTAAAAGCTGGAATTTCTAGCATTGATTTATCAGATACATATTTATCGTATGATTCTACTCATGAATCAGTTGCAAAGCCACTACTGTCAATCATATCTGAGCCTACATTAATGACAAGTATGTATGAATGAAACAAAAGAATTCAATTAACAATTACTATCTTATTATAATCTTTATTTTAGTTTTGGAAGCTGATAAAATTTATTTACCAAAAGAAGAAACAACAATTCATCCTTCAACTACTTTAAAAAAAATATTGTTAGGACAACCTTTTTCTCTAGAGAAATATAAATCATTATCTCATAAAACTGCTCTTCTCGATGCTGCTATACAGAGTAGTAATGGAAATGCTATTTTAGTTATTGTTTTATTTATCACGAAAACCCTTAAACCAACCTTGGTACAAAGATTACTTATGGATAGACCCGATGCAATAAATGTATATATTCACTACCTATATACAAGATTAAAAATTAACGAAATAACTGATTTATTGATGTGAGTATCTGCAATAAGTATTTAGAAATATTTTTATCAATTCTATTGAGCTGATTTTAAAATTAATTTTTAGGATGCAAGCACGATTTTTAGATGCTGCTGTAAGTAATCTTATTTTTATTTTATGTTTTAGTAAATAAAAAAAATTAATTTAATACATTTTTAGCTAGTAAATTTAATAGCTATTATAAATAATACTCGGGATGATAACAGACTTCTTCAAAAACTAGTGAAATATTTCAAAATCCATTTCACGAATCTATCAGATTGTAAGGAAATTCTTTTTGTCAAAAATTTTATAAAACTTTTGGAGTGGAAAGTAGCTGTTAAGAGTAGTGGAAAATACAATGGATTACCAGAAAATAATACAGTATTAGAATTTCTAAAATATTCTTGTCAAAATTATTGGAATATAGGAGAAAATGAATTATTATCACCAATGTTACTATCAAATCAGCATAGTATTACTCCTAGGCAGTATCAAAAAGTTGTTTTGAAGACTCGAGTATCAATACAAGCTTGGGATGATATTGACAGATTGCTTTTATCAAAGGTAAATCAATGAATGAAGTTTCACGACTTTTTATAACAATTAGTTTTTGAAATTAATTATCTAACATTCACTTTTCACTATAGGGATGGTTAGGAAGTGAAAAACTTCAAACAAACTTACCAATCGAAGATATTTTAAATATTCTACACCAAGGTCAAGCACCTACGTTCATTCTTGATAAATTTCTCAAATATGTTGATAACATCAAGAGAAGATTACAGCTTGCAAAAAGCTTTGGTTGCGCCAGAACTGTTATTCAAGTAATTTACTATAACAAATTAATGTTTGTAAATATTATTTTAAATTGAAATAACTAATTATTAATATTTGTGATAGATTTTTGGAACTCTGGGTGATAGAACTGCATTATTAGAATACAAAGATACACTTACGCCACAATCTGAGTCATATTTTTTGGCAGAAAAAACTCTTGAATCTCCAACAATTAGATGGAAATCATAAAAAAAAAAAAATAAAATATAATTGAAAAAGTAGTTTTATTTTTATGAAAAATTTATATAATTATTTATATATCTTTGAAAATAATAAAGATTAAGAAACGTTAATACAAAATATCAAATCCTTCTTTATAAGTACTTATAGAAAATACTGTAGGACCAGCCTTATTTGTTCAAAATACATCTCAAAAACTCAACACAGTTTTTTGGTAGAAGCTTTAAATCCAAATCTGAATTTAAGATGAAGAATTATTCTGAGGTGGTGGCATTGAAGAAGGAACAGGAAAATGTGGAGGGTAAGGAATGAAATGAGCTTGACCAGGAATGTACCAATTTTCTGGAGAATTCGGTGGCACCATTGTCGGAAATATTGGCTGCATAGGCTGTGGTGGCGGAGGAGATTGAAGTACAGACGATGGAGAGTAAGGAATTTGAGGGTAAATTGGAGTAATAGGCTGCGGATAATTGTCTAGATTTGGACAACAATAAGGAGCAATATTATTGCCTTCAGTAGAATCAGAATGTGATACAAATGAAACAGGATACATATTACCTGAAAGTGGATACATGTTCTCTACTTCATTAGAATAATATGGTACTCCAGTAAATACAGGTGGAGATTGGTGATTAAAAGGAACATGATGATTAACTGAAGACACTGGAGGATTTACTGATGGTTGCATTGGAATATGTTCATTGACTTGTCCTGGCAATATTTGATGATCGTAATTCTTTCTTTTTTGAATAAACTTTTGATCTTCATAATTATTATCTGCCTGAGAAGAATTGTTGTTTATGTTGTTGTTGTTGTTGTTGTTGTTGTTGTTGTTATTATTATTGTTGTTAATACAATGGTTGTTAAATGAATTTGATTTCTTTTGATGTTCATAGTGACAATTATATTTTTCCATTCGATTACGATCTAAACATAAAATGAAATAATTTTATGATTAATCAAAAAACTATTAAGAATTTTTTTATTGTTTGAATTATTAACGATTGATTGATAATTTATTACCTTCGTTTGTTTTTTTAAACTGTACAGTCCCTTTATTTTTACGAGATTCCCATTGTGTATGATTTATATCTCTATTTTCATTGTTTCTTTGAGAATATTTCGATTTATGATAATCATATGAATTAGTAGTTCCTTCATTGCGATTTTTATTACTATCTTGATGGAAGTCTTGAGAATATTTTCGAGGATACATATTTTTTGTGTTTCCATTTAACTTTGTATTCATTCTGTTATTGAAAACTCGTTCATTTTTACGAGTTGGTGAATGAGTTTGAGCTCGACTATTGTTATCATGTTGTTGAGAAGTGCTTTCATTTGATGATGATATAGTTGGTGAATTAATATGACATGGGATTCCCATGGGAGCAATATTTTCTTCATTTGTCATGAAAGTCGGTGGACAAGGTATAGGTGGGCTATTAGTTGCCCAAGCTTGATTATAACGGAAATACTAAAAGAGTCAAATTAAATCGTATCTTAGTAAACAATTTTAGGTGTTTAAAAGTAAAAAAATCAAAAAAAAAATTCCGTTACCTCAATTCCTAAATTATAAAAAAATCTCAATGTTGGAATGTCTATTTTTATTGATAAAGAAATATAGATTAATTAAAAAATTGTATAATAATTAATATTTAACCAAAAAAATAATATCTTTACCTGAATATGGAAGATCATTGCCATTTGAATCCACACTTACTTGAACGCCAAAATTTACTGGCTGATTACTACAATTAAGCATCCCAGTGATTGATGGTCCCATGAAATTGCTCCCAAAATAAAAGAAAGGAGCATATATATTTCCTTCTGGGGATACCCAGACAAGATTTAAATTTCCTGGATATGCAGACACAGGTCCAACTATAAAAATAAAATATTTTGTTAATTATAAACTTTTTCAGTTGTAGTTAATAATTAAATTAAACGATATAACTTAATATTTATACCAGAGTTTGGGCAATAATTGTCATTAACTATAGAAACTGCCGTTTCTGAGATTGGTATATTGTCATTACCATTAATCAAATTATTTTTAATATTTTTTTCATTCAAGTTTACGTGATTATCTTTATTATTCGGAACAAAAGATTTAGCATCGAAATGTTCTCCAGAATATTTTGAATTAATTATGGACTCATTGTTGTCTGATGAAGATAAAGGTGATTGAGCTTCGATAACATTCTACAAAAATATTTAAATAAATATCAGATACATGAGAATTTTTTTTTTCATATCAGAATATATAAGAATTAATAAAGTAATATTTAATACGTTCAAACAGTATTCCTGTCTCGATGAGTAATTTTCTGTATCCATTCGATTAATCATTGTCGAATCAGTTGTATTAAATCTACAAAAATTTATTTACGTTATAAACATTGTAATAAAGAAAACAAAAACTATTTATAGAAATAAAATAATTATTACTCTGAATTATAACGGCGAGAATTACTAGTTGTTGATGGTACAATTTGTTTGACATTAACTGAGTCGTTGCTATCATTTCCATTGTTAACATGGTTATTATTATTTTCATTATCTAAAGCATCCAAGTCAACGTGTGAGTTCAAGATAGGAATATTCGATGGATTAGTCACAAGGTTTCTTGGTTTACGAGCGTATGAGTTGGTTTGTTTCTTCCACTTTGAATCTAATAATAAAGCGCACCGATCAAGTAATAATTTAATGAATAATCTTAACAGTAAATACATGAATCAATTTATCAAAAGTTAATTGAAATAATTAAATTTTGTATTCTAATCTTCTTACTTGGATCAAAAAAGTTTTTCTTTGGTGGCACTGAGGAAATGATAAATGATTTGTTTCTTCTGGGTTCTTGTTGAAGAGGTTTAAGAGCTCGATAAGGCACGGTCTTTTTTTCCCCAAGCTCTTCAATGTAGACAATTACAGGCCCCTCATTCTGACTCATTTCTTGGATATGTCCAACTAATGATACAGATTCTTTTTTTAACCTTGATGGATTTATTTTAAGAGCCACATTTCCGTTATTGTCAATGTTTTCAATATTTTGGAGGTCTTTGGTATTTTTATTAAACCCTTCATCGTCATCATAATTCAATTGTACTAAGCATTTACCTCCTACTTGTAACTCATAATTATTCCATCTCAACCAACCTGCATTTCGTACTTCTCGTTTTATTTCAAGCCAAATATCGTAATCTATGTTCCGATAAATATTCGGATCAAGAGCTTTTGCTACTCTATATGGAAATGGTGTAATAGTTTTATATATTTCTATTCGATTTTCTTCTTCGTTAAAAGCCTTATTTACTTCATTTGACTTCTCCTTCACTTCAAAATGATCTTTTAACATGAATTTATTTTGGGAGTTATTTTGCGAGGGTTCATGTAGCATTTTTCCAACAGCATAGTCAACATCTGGCATTTGAAATACTTGCTCGTATAACAGCTTATATACTACAGATTGACAAAATGCTGCAACTGCGTGGGTTTTCTGGCTATAAAGACTTTCATAGTGCTTTGGAGGAGTATGACAGAGATATATATATTCATTGAAGCCATTGTTTGTCATTATTTTTTTAGTCATTTTGACACTGTTATAAATAATAAATTCTTTTTTATATAAAAAAGACATAGCTTCTATTTCATTACTTCCTCCCCATTCAGTTATGCAGGATAATTGATCCAGATAATCGTCAATTGAAATAGAAATATTCTATGTAATTAAAAAAAAACAATGATTGACTTGAAATAAATTCCAAATAAGAAAAATTTTAGAAAAATTTCCATTACCTTTTCAAATAAGTGTTTATTTTTTTTCATAAAATCAACACATTCTTTTCGTACTTTTATATGGTAATACTGAGTCTTATAAACGTGCTCACTAACTGCTCTAAAAAGACACGTTGGATCTTTTGGCGAAGTTTTCCGGACAAATCCTTCTTCCCTTAACCAATCGTCAATGGTGTCTATCATTATTTTTTTATAAAATTTTCTCGACGAAATTTCCATATTTACTCTATCGTCAAAACCGAACAATTAACGAAAAGATGTCAGAAATGTTATAAATAATAATAGAATAATTATATCAAAAAATATCTTGAATAATAAAATACATTGATTTTATGGAATAGTCTTTTCAAACACATGATGAAAAGAATAAGCGTCTTTGTTTGAGCTTTCATTGATTGAAGTATAAATTATTGTAAATCTTACCTGATAAACAAACTAACCGTTAATTAGCCTTTACTCAGTCTACTAGATAATTATTTGTATATCAATGAGGCTTCTTAATTTTCATAAATTAAGATGTTTTAGGATTTATACTTAATCCTATCAATGAAGAATCTTAAGAGCTATTGTGTCATCAGAGTTCATCAAAGATGAAGTGCAACGCACGTGTAGTACAGATAATGCAGCACATGATCGATCATTTATCGAATAATTGAATCGATTATTACGCAAGTCGTTAATCGAATTAATATACGCGGGAAAATTCAAACTCTAGAGAATCATTTTATTATATTGGATTTGTATCGTATCACTTTTACATAATAGTATGTATTATAATTATCATTATAATTTTAAATAATGAGCCATTTTTATTTGTAAATGCTTCAAAATATTTGAGTTTTAATTATTATTATTATTTAAAGGATAAAAATGAAAAATATGCTCATTCTTTCATTACAAAGATTTTTTTTTTTGCCGTAATCAAGTTATTATTAGGACAATATTCAGTGTATATAAATGTTAAAAAAGTACAAAAGCCTGTTATATAAAATATGATTCATATAAAAGTATATTAAATGCTTTGTCATTTACTGATCAATACATTTCTTTTAATTCGTAAAAATATACTGTTTTCGCCAATAAAATAAAAGTTGAAAATAATTTGCTCTTGATTATAGATTCATATAATAAATTAGGAAAAAGAGAGAATAATAATATCATTATAATTATTGATAGACTCGATTGATTCATTCTTACTCAATTAAAATTACATACTCTAACTCCTAAATAGCCCTCATATATGAATAGAAATATGAAAATACGCATGTCTAGAAATTGCACCAATTGTTTTGAATAAATACTGGCCAAATTGTTTATGTCTGTAGCCAACATTGTTGATGCACGTGTGTGTCTTCTGATATTATAAACAAATTATAAAAAAATTCACCGACATTGTCCTCTTTTTTTCCTAAATATAAAAATGCTGCTCGCACACAACCGGCATTTCTTTTTTTCTCGAATTAACACAGATGATGATATTTAAGCCATGATCTTCTCAGCATCAATAGCTAAAAAGAATGAAACAAAAAATACATTAATTGACTCATCACAATGCTCGTTACGATTTAATTAAATAGATAGTCTGTTAATTAAAAAGTAAATAAAAAATTTAACTTGTATAAAAAATTAATTAATGAGGTTATACATACTCTCTTTGGTAGGCAAAACATTCTTTTCCAATGTTTCAGCATGCTTCAACTTGGCTAGATCGAAGTTCTCAATACCAGAAATAAATTGCTGTTTTCCTTTCTCTTGCTCGATTGCTACAAAAAACATACCATTTAATGATGTATAAAATAATTATTTCTATCGTTTCAATGATTCGATTGGTGAAGTCTTACCAGTTTTATCAGGAAGAGGATTCTTTTCTTGAGTTTCAGTATGTTTCAACTTTGCTAATTCAAACTTTTCTATTCCAGCAATGAGAGTTTGCTGCGTCTTCTCAGCAGCAACATCTGAATATATAAAAACAATACATATTATTTATTTGTTAAATCAATATATAGTAAATAAAGCCGAATTTCCGATGCAGATGACCAGCTACGATGTGAAATAAAATACCCATGATAGGAAATTTAACAATTAATTCTAATCTAATGATTACCAGGAATATTAATATAATCGTTATTAAAGTACATGATACTAAAATTGATAAATGTTATCTAAAAAGTCCCATCGCACCACCACTATAAAATTAATGTTCTAAAGCTTTTTATATGAATCCTTAAGCTCCATATGATGCCTGAAATAATGATTTTTGATGTTTTTATACATTATACCTCCTGCATTGGGCAAAACAATTTTCTCTTTTGTATCAGCGTGTTTCAGCGTAGTTGTCTGAAACGTCTCCACACCATGGCACAAATCTGAATGTTGTCTCTCTTGTCGTACATCTATATTTGTTATTTAATCAGTAAATTAATTGTAATCTTAACGAAACTTTAAGCTTCTTAAATTAAAATATCTCTAGAGGATTAGATTATAATATTAAAAATTTTTCAATCATAAAGATACACACCTTCAGCAGAAGGTAACACATTTTTGATAGCAGTTTCAGCCTTCTTCATACAGTCATGTTTAAATCCTTCCAATTCACTTTTCAAATCCATTGACACTTTTGGTAGATCTTTTAATGATGGGCTATCAGAGTTTGCCATTTTGTAGGTATTATTTATTTAAATCTGCAAAAAAATCAATGAATTAAAATAAAATATTAGACTCATTGGAGATCATTTTTTTTTTTTAGAATGGTTTAACAAATTGGTAATAATGTTAACGAATTAGTAATACAGATATTTATATCAGTATGCTTATTTATGAATAAGTAGATAGTTAAATTGAATTTCTGAATCCGTTTAAAGAAATGTCGTAAGGATGAAAAATTAATGTGTATGTAATACTGTTGTATGTTGTTTACCCTTATATGGCATAAGTCGGCATGGTATATCTTCTATAAGGAGAATTCGAATGAGGTCGAGCATGTACCAAGTATGTACTTACGTGTACTCATAAGTTGAATACACATGGCTTTTAATAGCTTTTTTACCTGATCATTCAACAGAAACTACTGCAGTAATCCCATCATTATTACCTTCATCAACATCATAAAAAAATTAACGAATGCTATAGAAAACAAATAAGTCATGATTTTCATTACAGTAAATATTTGTTATTAATAATTCATTGAAAAATTCATTACCATTAAATTTTTTCTTCTAATAAAAAGTATATCACTGAATTTATTGAAATTAATTAGACATTTCTTTGTAATATTTTGAGTAACTTAACTGTTTAACAAAAAAAAAACATTACTTAGAATAAAAAAATGACTCATCACCTTATCTCTTTATCAGAATAATTTATATAGTTTAGTTATCAATGGAAATAATTTATTTATGACCAATAATTGATTAATTATAACAAAGTTTCCAATGAGATATTTGGTGTTTTCTAAAGAATTAATAATGACTTATTACTTTCCAGCAAAAAATTAATTATTATTTGTTCAACTAGCGTTAAGAAACGATTGTTTCTGCAATGCTTGAGGGATTATCAGGCTATTCAATCGTAAAGAAATCACTTATTGCATATAATTACAAATGACTCATCATCTTATTATGCTCAAAAAGGTAAAAAAAAATTAGCAATGCAGACAATTCGCTCGAGTTATACATGAAGTACAGCTGCAGCATTTTTTTGACTAGCCAAGCGTGTGACCATGACGGTTAACGAACCCTCCAATATCTTTGAATGTGTGGATATTCATTAGTAGAATATCGACCGTTTTTGAAATTTGATTATCTATATTCAACAGCTTCTGTTAATGATTCATGCTTCTTTAATCCTCTATCTATCTCATTAATTATGAAATTCAAACTTTCAATCTTCAAATAGCAAACTATTTGAAACATCCAATCTCAGCCTTGACATTGAAAAAAAATCTTATGCACACCAGAATGTGAGATATTCCAAAGATGATAAAAATTCCAAGTGGGGAAAAAGAATTATAAAATAAAAACATGAACAAGGAAAAAAGTGAACATATTCTAAACAATATTAGACTTGATAAAAAAAATATATAGAAGTATCCTTTTTTGATTAAAAAATAAAGATAATTATAGTAAACTGATATGACATATCCAATTTCCTTCAAACATCTTTATTAAATACTTGTGTGTATTTTTTTAGACCGTAACAGTAACGACGATTAACTGAACAATTCATTGTTTCTGATAGCAATGGGAGCATGACGGAAATGTAGATTTAAGAACATGAAATCTTAGAAGACATATAAAAAGAATCAATCAAATCTTACTATATCATAGAGAAACTTGTCTTTTTAACACATAAAAATTGTTTATTTTCACCCACGTTTGTGTTAAATTTATTAGAACGAATTGTATCAGGACACAAATTCTAAAATATCCTGCGGCAATGCATCAATTCAACCACGCCCTTGTTGCTGACTCCGACACATATATACATGTAGAATTTGGCTTCTTTCCTTCTACTTGTCTGCTAGGATTTTTTTCAAAAAAAAAATACAACGCAATATGAATCACAAAAATTAAAATAACATTAATTTTGCATTAATAAATTAATGAAATTAATTTAAAAAAGACTCAACCGAAAATAAGTCATGGAGATGAAGAAATGTCAATTTTATATCGAAGTTTAATAAAAAAAATCAATAAATAAATTTATCAAGTTTCTGTGGTCTGACGTGTTATAAAAATGACGTGAAATTAATGAAATCAATCAATAATTTTACGAAATGATGAATTAATGAGGATTGACGAAAGAAAAGGTTAAATACTAACCTGTTATTGATTATTGTATAAAAATTGGTGTAGAAATCAGACTTATAAGTTCTTTAACGTAAATGTTGGATCGAATATTTTAAAAACTGAATAACCTTGAGGCTAACTGAGCTTCGGTTAGCGGCAGTTAGCGGTTCACGGTACTTACTGGCATTCAGAAGAGTTTACAGTACACTTCCCCACTTCAACATTAACACACATCATCCACCAATCGGAGCACGACTTTTCAGAGGATCCCTACTCCTGCTAGAGTCCAACAACCCCTCGTATCGGGTGAAAGAGTAGCGGGGGGACGGATGTGTCATCCTGGATATTCCTTTTATGTCAAACTTTAATTCATTTTGATACTATATAACTGTAATTTTATGTACATTATATTTGCAGTGAGCATTCGATCAATATTATATATTATTTTTATCTTAATTAATTATAATTGATGTTTTTTTGGTGAATTATGATTGTTTAAAAAAATTGAGGTTAACACAAAAAAATCAGACGCATAGAATGACTCATGATAAAAATATCACATATGTGGTTAATCATGAATGAAATATATGCTATTTTTAAGTCACAGCACAAGATAAAATATCCAAATTGTAAAGATTACTTTTTTAAGGGGATAATTGTTTTGGTAAACTTCCATCTTTTTACTCACCTTATGATCAAGGACTTTAGCGAATTTTCGAAGGAAATATTTTTACTTTTTATTTTTAGAAGAGTACAAATTAATTTAAGTCTAGATTAATTTTTAAATTAAACTCAAAAGAGTTAATAATAAAGCCAGTTTATTTGTTATAATCATTATTTTTATTTCAAAATCTACTTTTAGATTCAAATACACATCACATATTCATTTACCATTATTATTAAGGATTTTTTTATACAATAAAAACAATTGTGGTTTGAAAAATAACATCTTTCTTCTATTCATGAATATTTTAATTACTTAATTGACAAATAATAGATGAAATTTGTTAAGAATTTAATTATTTAACATGTGCTATGTATAATTATTTAATGTATTAAGAGCCTAACTATGGTGCTTTTTAAATAAAATTGACGTGAAAAAATCCAATAAATAAGGAATGCTTTATCGAATTACCCAAAATCAATGTAAATGAACATATTTTTGCCTGAATTTATTACATATTCAATGAAAAAAATTATTTTACTAAAATTAGTGATAATTTCTAGTAATTAATGAATGATTTATTCACAAAATTATTGTGAAATCAATGGTGAAAAACCAGAAAGTATTATGTAAAATTGACTTTCATGGGCAGAATATAAAAATTAAATGAAAGAAAATAAGTAATTATAATCATAAGCTTACTTGAATGGTATTTTTTTTTAATTGTTCACTTATTAATATGTAAAAAGATTCATTTAATCTTCTTTATCTTTACCATTCTGAGGTGATTTATCACCATTCATTGGTGATCGTGAGTGACTACGACTCTTACTGTGTTTGCTCTCTGAACGGGATCTTGATCTATCACCTCGGGAGCGTTCACGACTTGAACGTTCTCTGCAAAAAATAAAAAAAATATCTTTATAAAAAATAAAAAAAATATATTTATATAAAAATATAAAACGTAAAATAAAATTAATAAATAAATATAGTACATATAATAAATCGTTAGACATTATTTTATGTCTAAACTACATAAGAAATACATCATGTCTACACTATTAATATAATTTTATTATTATCAGTAATTTGGAACCGTTATTTTATCCATATCATTTATTATAATTTATCGTTATTAATTAATAACGATCTCCATATTGAATTGGAACACACTTTGAAAGTCTAACGATTGTTTCCTCATTTCACATTTATTTTATTTTTAATATTTTGCTTGCTTACTTAGAAGGTGACTTTGCCTTCGATTTGGATTGTGAACGTGATTTAGACCTCTCGGTTTTGGATCTGGAGCGAGATCTGGATTTGGACTTTGATTTAGAGCGGTCTCTAGACCTTTGAATAAAATAAAAGAAAAATAATTTTCATGAATAATCATTTCTTCGCAGCTTCGCATTCAAGTTAAACTTTCAATTTAATAATTAATACTCACTTTGATTTAGATCGTGAACGACTACGCTCAGGAGACTTCGACTTTGATTTTGATTTAGATTTTGAGTGCGCTCGTGATTTGGAACGACTGCTACGACGGCTACGGCTACGAGAGCTACGACGACTCCTATTAAAAAATATTAATTAAAAAAATTTCCTAATTTTTATAACTTTTTTTCTAAGGTAATTGAGTAGCAATCAAATAAATTAGTACCTGGAGCGTGAACGAGATCGACGTCTTGAACGAGATCGTGATCGTGATCGGGATCTAGAGCTTGACGAACGTGAACGGCGGCCTCTTCTCTTGTCTTCAATCAGCCGGATCCTTCTTCCATTCAATTCAGTATCATCTAGTTTGTCAATGGCATTTTTGAGGTCTGAGTATGTTGCAAATTCGACAACTCTGTATAAAGAAAAAAAAAATTATTAATCAATTTACAATCTATAAAAAATAATTTTCTATAAATAATTAACAAAAATGATCCTTACCCTTCATTTCTACGTTGTTTGTGTGCGTCAGCGTATGTTACTTCACCAGCTTGTCTCATGTAGTCTTTCAAATCCTAATACGCAAACAAAATGCATTAGTTTTACAATAACAAGTGAGTTGATAAAATAAATCAGTCCATAAATATTAAAAAATAATAACTTTCCAATCTATAAATTAATATAATTAATCTACTGATTTCAAGGGAATTAGAATGAATTGTGCACTCTTATATATTTTCTTCTTTCTTATTAATAATTTAAGTTTTATAAATATAAACTGTAATACGTTGTACATTACAAAACCGTTGATTAACTTAATTTATTATTTATTATATGTATGTGTATCTGTGTATTCTGTGCTCGAATTTAGTTAAAAAATATTAATCAACCTTTCTTTCATCCAATTCAGAGAAACACTATCATACTGATATTCACATTTCGTTGATTAGAATGGCAGTAGTACAGCTTCCTTGATTTTTTTGATAATCATTACTGAATCATAAAGAACGCAAGTTACATGAAATTTCATATATAATTGAAATTTAAATAACAAATAAAAGCCAAAAAAATCCAAACCATTTTGGCATTTTTATCTTCAATTGATGAATAATATCTAAAAAATTTATCTGATGATTTTTTTCAACATTCAATCCTTGTGTTTCTCATGTTTTTTCTAATGTATCTTGTTTCATCCATGAGCTTCATGATCAATTAATGCTCCTTTAAGAGATCCTTTTTTGTTCTTAGGCCAAGAAATCGTCTATTATTTAGATTTTGATGTTGAATATGCACTTGTAGTGAATGTGGGAACCAGGTACGACTTAAATCCAAACCACCGATGAGGAGGACCTTAATAAAATAAGTTTTTCTTCCTTTCGACTATTCAAAAGTATATTTCTCCATGTTTATTTGAAACATTCCATTCCTGTTGTTGTTGTTGTTGTTGTTGTTGTTGTTGTTGTTGTTGTTGTTATTATTGTTTCGTTATATCCATCTCCAGTAGTAGACCTATATTATTGCTTCAATTTATTTCTAATATTTATTGTTGATGAAAAATTAAATATTAATTTTAGCTAAGAATTGTCAAAAGAAAAGTTGAAATAATATTTTTATTTCCTTTTAGTAGAAAAGAATGTATCTGTGTTAATTATATTAAAATAATTGGTTATTAATTGGAATGGTTAATAATAAGTAAATAATGTAAATTGTCTAATTTCGAGCACAATAAATGTAAAATTAGTGTCCGTGGAATCACAATATCACAGTGGATTAGTTACACGTGTCCTTGTATGATCCTTTAGCATAAGCACCACAATTTGACAAGATTAAAAATACACCTCGATTATTTGTGCACAGTAAATAGATAATTATTAATAATAATATTCTAATGATAAAAGAAGAAAAAATGATGTACATAACCTATATCTAAAAGAACACTCGGTTAAGGTGACGCATTTACCTTGGGCCCAGGCACCACCTTGTTTACAGACAGAGAGAAAAGCCAGACACACGGTGTTTGGTCGGGTCGACACGGATCAGTATGGCACCTCGCGTGATGCTTCGACTTTTGGCCCAAGTTTGCCTTCTCATGGATGGCTCGTCGTCTGACTTTATAGAGCAGATGATACCGGGAGTAGCAGCCGTTGATAAGTAATTGCACTTGCAATTGTTATTTACTTATCTACAGGTATTGCTTTTATCGAAATTCGTTCATGAACATGAAGCAATTGATAGTTGAAAGGCAGATTCAATGATGGATCGTCAATGATAATGGCAAATGGTAAGGTATAATAATGAAGGAATTATGAAGGAGTATATGAAAAAAGATGATGTTGATGGCTGAAGAAAATGGAGAATTGGCACAATCACGTTGAGGCGTAAGAGAAAGAACAACCCAGAAGACTCGATGGATGTAATGAAAACGATCATCATCCTTGGTCAGATCATCATGTTGATCATTAGCCAACTTTAGCATCGCCTATCAGTCTGGTTGGGGTGGTTGATGGTAGACACAGAGGGCTGACTCGCTTGGGTATACCTGGTGCCAAGTGTTGGCCCACAATTTGCTTTGATCCCAGTTTTTAGCTATCAACTCTGGCGCCAATTGATCGCAAGGCCGGCCACTCGCGTCACATCTTGTCATCTATCATCGCACTTCAGTCTATGGGCCCTACCGGTCACACCTCCACGGCCAAGAGGACATGGCTCTTTGGAAAGAACATCAATTTTATTTTTTTTTTTCCCAACTGCTGACCGAACGTAAATAAAATTTAAATTAAGTTAATAATAAATAGCAATCATAAGAATCATCAACAACAATAATTTAATAATTCAATGATAATAATAATAAAAAAAAATAGTAATAATTTCATGATGATAATTGTAATAATGGTGGAAAAAATAGAAAGAACGGTTCTAATATTTAGATACAATTCTTTGATTTCACGATTATTTAAAGAAACTATTCAATGAAAATATTTTTTTTGTAATTGGAAAGAAAAGTACAAAAAAAAAATGCAACGACATACACGAATGTAAATTGATCAAGTAAGACTTGGGTTGATTATCTTGTTTAATGATTTTTTTTTTTGAAATTCAACGTTACTTTTTTCTGTGCAACTTTCAAAATGTTTGATCAAGTCATTTGAAAACTCTGGATCATTCAATCTGCGTCCTGGTATTTCCCACAAGTTTGTGTTTGCCCAAAGCCGAGTGATATTGTCCTCCTTTCATCATTGGATCACTTTCGTCAAGATTTATCGATCAATCATCAATCCTTTTTCAGAACTCGAATCCTTGCATGGTCCTTTGTCATCAAAACCTTGTAATTGTGATGATGGATTGGTTTTAAAAATAATTTCATTTGACTTTTGTCGTGTCCATCATTTCTTATTTAATATAAATGTTGATTGTTCCTATGTGCCTTTATCACCATTCAATTTCCATACAATCATTTTATGTCTCTATTTCCAGGACCTTACTTGATCAAAATGTACATCGACTATCATTGCGACAAAGGCAGAAACTTTCTTACTTTCTTAAATAAAACTGAGAAAAAAATTTTATTAGAAAATTCCAGATAGAAATGAATTTCTATTGAAGATGCCCGGGAATGGAAAATTTTCAATTGATATTTTTTTATTTATTTACTATAAACTGCTGTGCATGAATATTAATACACCCTTGATAGGTAATGAAAGACGTGGACTCGGGAACACGATTAAAGGTAGAACAAGCGTGAGAAAAAGAGAGTAATAGAGAAAAAAATAAATAAATTCAACATAATCATAAGATTAACATTAAATTAAACAATAAAACTACTTTTTCACGAACTTACCTGCCAGCTTACTCGGCTTGATAGATTTTCTACTGTCAATCGATACTCCGTCCGGGTTGGTGGTCCATATCTGTAAAATAATTATAATAAAATTATTAAAATTATCCTTCAAGTTACTAATATGACTAATAGAATTGAGATTAACTTTAATTATTAAAAAATAAATAAATAAGTGAAGTTAATGATAAACAAAACAAAAAAACAAAAAATTGAAAAAAATTCTAAAATATTTTTTAAAAGATGCTACAAATAATTAATTTAAAAGATAAATAGCAAAAAAGTGAAAGTGAAATTAAGAATGCATTACGTAAATGTTACTTGAGATGTATGTACCTGGGCAATGATTGCTTGTAGCTAGATGCAGTCCTCGTGTTTCTGTTCACACTATCTCTGCAAAAAGGGATATCATGTGAACAGAAATAACGGTTCGATGGCTAAACCTCTGGCAAATAACTACAGATCTGCACTCATTGCTCAAGCACACAAACAATCACCTATACCAGTCAAATCAAATCTAATTAATAAATTAATTATAACATTTATTCGTACCTGTCGTGCCGCATATCGTCCCGGCTGCAAAAAAGATAATAAAAGAAGACTATTAATCAGTTAATCTATCAAGAATTCAAACAACAAAAAACAAAATCTAACTTAATTTTTTCCCACTACTACATTGCCTACTTTCTAATCCCAATTGAACTAATTGTGCCAAAAAATCTATTCTTTTTTTCTGCCCCAAAACTCCATAAAAATATTTGCGTGTATAAATGAAGAAGCGTTCAATGTATAATCTAATCGCCGATGCACGAAATTTACTCACTGCTAAAAATGATAACTAAGGGTAAGGGTAACTCTCTTTCAAAACACACAAGCATCAAGATCTGTGATAATTGCCAAAGGTTCGCACATCGTCGATCCATTCGTTCATGTGGAAACGAATCAGTATATATATATACATATATAAATATAAATATATATGTATAATCCAGGTAATCTTTTTGTGCTTTATATTAAAAATTTAATTGTTTTTTTTTTTTCGCAAATGATTGATATGGATGAGAAAAAAAAAGCGTGTCTTACGCAGATCGTCTTGAGTCCCCATAACCACCACGGGAGTCACCATAGCGCCACTGGTCACTACCCCTAGGTGTTCCCCGAGCTCTCTCTACAGTAATTCTGTAACAAGACACATTGGATATGCTTACTTGTCTCTCCAGGAGCGTGAGCGTCCGTAGCCACGGTCGCCTCGCCTCCCTGAAACACCCCGTGCTATCTCCACCGCCACTCTGAAACACACCCAACAAAACCCCGCCTAAGTCCTCCACTAATTCTTATGATGCTTCCATTTTCCAAGTCTCCATCTTCCTGTCACTCTTTCGTTACTTCTCTCTCAACTTAAATCTCCTTTTTTTTTCATTAATATAATTATTTTATCGTTACAAACATTAAAATTCATCTCCAAATTATTACCAGAAGCTTATACACAAGAAAAAAAAAAACAAAGTCACTTACAGTTAAATAAAATAATTTTATCTCAAAATAAATGAAATAAAATAAAAATAATCAAGTATAGAGATTCTTTTACAACAAAACATAGCTATTTACTCGGGGAGTTGATGGTAGTTGTTCAAAATGGCGGTAAAGTTTATATGGATGTCAAAAAGTATATTGTGGTTTATAATTAATAGTCAAGCACGTTAATTTATTAAAAGTTCTATTATTTGGAGGCATATTAATTCATGTGTGTTACTATCAGGTTTTTAACTGATAAATATACCTTTCGCCCAGCAATTCTTTGCCGTTGAGCTCGTACACTGCATCATCTGCATCTCTGTAGTCATCAAATTCCTGTAAAAAATAATAAATTAATTAGACACTATTTCTAGCATCAACTCTAACGCTCAATGCGTCTTTATCATGCATATATACCAATTACAGCACGTAAATCTTCTGACTAAAAAAAATTTGCACGATTATTTTTTGGGGCCATATGTTCGAGCTTACCAATCGTTATAAAAAATCATGTATTGTGATTTTTTTTTCAGATTCACGATCGTTTTGTACAATTTTTTTTGGGGTTTTTGGTTACTGAATTCTAATACTCACGACAAAGCCATAGCCATTCTTGATAAGAACATCACGGAAACGACCGTATCCTCTGAAAAATCTCTCAAGATCTCTTTCCCTGGTGCCGTATGGAAGCCCACCGACATAGACCCTTGTCCCTACCATACTGTAAAAAAAAAAGAAACAATTGAAAGATATTAAACTTACCACAAAAGCATATCCGTTCTTCATAGCGACCTCCTTGATTCTACCATATTTCCGGAAGAACTTCTCGAGGTCGCGCTCTCGCACCCGGTATGTTAAGCCACCAACGAATACTCGGGTGTTCATTCTTTAAAGGAAAATATAAAAAACACCTTACATCACAGGCCTATCAACCTGTCATTTATTCATTCATTTATTTATAATAATGAAATGATAAAATCATTTGTTTTTGTTAATTATGAATTAATGTAAATAATGATTCTATCAAATGATTTTTCTTGAATGATACCATTACTAATTCAATCCATCAAATTTACAGGCAGTTTATTTAAATATATACTTTATTATTTGCAACAATAATGCTGAATGAAAATAAAGTTTTGTAAATTACTTGTTATTATTATAGTAATATTTTTTTCTACAGTTGCAGCTAATGTGTGCCTGTAAGTGTTTTAAATGATGGCCTTGAACCAAAACGGTATATATTATAAACAATGTGTTACTGAGGTAATTTTCCTGTACCCACATGAATTATAGAATACCGGTTAAAAGCAATTAAAAGCTTTTTCTATTTCTGTGACAAATAAAATATTTGGATTCAAAATAATATGTATTCCATTGAATTCGATCAAATATTTTTAATGTATATTAGTGATAGATAATGAACTGATAAAAATGTCAATTCTGTTACAACTAATATTGACTTACGTAATCACCAATGGTATAGAGCCATTGAAAATCAATTGATAAATTGAAATTAAATTATTGAGTGTTTTGGAGTAGAAATAATATTTAATTATATATTGTAGAAAAAGAAATTGCAAATTGAAGAAATTTCTAAATACTTCTTACTATTTTTATTTAAATATCAAAATCAATAATGTAACAAATTTGTATTTTGTGTGGAATAAATGAGTAATTAAAATGAGGTCTATGAAAATAAAAAAATCAGGCTTCAGAAGCCGATATTGATTTTCTATTATTCTAAATATCTGAAAATTTTGTAATCCACAACAAAAATGATCTATAAATATTTGGATTATTATCTACGTATCATTTTTTTTTATAGTTCAAAACTTTTATTGCAGGAAGTAACAAGAAAAATAGGTTGAATTATCAAGGCACGTTTTTTTTTTCCTTTTACGCGTCTCCCTCCCAATTCTAGTAAGTTCGAAAGATAGAAAAATAATGCTCACCTGAAACGATTCTTAAATTTCTCCTTTTTTTGATGATTTCGTCTTACTAATATTTAATAAACGTAGTTTAAATATTACTGTCTTTTTACTAAAAATTCAACCGGTTTAATCAGCGTTTTTAATTGCGCACAATCAACAAACGATGATAAAGTAATGTAGTGTAGACAAACCAAGGCAAATGGACGGTCAACGGAAACAAAACGGGGTCGACAAGACTAGAATAACGGAGAACGTAACCTCAAACCCAAAGTTATTGATCTACTCCACATCACCTGCTCTCTCGTAAATAATTATTTTATATTTAAAATTTTTTTATTAACAAAATATTAATATAAGTGTTAAAAATTAATGATAATAATTTCTACATAAATATTAAAATATTTTTAAAGATTATTAGAATGTTTTTCTGTAGTTCAGAGAATAAATTCAAAAAAAAAATAAAAAGAATTTTGGGTTTGAGATTTATTTCAGTGGCGCCATCTGTTTACGATCGAAGCGACATCTACCGCAAACAAAAATGGTGGACAACGATATGCTTTACTCCTCATCTAATTTTATGGCACGCCAAATGATTGCGTTGTCTAGTATAAAGTCTATGCATATTATGTCTTTTTCATCGGATAATACATTAAATTTATGCGTAGTTCATAGCTTTATCACGGACACTTGGTCAATTCATGTTAAATAAGTGAGTTTCCCTCTAACCCAAATACAAGTAGATTGTAAAATTGATTTAATATTATTTCTACCAATTATAACCACAATTAATTGATAGTCAGTATCTACTTTCTTATATAATAAACGTTTTTCTATTAAAACTTAACCTTGAATAGAATTTTGTGAAAATTAATTTCATTTGTGATAGTTGTTGAGTTAGAAGTATAACCTTCATTTTTTGTTTACTTTTCTTTCCTATGTTAAAAACAATTGTCATGTAATTATGTTTTTTCTTACAGACATTATGAATCAAGTGATCATATAAAGATTCATATAGATCAATTATGACTGAGCAAAATTGTGTCATGGGTTTGGAAACCCAAATGGCTGTTCCTTTGCATCTCCAAAGATTGGAAAGAAGCTTGAACGTACAACCATTCTTATCACAAGTTAATGAACTGTTTCATGATCATGTTAGGTAAATACTCTTATTAATTATGTATTAAATGTCTTTATAATATTGGTAAATACCTCAATAATCTTAGATAATGTACATTTATATTGTTTCTCTGTAGTGATGACGATAACTCGATATCATCAGAGTCATCAGATGGATCCAATAGTTATACGAATAATGAATTAAGCCATAAAGAAGGTATTCTATTTATTATTTTATTTAATAAAATACACTGACCAATAGATAATTTTAGTTGAATCTATTTTAAAAGGCTCATCCTACTTGTTTGAATTTCAACAAAATCTTTAAAATGAACTCATTTATTATTTCATTTTAAATGCAAGTTACAGTTATTTTTTTTATATGTGAAATATCCCACACGTATGATAGTTTTCAAATTATTCATGAGTTCACACTTAATATTATTTAAAATATATGAAATAAATTAGATTTGATTGTTCTCATTGTTTCAAAATTCATATCTTACATGATAATATTGAATAAAACAACTTAATTATTAGATTTTATTATTGGAGATATAAAAAACATTTTTGGTGCAGTATTGTTCAGTGTATTTATTTTAAATATTAATTTAATTTCATGTAAATATTAATTATAATTTTTTTTAATACATATTCAGAAGAGAAAGTGAATAAATTAAGACTATATAATATGTCAAAAATTGGAGAAGAAAGAAAATGGCTTGAAGATATTTTATTATCGGATTCGGATACTGCAAGTTTAGCATCTGACGAGTCCGATACAGATGGACCAATAACAGAACAGGACTTTCAAGATATGTTGAAATTCCACATTCTCCGTAAAAAATATCAAGGAAAATTTTACCAAAAACCAGAAAATATTCAATACCAGTATTATGGAGCTGGATTACTATCAAGTTATGATAGATTTCCAGAGCATCAGAAACTCATAGTGGGGAATAAAAAGAAAAAAGAGAAAAAATTTGAGAAAAAAATATTAAAGCTTAAAAAAGAAAAAATAAAAATTCGTAATAAATTATCAGATATTTGTCATGAGCATGACTATCCAGAACACAAATGGGACAAGATGATTCCAAAAGAAGAAGTAAAGGAAGAAGTTAATGAAGAATGTAAAGACGATGAGGAAGGTGAGGGATTTGATTATGAAGAAAAAGATGACGAGGATGACGATGATAAAGAAAAAGATGATGAGGACGACGACGACGATGACGATGATGATGAGGAAGAAGAAGACCATGAAGAGCTTGACGAGGCCGAGCTAGAGATGATGTTAAAACATCAGCAAAAATCAAGAGGACGAAAAAAGCACAATAACAAGAGTCCTGAGATGATGGCCATTAGAAGAAGAAAAATATGGATTATGATGTCGAAAAAAGAACTAGGAAAAATTCAAAGAGCAAAGGTAAATAATCATAAAGAAATGTTAATTAATTGTAAAAAATTAGCACAAAATTGCATGAAGTATTGGAGGCAAAAAGCGATGCAAAGTCAAAAGAATATGAAAGAGATCATTTGGCGGGCAAAAAGATTAACTCGAGAGATGCAATCTTATTGGAAGCGTTATGATCGCGTTGAAAGAGAAACTAGAAGAAGATTAGAGAAAGAAGCTGAAGAACAAAGAAAGATGGACGTAGAAATGATAGAAGCTAAACGTCAACAAAGGAAATTAAATTTTTTAATCACTCAAACAGAATTATATGCTCATTTTATGTCTAGAAAATTAGGAAAAAATTCTGCTGAAGAACAGTTACGTATTTTAAATCAATTAGATGAAGAAAAAAATGCTAGATTAGTTGGTATTGATGATTATGATAGTGAATTAATGAAACAAAAAGCTCGAAAAAATGCTATAGAAGCTTTTGATCATGAAAAAGCACGTGCTAAACAGTTCGATACTGCTACTTGTTCCCAAGAATTTCGACTGAGTGATACTCCAGATAATATGGAGCATCCTCAGCCTTCGATTTTCAAAGGAAATTTGAAAGGTTATCAGCTAAAAGGCATGAATTGGCTGGCTAATCTTTATGATCAAGGAATCAGTGGTATCTTGGCTGACGAGATGGGTCTAGGAAAAACTGTTCAATCGATAGCATTTCTTTGTCACATTGCTGAAAGATATTCTGTATGGGGTCCATTCCTCATAATATCTCCAGCATCGACATTACATAATTGGCAACAAGAAATGGCACGGTTTGTACCTCTTTTTAAGGTAGTTCCTTATTGGGGAAATCCACAAGAACGTAAAATTCTTCGCCAATTTTGGGATACTAAAGATTTACATACTAAAGAAGCATCTTTTCATGTTGTAATTACAAGTTATCAGCTTGTTATCACTGATTACAAATATTTTAATAGAATTAAGTGGCAGTATATGATACTGGATGAAGCACAGGCAATTAAAAGTACCAGTAGTATGCGTTGGAAAACTTTATTAGGTTTTAGTTGTCGTAATCGATTACTTTTAAGTGGAACGCCTATTCAAAATAGTATGGCAGAACTTTGGGCTCTTCTTCATTTTATAATGCCAACTCTTTTTGATTCCCATGACGAATTCAATGAATGGTTTTCTAAAGACATTGAAAGTCACGCTGAAAATAAAACTGGTATTGATGAGAAACATTTATCAAGACTGCATATGATTTTAAAGCCATTTATGTTAAGGAGAATAAAAAAAGATGTGGAAAATGAATTATCTGATAAAATTGAAGTTATGGTCTACTGCCCATTAACAACCAGACAGAAATTACTTTATTCTGCGCTCAAGCAAAAAATTCGAATTGAAGATTTGTTGCATTATACCGTTGGAGGTGGTGATACTGCAACGAATGATAAAAATTTTACTTCAAATTTGATGAATCTAGTCATGCAATTTCGTAAAGTTTGTAATCATCCAGAACTTTTTGAACGAAGAGATGCTAAATCTCCATTATTTATCACTACTGATGCGTATCAAATACCATCTCTTATTTATTCTGATTGTTTATTTAATTCATCTATACCGTCCAAGGATCATTTATTGTTGAATAAATTATCTATATTTAATACGGAGTATATACATCGATCTCTGCATCCAAAGAAAGGGGAAAACTTGACAAGTTTTTTTGCTTTCTCCCGATTTATTGATCTTTCTCCTATGGAATTATATCGTATATTTATTTTTGGTATTTTATATCGATTAGTTCATGCTACTTTAATAGAACAAAAGCTAAAAGTAAAGAGGTATTGGGAAGATTGGTGGGTTGATGAAAAAATCCATGAACCTACAAACTTTATGCTACGTATAATTAATAAATATCACCATTTAGCTCAAGATGATTCTGATATAATATTTACAAAGAAAATCCTTGATGGTGAAGCTTTTTATACTCATAGTACGCATACAATTCATTCAATACCTGAAACAATGGCTCACAGAATACTCAGAAGTTCTAAACAGTTTAATGATTCATTGAAATCCATTCGGACTCTTACTAAACCTCAATTAGAAGAAGAAACAAAATTTAATTTGTTACCAGAACACCGTCATTTACCTCGACCATCTATTAAAAGACTGTATCAACCAACGACAATTCCCAGTTTTCTTAGTGATAATCATCCAAAAGTTCAAGCAAATCCAAGGAAATTGTACATCAGCAACAGTTCTGCTGCATGGGCATGGAAAAAACATGAAACATGTGGAGGATCTTTTGGACAATATGTACTTTGGATGGGTTGTGAACAAGCCCTTCGATTAATGTCATTAAATCAAGATTATCAAGATCCGTCAGGAGTTAACGTGCAAAATTTAAGGAACTCGTTAACTCCCATGTTCTCACACGAACCGTTAGGTGGTTTATCAGCGTGTAAGCCTGTTAATGGATGGTCAAATATAATTATTCCAGGTAATTATTATTAAGAATTTATTCAATCATTTTTTGATGATTTTTATCTTTTATGATTTTTTCTTGATAACAAAATTTTATACATTTCTTTTTTTCAACGTAATTAAATTACTTTAATCAACGACAGTACAATTTGGATTTGATTAATGAATAATTTTTTTTAGACAAGCAAACTCTAGTAACAGATGCAGGTAAACTTTCTGTATTGGACAATCTTCTACGACGATTAAAAGAGCAAGGTCATCGAGTGCTGATTTATTCACAAATGACGAAAATGATTGATCTACTCGAGGTGAGATAATTAACAGAATAAAGTCATCATGACGATGTTAATTAACTTGCATCTTATTCCAATTTAATTACTATATGATTAATATAATAATCATAATAATAATAATTATTTTTTTGGTGATAGGAGTACATGTACCACCGGAAACATACTTTCATGCGTCTCGATGGTTCATCAAAAATATCTGATCGTCGTGATATGGTAGCAGACTTCCAGAAAAGGTAACTTTGATTTTTCCATTGTTATGAAAGAAACAATTAACAATAACTGCCGAGTCATTTATCAAGAATAATAATATTCCTCAATTTTAACGAGGTTACTGTGATTATTATCTTTTGTTTCTTTTCTTTTATTATTTTTGTTATTCTTTTACTTTTTCCATTTCTTCTTCTTTTTTTTTTTATGAATATAATATTCATGATAGTATATATTATCAAATAGCACAATGCTCGGATGACATCGATCCGTTTTCAATTTCATACTTGAATAATTAAATTAATTGATGGTCGATGTTTGCATTTCAGGGCAGATATATTTGTTTTTCTTTTGAGTACCAGAGCTGGTGGATTGGGAATTAATTTAACCGCTGCTGATACGGTTTGTTACGGTTTATTATTATAAAATTATCATCATAATTAATTTAACAAAAAAAAAAATTAATTAGTGAAAATATTTTTAATTATATTTAATTTTTAATTGAACGCTTTTTAAGTAAAATGATTAATGATGCTTGAAAGATTTATTAAAAAATTTTTATGTTATAATATTTCAGGTAATCTTCTATGATAGCGATTGGAATCCAACTGTTGACCAACAAGCCATGGATAGAGCTCATAGATTAGGCCAAACAAAACAAGTAACTGTATACCGACTTATTTGTAAAGGAACAATTGAAGAAAGAATTTTACAAAGAGCTCGTGAAAAGAGTGAGGTAAGAATAGTCATTTATTGAAGTAGCTCAATGCAATAAATTTTAAAAAAAAAAAAAACATTGATGCATTTTAACAAGAATTATTTTTACTATTTAGATTCAAAGAATGGTCATAAGTGGAGGAAACTTCAAACCAGACACTTTGAAACCTAAAGAAGTTGTTTCACTGTTGTTGGACGATGAAGAGATAGAAGCTAAATGTAAGTAATAATTGAAAAGTGGCATTGAGTCATTTATATTGATTTTAATTCATTCTAAAATAAATATATCAAATATCAACTTTATTATTAAAATTAAATGATAGTATTATTATTCAAATATGCTCTCATAAAATATACTATACATAATAATGGAATAATAATAAAACCAAGTTCTTTGGCGTATGTGGCTTGTGTCTATATATTTTAGACAGTCAACGGAGCGAAGAGAGAAAGCAGTATACGGAGGAGACTCGACTTGAAGCAAGTCTACATCATAAGGAGAGAGACCGGAAGAGGAAGTTAACCGCACTTCCGGTCAAGGTAAGCTCACGCCCTTCAACGAATATTCTTTCAATGTATCCTTTATCTTGTCACTCATTTACTTAAAAAATAAATAACAATTACGATATTTTACATTTCGAATATTTATTTTCTATTCTTCTCGTTATAGGACAACAAGAAACAACGTTTAGAGGACAATTCTGCCGAGAAGATTAATCATTCTTGTACTTCATTTGTAAATAATGAAAATGCGAATGCTCTTGAGGATATGCAGGCTCTTGATAATAATGAAGAATACACTGGACCCAATAGTCCAATCAAGTCAGAGGTTTGTTGAATTTTATTTTATTTTTTTTTCAAATAAAAATCCTCGAAAGTAGTATTCTATTTTTATTTTTTGTTTATTTAATGTAAAGATCAAAGGTTACTTAGAGTGAACTTTGTACGAATTATTAAAGGGTTTAAATTTGTTCAGATAATTATGATCATGACTTTAATTTAATAAAAATAAATATAAATTAATTTTAGGATGAGACCAGTAACGAAGGTCTTATAGTTGATGTGGATAATCCAGTACTATCAACAAGCCTAAATTCACATTCATCGCGGTCAATGTCAGAGTTTAGTGACCAACACTCAAAGGTTGCACGGATTAATCATCACTTAAGCATGAGTTCTCCAAGTGGAATGAGAATTAGGCCGACAATTAGAGGCACCAGTAAACGTGGAAGACCCCGAGGTTCTCGTCGAGGTGGATCAGTCATTGGAAAAGGTCGAGGACTTGCACTGCAACCACCATACACCAGTAATGCTGGCTCGCAAGTTTCAAATTCTCCCATGTTTCCATTGTCAAACGATCAAGTTTCCCAACAAGGTGAATAATATATTTCACTACTCAATTTCATTTCTAGCTTATTATTGTTGTTTTGTTGACTTATTTCTTTAATAAAAAAATTCGATAAAAACATTTTTTTATTATTGCTTTTTATTTTTGTTCTGTAAAATCTGTTTAAAAATATTAAACAATGATAAATAAATATATTTTCTTACGTATTGCATTAATGAAAGATTTTTAAGAACACATATAAAGAGCAGTTTTTAAATGAATAACGTTTTATTTAATTTTTTTTATTATCTCAATAAACTTAACTAGCAAAATACTTTACTAGTGAATCTAAAAATTGGATAAATCATAATATTTTTAAAACTTATAAATAAATATTGAACATTATTTTAAATCAAACTGATATTCAAATATTATATTTAAATGCATAGAATTTTTTTACGTATTTGTTATTTTAAATAAAACCATTTTATATTATAAAATAAAAAAAGCATCCAATTTTTATTTCACTGAATTTCAATTCTCTTAAATAAATAATACAAGAGATTATTCTAATTTAAATAGTAGTTTCTATCCATTGTAGAGAATCATTTATTATATAAAATGATTAAAGAGGGTTGGAAGACAGCTTGAGGAAAGCTGTATGTTTAAAATAAAAAATCGTATAAGAATCTTTCTTCTGTGACAAACATTTTAGCAAGATCAAGGGATTTATTATGAAAATCCTCTGATCCGTTCAGCAAATCGTCCACTTGTCATCTTATATTGTTCAAGTTCTCCCCTTTTTTATGTTCATGTTCACTCAACACTTGGTAAGATTCTCAAGGGGATTAAACTACTTTTGGATCCTATACGACTGTATTTTTCCCCTTGGACTATAATTGAACTATATACTTTATCGTCTTTTATATAAGAGACGACGAGGAAAATCGTCAACTCGGAAATTCCCTAGCGAGCACATGTGTGAGCACATGAAGCATTAGATGAACGATTGTGTTGATTCCCTGAGTGATACTCATACTGTTTTTACTCTCAGGATTTTTTTCTGGCCGCATTATGGCTATTTTATTCCCCTTTCGTTTGATCGTAAGCTTTTCATTACTCATTAACTGTAAACTTTCACAATAGAAAAATTTTTTTATTACTCTGCATGGAGAATGGATACACATGTGTTAAGATAGAATAAATAATTTATTAAATGGACACTTGAGATGGCTTTTCAAGACTTTTTGCATCTCTAATTAGAATGAAATATGAATTTACATATTTTTAAACACGTGCTTCTATATCATTATCAATATTTAATGAGCAATGAACAATCAACGTGCTGAAAATTATAGATTACAAGTTTCAATAACTTTCCCACTTATGAGAGTTGATGAGAACTTGGCAATGATTATTAAAATTTAATTAATAATTGAAAATTAGTGAAAAATGTGTAAAAAATAATTATACTTATCTTCAACTATTTCAACTGCTCTATGAAAACATTAATTCTATCAAGTTCCATCAGCTTTACCACTTTTAGAACTCAATCATCACCTTATCAATTTAATTATATTCTCAAGTACGTATACATCGACATGAACCAACATCTCTAACTTGATTAAATATGGCTCTAATCCCTCCAAGATTTTTTAAATGGTTTTCTCACATGATTAGTGAGAAATTAATATCTTTATAGCTGAAGCAATGATATTATCTACCAACATCAGAGTCTATATTGATTATTGCTGGGTATATTTACTTATTGGTGATGGACAGGACTCAGAGTCCGAACAGTTGATGGTATGCATTGTATGTTGGATTGAAAAAATGAAATTGGATGCATGCTCTGTATGTAAGAGACTAAGAGGAGAGAAAGAGAGATCCCAGGGGAGACACAAGGCTCCTGTTGCGCCGAGTGTGAGTTGATAATAGCAGGTGCATAGCGATAAAGGCAGCTGTGATCGGTATGTCTCTCAGGTTTTTAAGAACTCATGGCTCTTAAGACTTATATGTAAGATGTTTGGTTACTTATTTTTCATCTTCTTGACACTTTCAGTATTGGGTAAATAAAAAAATATGCATTATTTATTAATTTTTTTTAGTTCATGAAACATAAATAAAAACATTTTTTTTTTTTTAATGAGTAAAAATAAAATAATCATCAAATATTTATAAAGTTTCATTTATTTATTTAATTTTAATTTACTTGTTATTTTTATGGTTCTTCAAGTTTATTTAATTTGATCAATTTACTTTTTCACGACATTTTAATTATGAAAATGGGTCTTGCAGTTTTAATTATCATTTATCAACGTAATTATCACATATTATTTAGGTAAAACTTGGCAGTTTTATTCGTTGGTTTATGTTCATCAATAATTTTAATAACGAAAGATGATGGATTATTTTTTATTGACGTCAATATTTATTTGATGATTTATGATGGAATATTTAAAGAGTTCATGCTCACATACTTCTGTATGTTCATTTCCACTTCTTTGACACTAGTTAATTTTTTCACGGTGATTAAATGTAATAATTTACTTTTGTGTGTCAAGATTAATTAGAGTACAGTTTTACTTTAACTTTATCATGTTTTTAGAATTGTAATAAATTTAAGACAATTATACTAATTATTGAATAAATTTATATTTTTTTTTGTCTAATTATCTTCATTATTATCAAGCAGCTGATTTTAAAAATTTATTCAACTAACGGATGCCTTATAACATTAATAATCGATTAAAATTATTATTTTATTTTTCAACAGTAAAAAAAGTGTTAGTTTGACGTCTATAAAAAGTTGTTTCAATTAAATTTAAAGGTGTAAGCGGAAATTCAGTCTCAGAAGGTGACGGCACAAGTACTTCAAGTCCCCCAGCACCAAGTGGAGGAATAATGGGGTCAGTACCAGGCCGAGGGAGTCCAATGTCAATAAGAAGAGGACCTGGACGACCAAGACTACGACCAACAGGGCCTGGTAATCAAGGACATCGTATTCCTGGTCACCATGCACGAAGGATCCAGCGACCTCTTCCTGTTCCTTTGCGTTCGACTCAATTATCAGGCACACCTTATAAAAAAGTGACAACAAATGCTGGTGAAGGAGCCTCCTTAGTGTCACCAATGTCAATTCAAATGGCGTCCTCGGTATCAACATTCTCCAAACCCGCAGAAACACGACCTTTCGGATTTTATACTCAACAGCAGACGTCAAGTAGTAAGGACGAAGTGCAAAATGAGAAGCAATAACATACGTGTAAATAAGTGAGTAAATTAGCATGGTAGACAAAATAATGAACAGTGAAGATAAATTGAAAAAATTTCTCATATTAATTAATTATTTTTATTAATCAACTAATTTGTTAGGTACATTCATGAAATTGACATCGTTAAATATTCGAGAATATTCATCGTTTTTTTAACGTTTTTTTTTTTGTATCAAAGTAAATTTTGTTAATATTGATTATTAAATAACTAGTATTTATTTTTAATTAAAATTATATTATATTATATTAATAAGGCTTTTAATTGCGTTTATTTAAAGCCAATAATTGTACATTAATTCTTGGATTAATGTCTGTAACATATTTTTAATAAAATAAATCATTACAAAATTGTATTTATACATAGACATGTATTTTCTTGTATAAAGTATTGAAATGTGATCTTTTTCAATCAATATATCAATCGATAAGTACATTCGTAGGATAAATAATTTTTAAAAAAATCAATAAATAATAACAATAGTATTGTTACCTTCAATTAAATTTGTAAATAATTCATTTGATAATGAGAATCTCAATTGAAAAATGACATAGGAATATTTTTACTAATCTTAAGGCATAAACTGTTAAAAAAAATAAGATAAAAAATATCATTCCTAATGATAACACATGATATTAATGACACTTCTTTGCAATTTCAATGAAGTTATTAAGAAACTTTCATTTGTAAATTTTCAGTGAGATTAATATCTGTATTATAAATTTTTTATAACAAATAATTAATAATATACCTGAAATATATATAGTGTCTATTTTAATGTAAATTATTCTTCAGAATTGTACGACCAATTATAGACGATTTAATGTATAACAGAATTAACATCTTTTTTTCGGTACAATTATTAAAGTTTCCTTTTGTAAATAATTTATTATTTCAGTAAATTTTAATAGAGTCAAATTATCCTCTTATCTTGTATGTATGGTCCTCATCGTGTCGTGTATGCATCTCGAATGTATACGAGAGAGTCACGTGGATAAAACGTGAATGGCAGGTGCAAGTCTAAATTCATATATACAAGTCAAAAAAAATGTTTTCACCAAAGTAGAGTACTCGTTACAACCAAGTGACTAAGTGAATGTAATAGTCCATTGATATCTTGTGAACATATGACAATTCGAGGTCAGTTATAGATATTTTTATTTTATTGAGGACTCATTTGAGGACTGTCCTCGAAGAAAATAGACTCCTTGAACTCCGGATGCGGGCTGCCAAATCGACATTATATTTTTTATTAACAACTGCGATCAATTCACTTTTATAAAAGGTTGCTTTTTTCAACCTAAAACTTGAAAGCTAATTAACATACATTCAATTTGTAGTTCATTTTATTTTATTCGATAACAGTAAGACAAAAACATCTTTTAGTTATGTATTCCATGACTTTATTTTTAATTGGCCCAAAAAAAATAGACTTATTGAGCTCCAAATGTCGTCTGCCAAAAACACATTTTATTGCGATAACATTTATTTATAAAATTTAGATGTATTTATATTTATTATATATTCACATATCAGATCAGTTCATTATTATTACGATAAGAGAAGAGGTTCTTTTACCCTAAAACTTGAAAGCTAATTAGCATTTTTTTCTTTTTGGCACATTTCATTTTATGCTGATAAGTTGAGAAAAAATTTTACAATTATCCTTTTTTATTTAACTCTTGGCTAATTACTGTTGTAATAATTGATTAAATAAATCCTAGAAATGCTAAATTAAATTAGAAATGCATTCGTAAACTTGAAAGCATTTAAATTGGGCTTCTTCAATTAATTAGCATAAAAAAGTATTAAAAATGTTTCAAAATTATATTATTTAGATTAAAATATATTTCAGCTGACTTCTTAAAGTATTAAATGCATTTCCATAATTTATTATAATTAACTCATCTTAACTATGATGCATTAAAAAAAATTATACTGAATCAAAAGAGCATAATTTAAATAAATTTAAGAAATTAGAGTTATTTAAATTCTTTTAACACTAGCTTACGTAATATGCTTAAAAATATATTATAATAAATAAAGATGTATAATTTAAATAAATAATTAAAATGTAATGTTAACAGTTAAGTTTGAATGATTGGAATTATTTTATTTAAGTCAAGAAGTAATGAGTAAACATGTAAATTAATTAAATATAAATCTTAAGTAATTTTGGTTAATTGTAAAATAAAAAATCTGTAATTGAGATTAAATAGTTAGGGCTAAGTATAATAAGTTGCGTGTATTAGCTTCCAAGTCAAAACGACCTACTGGCTCCATACTGCTATATAAGAAATGCATAAGTAATTAGTGCGTCCGGTATGTTCACACGTGCCTAATGAATAAATAATATAAATGAACGAAAAGGTCGGTAAACTTAACAGGTGCTGATAAATTTCACGTTTAACTTAGTGGTCATTTCTTTCATACATTATTGTAATTTATTTAATAATTGGTTACTTTTATTATACAATGATTAATTAATTTGTTGAATATTCAGATATTTGATGTGACAGAGTGTGTGGTGTTATCAAAAATTCCTTGATTGAGTTACTTAAATACTGTTCATTTTCGAGAATTTTCAGACAACTTGGATCGGACTTGAACTGACTTGGAGAGTCGACGTCGACGCACCGAGCGTACTTCCTGCATTTACCGGAAGTCGCGAGTCAGAGACTCGAGTCTACGCGGCGTTACGCTTCCTTACGCGTAGCGTATTTACCTTCGTCTTGGTGGCAGTGAGTGGTAGTTTGCCTCGACTTAAACTTGGTTTACTACTTTGCCTCCCTTACGATATACTACTTGCTTTGGCTTACATATATGCTGGGGAGACACCACAAGAGTGAAAGAAGTGCAGGAGAAGAGGATTTAAGAGGAAAAGAGAAGTCATATAATAGAAGGAGGTGGGGTAGAAACTTCTTTTCGTGCTACCAAGCGCAACCATCTCAAGGACATGCGAGTAATAAGTCTGTTTAGAATTAAAAATAGTCACTCTAATAAATACATTGTTCCTTATTTCAATTTTTTATTTTTATTTAATAAATTTTGTTGTAATTATTTGATTGTAAATAGACCATTGATGCTAATTAAAAAAGTATGATTGATTGTATCAAGATAATTTGGAAAGTGAATGTCTAGTAGATAATGTAATTAAAATAATGAATGATATTTTTGTTGATTTTTATTTGAAGAAAGCAATTAAATTATAACGTAAGACCAATTTAAATAAACTGTGCTGGTAATTTTTTAATTGGTATGTCTCAATCATCATTCTGAGAAAATTATTAAACTCTAATTCTTCAATTTATTTGGACTAATTTTATATAAAAAAAATTATATTAAACTATTATCATGATAATTAGCACTATAAGGAATAAATATATTTGATGAGTGCGTTAATTAAAGTAATAAATCATCTTTTAAAGTTATAAATTACACGAATAATCATCGATTTAAAGTCACGAAAGTATTCGTGATTAGCTTTCATTTATATCAACTTGAAATTCTGATAATAATTATAAGCCTGAATACGAGTTGAAGAAAAAAAAAAACCATTTAGATTAATGAAAAGTGAAGAAAAAAAATAATTGAAATAAAATGAAAAATAAATTTGATTGATCATGTATTTTGGACTTTCTCAAACAATTTAAAAGATATTTAATAGTATTTTTTTGTAAATTAAGTATAGACGGATGGAAGAAAAGACTTGAAAACCCGTCAAGAGGAAAAAAATGTGTAAAGTAAAAAGGAAAAGCAAGAAAAGGAGGAAGAGGGAAGGGCACAAGTTGTAGAGCAGAGTAAGGGAGAAGTGGCGCGTGGCAATAAGTATCGGATACCGCCAGATGTTACGATGAGGAGAGCGGCAGCAGAACCGTGTGGCAGCTGTCTCTTGCTTTGAGTACATCTGAAAACTCTGGAATGATGGCCCACTGAGGATCTTACCAAAATTCTCTCTTTTACTTTTCTTTAAGGTTTTTCAAAAAGCTGCTCCTGCTGCTGCTGTTGGATGACAGGCATTGCAGGCTCATGGCAAGTTGCAGACATCACATTACAATATCATATAAATATACACTGGGTATTTGCTCATATTGTGGACCTTCTTATAGTCAATGTTTTGTTAATACGATGATCTCGTTTTGTTGTAAAGTTTGTTTGTATATTTGAACAGCTAGAATTGAAGTTGAGATTTATCAGAGACATCAGGAAGACCAGATGCTAGACGACACTGTGTCGTGTGGAAAATTAATTAAACAATTAAGATAAATGAAACGTTTAATGTCTTCTGTCATCAATTCATAGAAATTTTTATTATCCTGATAAATCAAACTAATGAATTTCGAGAAAGAAAAATGGTAATAAAAATATATTAGAGACCTCATGGAAAAAAAAGAAGAATCTCTCAGTAATATTTTACTTCTTTGATAAATATTGAAGACTAAAAAAAAAATCTATTGAATGTGGAGAGGAAATGTTTTTATTGAAAAAATAATTTTCAATATCACCCGATCATATCTTTATCAAGTGTGTGCTTTACCTATAGAAGCTTTGTTTTTTTTTATCTCTCTTTTATCGTCTGTGAAGTCTATTTGTTATTCAGTTTGTGTATGAAGAGAATAAAAGAATACGAGATTTATCAGAAAAGAAGTAAAGAGCAGATGTTGCAAAAATTGAGATAGTTTTCTTGACAATCTCGAGAGGAAGCAAGGTGAGCAAACAAGTCTCTCACCTGGCAATAAATGTGGAAAATAAAAAATATCAAGTATAAAATAATGAATAAATAAATATAGATTGGAAGGTTGGGTGGATGTCTGGGTGCAGGTGCTTCTAGAGGAGGTGCAGAGATTCGATTACTTGGCGTTTGGGATTGCAGGATTCATTTTGCTGAAAATCAGAGCATGCAGGGGATTGAAAGGAAGTATATGGGAAGTATCGATCGGGGGTGAATATATGCTTCCGTTTTGACCTTTCCTCACACTCTTTTATTAACATTTCTGCTATCTCAATTTATCTTGACTAGACAGCTGTTATGAAACACACAAATCCTGACATATTATCCTAGGAAGTAGGATGGACATTCAGAATTATGACTTTATAAATAGGGAAATGATGATACAATTTAACTTGATTTTGCTAACAC